CCTCCCCCATTTAGATTTGATGCCCTTCCTTAACTAGCTATGTCGCGATTTATTAGGTACGCCACTTGTCTCATCGTCGGATGTCTTGGCTAGTTAACTACAATCATGTGAGCCACACAAACAGGCGATCCTCGAGCTCTGAACCGGCTGAGCAGTTTGGAGTATTCCAGGCCCAGGCACCGACTTATTCACGATATTTGTTACTATACTTTGGCGGCAAAACGGGCTGTGATTAGCAGTCAGTTATCACATGAAAACAGTCAGAAGACGACACATCAGGATTGGAAGGAAGCAGAACGGTATTTTATTTCAGGGTTTTGATTCTACTTCTGGTGGTGGATCTGTCTGTAGAGACGCATCATGCTCGAAGTCGTCTTGCCTCAGGATAACTCATGCTCGATATTATCCTATGGTTCCCTCCAAAACATCGTAAACCTATTTGATTGGCGCAAAGAGTTACTTGGCTACGTGGATGAAACCATCTCCGATCTCTTGGGTGAGGTATTCGGCCGCATACTCGCGGTCCCAACAGGCTCTGCACTCGAGATTGCGCTTCATATATGTGGTTAGAAGTGGCCAGTGTCTCTCATGTGAGTAGTCTTCACGTGGTGAATGGCAGGAAATCTCGCCGCCAGGGCATGTCTCGCTGCTGTGCTCTTTGGATCCGTACTTGGGCCTGCCAGCAACGCCCACGGGTATCTTTCAAGACTCTGGAACCTCGACCTTGATCATCGGCTGTCTTTGGGGAAGCTGATCATATTCATCGAAGATGGACATGGCGTCCACAGCCATGTCACCCCCAGCCGCATCGTCCTCAGCTACTTCTTCCTTGATTTCGTCGTCGAGTCGTGTGATTCTCTCTTTGAGTGGTAGCGCAACATTTGCCTGCAGTGAGCCCGAAGGCTGGAACCCAGCTGCTTCCGGCTTGAGCTGGCTAGCGGGCTGTGTGAAGACACCTGAGACCGGACCGCCGCCGAACACGACTGATTGCCCACGTTGTTGTCGGCGATCGTTGATGTCTTGTCGAGCCGCTGCTAGCATCTGAGCGGGTTGAGAGGAGACGCCTGAGACCTGGACGCCGCCAAACATGCTTGATCGGCCCGATGCGTTCTGGCGCGCGTGAATGCGTGCTTGCTCTTCACGTTGTCTTTCTTGGGCCACCACAGTGGTATCTAAGACCCCTTTAAGGACCTCCTGGCCTTCCCGAAGGCGCGTCGCCTCCTTTTGGTCTCTGTGATTCTGCCAGCCGCGCCTCTTCTTGCCATATTCGGCTTGCGCGGGACGGCGTTGGTCTTGCGTTGGTTGCTGACGATGTGCCGAAGCCTGAGGAGGGACAGGGGGAAATGTTCTTGTGACCAAGGAGTCAAAGTGTGGCATCAAGCTGCGAGGAGGTCTTGGGTTCGGGTTTCGCTTGTCACGGACGTGCTCATTCTCGAACACTGTCCAAGCGCTGTCATACGGAGGCGCCGCATTTGCACTGCCCGGGTTCCATAGGTGCTTGTACTCGCCCCGGGTTGCTGGGGGACCGGTGCGGCCGTATTGATGCAAGGTTGTGTCAAACGGCAGGCGGTTGGCCTCTTTCCAGGGCTGAGCCAACAGTCGGTAATCGAATCTTTGCCAGTACGGCACTTCTGGTGCTCGTCATCTTGTCGTGCGCTATGACTTCTGCCTCGTATCTGTGTGCTACCTCTGCACTTAGAGGTGGCCTTGTGGCATCGGGGCATGTGTTGATTTGGATGTGATCCATGGAGATTTTGGTTGCCACACGAGCGATGCCTTGGCGTGCGACGACGATAAGGAAGACTAGGAGGTTCTCCTTCTGCTCCTCTGGGACGAAAAAGTATATGTAAAAGCAGTCGTCCACAAGATGGTCTGTACCGCCGCAATAGGTGCACACTGCGAGCAGTCCTTTGACCAGTGGGCCGCGGCAGAAGAGCGTGATATTGCTTACAGTCGTCATGCCAGATAAGGTTGCGATTCTCGGGCACTGGCGTGATCAAGTGGAATCTGCCGCTGTTGATGTACTCCTGGAAGAGCTTTTTGGAAGTGGTATCCACGCTCCTCGGGGTCCCTCCCTGGTGTTTCGACTCTCAGTACTTTGAGAAGGTCTGGGAGAGGGTGAACGCTGAGCTCTTTCAGTCGTCTCGCGTCGATCTCGTGGGTGTCTATGCTCATTTCTTTGACCCTTAGGAGGGCGGCCATATGAGCGTTGACGACGGGGGCTGTGACGCCCCGGTGAGTGACGTGGGGATAGAGACCGGCGTTGATCGTCGTAGTGATCGTCGTAGCTACGGTCTGAATCGTCACTGTACCCGTCATATGAGCTTTTGTTGTAATAGTCAGGCGAGTAACCTCTGGCATCCCAGTCTCTTCGGGTACGCCGACCATTCGGCCTGTATCTTGGTGGTGTATGATGTCTTCGATGAGTTGATCTTCTGTCATCTCGACGGTACCTTGGTGAGCCTCGAGCTCGGGGTGTATGGGAATGATATGGGGGAGTCCTCTCCCGATGTCGGCGATGGCTGGAGCTTTGGTGATATCTGTCGGCCATCTCGACAGAATCTCGTGCCTTGATTTATGATGAAATAAAAAAGGCTGCCACTCTTGTGATGAAATGAATTATCACAAGTTGTGGTGACTTGAGGAGGGAAGGTCGGGATGGAGGGGCATCGCAGAAGAGTTTTTTGATAAGGGCTCGATTTTTGCAAACGCGCGGTCAAAACGCGACTGGAACAATGGGAGCACCCCACGAGACTCCCCAAGCAACGAGCTCCAGTACTGATCATCCGCCAGCGTCTGGACCATGCAGTCCTCCTGAAATATTGGGTGGGGGAATATATACTTCTGTCCGATCATAGCTGGCTTTTGATAGGTCTCCTTACTCCATGTGGTCCCTGTATGAACTTTGTCACGATGAATGGTGTCTCTCGATCGCCTCAATGCCACGTACGAGGCGTTGTCCACCATCTACGGGGTACTCTTAGACGGGCATACATTCCACATTTGTTTGTACGATATCACCTAGAATGCAAAAGGATTAGACCTGGCCTACAATTCACAGACCCATGTTAGGATTAGGTCCCCGGATTTCAGTTTGTTCTCTCATCTCTCGTTCTTCGTTTGAATATGCTGCCCTATGACCTGGTTGAGGAGCTGCTACGTACACGCTGAGGCTGGTCAGGCGATGTGCTGTCAGGAACGCAGTTTTCAGCTCATTGTCTCCCATTTGTCCCTAGTCACGACAACACGAGTCTATGGCATCTTAAGGACTCATGCGTTGGCATTTTGCATAGCAAGACGTATTCGGGAGCACTGTGCTCCTCCTGAAGAGAATCTGGATCAGGTAAAGACTATTCGTGGCTAAATTGTTTGCAAGTGACCCTACTACAGATAAATTACGGAGGTAGGATTCTCGTAGCCCGTGTCCCCATGAGAAAATGATACTTAGAACGCAAAGCAATCCGTTTCATGCAACTCTGTCTCCCTCGTCCAGTGTTCTCCCACATGCTATCCACGCCCAACTGTCTTTCCTTACGCACTACTGGATTGACGCAAGTTTGAGAGGCAAGTTATCAGCACTGCAAGATAGGCCGAAAAGCCCAAAATCATCTCGTACATCTCGACTGGTAGATAACTCAAGATGAACACGACCAACACGCTGAATCCAGTGACGACACCCACCATTGCCGGCTCAGGCATATCGACAAGGAGTAAAAGCGCCACGGGTAGCAGTAACATGATCACGCAGGACAGTCCGATCCCACCGCGGACTACAATATCGAGGGAGGTGGGGTCGACGTTGTCGTGGTTAGGATCATCGATGGTTTTGTTTCGGGATCGGAACAGCGGCATCAACATCTTCTGTTACATGGAAATGTCAGTAGGGAGTCTAAGGGACGCACATGAAGAGAGGGGGGCGTACCCTGAGATAAGTAAACCTTTTGCTATACAGGATCCATTCAAATTTCTGATGGACACGCATGGAGCGTGTCGTGATGAAGTCTTCCCAGTTTTCCAGGGATCGGCGCGCGTCGCCTGCCGCGAGGTCATCCCGAATCCAGTTCATTAGATTTTTATGGTCACCGCGACTGATAGGTGATAGTTTGTCAATCTTGCTCTGATAGAAGAGGAGTTCATCTACATGAATTAGTAGATCATTCCGCATAACTAACAAAAGGATAAGACTTGCAGTAATCTTTGATGTAGTAGAACAGCGTTTCGAGTAGCTCGTCTTTAAGGTCTGGAGTGGAAGAATCACTCGAGGTGGCCTTCGCACTACTGCTACCGGCTTGAATGTTGTCGGTTGCTCCAGGCCCGTGTATATTAGACGCTGTGTGTCTCGTGGAGCGGGAGTGGCTTGATTTGAGGACCCGATCCACAAACGTGTCTCGATCGAACTCGAAGGTTTCCAACCTGTTCTCGGCATGTTGCTCGTTCTTCTTATCTTCTTCCAACAGGGTCTCGCCCAGGACCAAGATCTTGGACTGCCTATTCAATGCCACTCTATGAAAGAGTTCATCGACCTTCCTGAACATGCTGGTGTTATAGCGACTGGTTTGTTTTGCGGCGATCTTGGGCCACCCAGCAGGCGCATTCTTGACTGGATCGGATATTTAGAGAACTTCGTTTGGTTCAATCAAAGGGGGAGGCTCACCCTTGTCCTGAGACGGCACGGGTTGACTGGGTAGCTGTTCTAACTCATGGTCTTCGTATACACTATATCAGTCCTATTACCCCTTAGAATGCATGGGAACAATGACGTACTAGGTGCCATGCTCTGCAGAGGTAATTGCTCTGGTGATGTTATAGGGTGAACCGTTGAGATAGTCGTGGAGTCGCCAGCTCTTGTAGGTGAGGGCAGGGGACTACCGAGTTGGCCTTGCTCCGCTAGTCGGGACTCGTCCATTTCTGATAAAGTCAAGTGTATCAGAGATATATACTGCGTACATCTCATCTGCGTTCTCCTGCGAACTTTCGAGGCTTTTATAGCCGGATTTCTTTAGGTCGCTGCCAGGTATTTTCAGGTTCCAGAAGATGATGTCCCTTCGGCCCGTGTATCGAAGGTGTATAAGCGCCGCTATGCTCCAGCCTGCTGCTTGCGAGGCTCAAGTTGGCAATGGATGTCTTGGAGAGGGTGTAGAGGCTGTGGACGTGAACGGCTGAGCATCACCACCTCCAGTAGTCGCCTTACCCACGATTGGACGGGCCGAGCCTCTTTGGTCTAGCCAACCAACAAGGCATCCCGACGATATCTAGGGGCCGTGCCGGCATGCTGCGCGTCAGCTTTCAGCAAGCCAATAGATATTCCACGATCTTTGCTAGTGGTGTGGTCGACATGTCATTTGGGGGCCTCTGTAGCTACCGATCGTCACGACAAGCCATCAGTGGTCGGCGGCAAGAGCCTTGCAGTACGGCATCGGTAGTGATTGGCATGTGGCCTGCAACGCGAAGAGGTCGGTCGTCATGGTGTACGCTTGGGGGCAGGCAACGGCGGACGGCGGTCAAGCCCATCCTTCGTACGTAGGGAGGATTGAGAAGGCAACGTGTTTTCGGTAAGTCGGGCATCAACAGGATGACAGCCACCCCTTTTCCGAAGAGACTGGCCACGGAGGGTTCAGCTCCAAGCCTGATGGGTCACGATGTTCGCAGATTGCAGTCTGGAGCTCTACCAAGAGGTAGGCTTGTGGGAAAAGAGAGAAGAGGAACAACAGCTCTTCTTGAATATCCTTGAACCCCACTAGGGATGCTCATATGGCCCCTTGGCCCCTTTATTGAAGGGGTCATGAGGGTAGAAATTGGTTTTAGGTGGGTTCTGACGTTCGGAATGCGTCTACATGGCCAACATAAAAATACCTCAAAGAGGTTCGCTGCACGCCGCCCACGAAATATCGCCGACACGGAAGATGGGGGCTCCTCTTGATGAAGTCGCAAAGTACCTCGTATAATACTGTAGGCAGAACAAAAGGGAATGAGTACACCTTTGACGTTTGAGAGCCCAGAGACCCTTTGGGCATGGAAGAGCAGTGTACATCTCACATGAAGAGAAAGTGGAGAAGAGGCGACTGCTTAGATTGTAGCGACTTAACTAAGAACATGATGTTACGCCCATGCCCTGAGGGTCTTCAGGGTTGGGGAAGGCCTCTGGTCGCCGCTGAGATGCCCATTAGTGGAAATGTATCGAACGGCCTACAATCAAGAAACTCCAACGCAGCTCAACCAAGAAGCAACTAGTGTTAGCAGCTTGATTTCTTTTATGGTTGGCTGCAGCCTCCATAAGCATGCACGACGGGATCTCCCTGTAATGGTGTTGTGACCTGCAGGAAAGACATGTAGCACAGGTATGTATGCCCGTGTCATACAAGCACTCTGGTTTGTATTGGAAGGAATTCTGGCTCAACGATAATCCGCCAAGTTAGACGACTACACATCAACCGAGCCGTTGTTCAACCTTTTGCATCACCGACGACATCGCCCATGCTCCCAAGAGGTTGCTCAAATAAGAGTCGATGAAATTGAACCTCGACTTCCTTTCTGAGCTAGGTCTCCCGATAAAGCGTCGCTCAAGCGTACTAGCCAGAGTGCGAGGTGCGTAAAGGGACAATGTAGCCAGTGATCCTTCCACAGCGAATCACGTCATCGGCTATGCTCTTATCCACCAACTTGCCGTCTGTTCTCACAGTTGTTCATTTAGCACGGGCTGGCGAAGATCCCTTTTCAATCGGAAAATTGCACCGAGAAAGGCGAAACACCCAGGATCCCAGCTCTAGAAGCCGGGAGCTGAGGTGTTTGACCAAGGAGAGGCCCAACCAGTCCGAATCACAGTGCTGACCATTTCATCCAATCCTCCAGTGGGCAGTCCATCCAACTTTCAATCACCAGACGTGCCATCGCTTCCGGTGGGCCTCCGGTCCCAGCCGGGTGTGGGGGCATACCGGACGTTTAACTGGTCTCGACCCCCCTTGACTCTCAGCAGTCCCCAAAGCATCCGTCGACCAAGAGGTGTATCCAGTGATGCCCAGACATTGGCCTGCAAGCGCTGCACTGCGACTTAGCGACTCCGGCCTTTTCCGTTGAAACTTCCCGCCGGTATCCAATCATCGTCAGCGATGCGAACATGAGTTGCGTCACGTGCTTTACGATACCTGATATAAGAGGAGATATACTTCGCAATGGGAGCACCAGTTCTTGTCGCGAATTTCCAAAGGCTGGGAACATGTCTGGAGGCAGGTTTTTGCCAGCTTCATGTGGAAGCTCAGAAACTTGCAAGACATGATATTGTCACAGGGCGACGGAGGTGTGACGTCGATTGGCAACCAGCACCGTCCCGGCAAGTGGTGTCAGTCATTGCTATGACGAAGGTCATATGAACAACCCCTAAATGGCTTTCGAGAGTGATTTGGGCAAATTTATTGCGTTGTCAGGGTGCAGTTGACTTGACTGTGCTTTGCGGTTGCAGTTAGCGGAAATACTGTGGCCTTGGCTGGAAATCTGGTGCGTGGGCGGCGATGGATGCTCACCCGATAACCGCCTTGAGGTCGACACAACTGCAAAGCAATCATGGGAAGACATTAGCGGGGAACATCACAGCCGAGTCTTTGTGTCTTGGTCTGCATTGCTCCGTCAGGACAGCAATGTCGCTCAACATTGTTGGCCCCGAGTTGAGAGGGGATAGTGAGAGATTGGGAAGAGGACGGAGAAAGCCCCACTGCCGTCAAGGGTCCCCAGGTCCAGAGCCCCCCTTCAAGAACGAAACGCCCGGCTAACGTGACGGAAGCTTGAATGGCGTATCCGAGCACAGTATCACTCTGGTTTACATGGCTGGGACTAAGAAACAGGAGAATGCTGCCGTTGCAGTGTTGCCTGATTGGAGCCGTGGATGTGGAGCAGGTACAAGCACGGTCGTCTGGCGTTGTCGACGCACAATCGTCGGCCAGCAACATTACCCTGGGCCCTTTACTTCGGAGGAGCAGCGTCCTTCAACGGTACTCTACGCGAGAAGAGAGCCACAGGGCATGTACCTCGTGGTATCGGCTGTGAATTTCCTGTATCAACACGCGCCTGCACTTCTGGCTTGAGTACCCGTCGATGGACCGACCCCTCGCAGTGACGCCGCGCGTGGAGGGGTACCCAGAGGTATGTATGCCTTGCCAACGAACCCGCATCGTGCACCGCGTTCGCGCGTACGGATCAACGCGGCCAAGTACCTTCTCCAAAGGAAAAGAAAAAAAAATCTGAAAGTTGGGCGTCAAAGAAGTTGCTAAGTCAGGGCTTGAGTGAGCCGCAGTGGGACTATAAAGAGTTCAACGAGCAATGCTTCCTTTCTTCTTGTTTCCCTTCTCAATCTTCTCAATATTCTCCCATTGCATACACCTCCCTTACTCCCTCCCGGAATCAAGCAGGGTCATTGCCCTCCGCCCTTCACTACGTTGCAGGAGCTTTTCTGACTGTCACTTGAGCACACCACGATGCGTGGCTCTAATAACAAGTATGTCCGATGTGCAGTACAAGCTGGCCCGGTGGCACAATGTCATTTGGACTAACTCCAGATGACTCTAGACCCATCGCTCTTATTCCGACGCCGCCTCCGTCCCCGCCTCGTTAGCAGCCTGCCAAGGTGCCTAGGCCATCACTAAAAGCCATTATATCTACTCCATTGTAGGCATCGATGGTGGCTTCGTCGGGTTTGGCGGTGCGGGTGCTGATGTAGCTTCGAGAGGTGCTCAAGTCTGTCTTCGTGACGAGAGAGTCTCGCAACAGAAAATGGGGGCATCTTGCGGTGGTACAAAACTTCAAGGATAGCTTAGGTGGACGAACCTCCCCCAGCCCTGCGTGGGACTATGCTGCAGAATGGCGGGCATCTGGTTACAACGTACTGTATGGAGACACTGCAAATAGTATCATTTTATGAAGCTGCTGCCTCGCGTTTTAATAAAGCGTTGTACCCCGGGTCTTAGCTTAGGGTAGGCCAGCACGAAGGATTCACAAGACCCTGTCTCTTCTCTGTCAGCCTCATATGATGAACAGGGGTCAAGCGGACATAATTTCCGACGTGACGCCTCACAGTAATTTGATTTCTGGGCAAGCCGAAGATATTATATCGCGATTTCCAGTCCAGGATGCACTTTAAGTCTTCGATGCCTCATACAAGAGCATGACCTAAGCAACATATTTTTTTCCCTCCCCGCCACGTCAGGTAGTTTGTGCAGCATGCCTTTGTCAGCCGGCAACTAGAGCTGCGGGCAAGCATCTGCTGTGTAATGATATTGAATGGATGAGGTGGACTCCGGCCGCATGCCATGCGGCCTTGTAACCCAGCACTGAGTCACAATGGGCACAGTACAACTACATTGCTATATTGTACATGCCACTGAAACTGGATGACGCTGGACAAACTGACAGATCAGCAACGCTAAACCGAACATACTGTAAATAGGGGGCGAAACAGGCGGTGAACTTCCAAGCCAAGCGAGGCTATCGTGCATGCCCCAGTTCTGCGCTGAATTGCACCCTAAAGTATACCCTCCTGTGATATACCGTTCGTGGCGTATGCCAGTTATTGTACCACCATGTGCGGATTGCCGTAGACGTCACTTGGGTCCACTGCCTTATCAATGTATAGAAGATACCAATCAGGGGCTATACACAGGGAAGGGGACCGATCCGCTGGTACTAGGTGATTTGGCGTTTAGGGCTCTCAAAGATCCAGGCACCATCAGGTCATTTTGTACATGCTCACACAACCGTCTCAGAGAGTTCCCAGTTAAATACGGACGCTCAAGATCACGGAAACCTTCAGCCTCTTTCGGCATAACCTGTCCAAGCGATCTCAACCTCATTAGCATTTCTGACCGAAAATTTGGATTATTCATGAATCTCGCATCACTATGAAAGCACACGATACCGAAGCGTGGAGGCGAGCCGCATACTGCTGTGGGCTTCATTATGCATGGAATTGTGATGGGTATCATTCTATGCTTCGTGATTCGTTTGGGATGCCCCGTTGAATATGGTTCCAAATCAATTTCACTCTTGAGTTCTGTAATACAGCTACTAGAAAACCGTTTGTTATCAGGGAGTTAACGTCTTTGTTCACACGCTGATGAGTAGCTCGGTGCACCCAATGGAGCCAGGAGCCAGGAGCCAGGAGCCAGGAGCCAGGAGACTGGCCGGTGGCTTCCACTACTCGCGCAAGACACGGCCGGGATCCTGGCTTGCTTTCATGTCAGGTATAGTATGTATTGCAAGTGCCATGACCCGTTGCAAGTCAGAACTGAACCGGGACCCTCGGTGTTGTTCGCCGGAGCATGTCTCGAACAGCATATATTCGTCCGACGAGCACAATATAAAGCTTGGCGCCAGTAGACTGTGCTCAGCCGGGCGCTGACTGGAACCAATAGGGGAGTGCAAGGGGTTCCTGCTTGGTGCTTTCGTCAGCATACATCGATCTTGTCCAAGACAATGCGAAGGGGGGACGTTGGCCAGCAGGCACGGACGTATCCATGTACGTAGCTTTAGGCCTGCAGGTGGTTGGCTGGGCTTTTCAGTGGGACATCCCGCCCCGAAATGCACCAGGGCAGTCGGCCAGTGGGCCGGGCAGGGAGGCATGGGTGGGCCGGTACTAGATTTCTAGCGCGATCTAGTGGGCTGTCGCTGTTTCCGTCAACCCCCCAGCCCTGACAGCCTACCTAGGTACCCGCTAACTGCAGAGCTGGCAAGCTACCTAGGGTGTAGGTGGAGGTGGAGGTGACGGGAGCCGGCGCGACTGGAGCTCTCGCCTCACAGGTGCATCCAAGCAAGGTCCAGTCGCGCAACAACGTCGACCTCCGCGTCTCCAGACACCAAGCCTGCTCGTCGATAATGTGCCTTCCCAGCCGCGAAGAGCAACATGGCCGACAGCAGCTCAGATCCGTCCAACAAGCTGGAGGGCGCGACAATCCCGATTGCGCAGCTATGCCCAGCGACCCCACGCGAGAAGGCCGTCCACGGCGTGGTCACGATTGTGTGGCCTTACAACTCAGTCAAGAACTTGATCTCCTTTACCCTCGCCGAGCCCGAATTCCGCCTCCGTCGACTCAAGGGACAAGCGCGCATCAACTTCTCCGGCTCCACCGCGAAAGCCATCTCGGAATCCGGCCTAGGGAGCGGCGACAAGGTCCAGCTACAACTAGAAGGTGTTGAATTCCTACCGAACGAGACAAAAGCCCGCGTTCCTGGCGCTGAGCTGGAGTGGCAGCTCAACTTCTCCGAGCGTGTAGTCTTGCGGGTTCAGCTCGGCGACTCGGGCGAAACCAAGACTATCGATATCGATCACCCAGCACAACCGCAACCTGAGCCTGAACCTGAGATTGCAGCGCCACCGTCACCAGAGCCTCACGTCGACCTGTCATCCCTAGATCTACCGCTGCCGCCACCGCCCACCGTGATTAGCTCCACGCCTGCCAAGAGCGCCGCTTTCTCGAGGCTTCAGGACGGGGAGTTTGAATCTCCCGCCTTCAAGCGCGCCCGCATCTCGTATGGATCGCTGTTCGAAGAGGATATCTTTGAGGATGACGGCGGCGCCAAGGGGAGAGGCAGGAAGAGAGCTCGATTCGGACAGAGCATAGGGTCCTGGCGCTATACCAGCCAGTCCCCAAGCCCAGAGCGTTCGTCGCCCGAGGGGGAGGAAGACGTGGCTGGAGATATCGATGAGCCAACAAAGTCCTCGCCCCGGCCTCAAATGACCGATGGCGCATGTCAAACAATGGAGCTTGATCTTTCTGAGCCCCCTGTCCGGGAAACAGCTGTCGAGATTCCTCAGGTCCTCCAGCAGCCAGCCCAGCAGGCGAACCCGTTCCTCAACGCCGGCTTCGTAGACCAGGGACATCAGACCCTCCCAATGAGTGGGTGGGGCTCTGCGGCAGTTGTGTCACAGTCACCTTTTGCGAGCTCTGGGTTCCTCAGCAGCCAAGAACAGGCTGCGCCGTTTGGCTCGGGGGCAGGGCTTGGGCAGGGCTTGGGCGAAGCACACCAGGGGTGGGGGTCTTCATCTACGGCGGGCCAGCAAACACCGTATCCGGAGCTACCACTGGATTCACATCAGGAGCACATCGCGCCAACTGTAGAGCAGCCTTTCGCAACACCAGCAGCATATGGTTTCGGAGGTGTCGTGCCTGGGATTCCCGCTGAGCATGCAGGAGAGGCCGGCGCTGCAGGTCCTATTGATGTGTCGGGGAATGTCGAGTCCGACCATGTTCACGCTGAGCCGTTAGCAACGATGAGCTACCCGGTTCTCCCACTTGAAGAGCCTTCTTTGACCGGACAAGCTTCCCCGGCACACCCTGTTGCGCATGTTCCGGCGGCTTTTCCCTTCACTAAACCAGGCGTACCACTTGCAGAAGAAACTGTGACTGTTCCAGCGAACCCTTTCGCTCGCGAGGGCGATGTGTCTTTCGAACGGGCAGGCATCAATGCGGGGGCTTCGTCGTGGGCTTCCGTCAACAACAAGCAAGCAGAGAACCAAACTACATCCCGACCCTCATCAGATCAGTTAGGAAGCACTGATGGTCAGACACCGGACTCCGCTTTAGTCATTAACGAAAGCGAGTCGGAGGGTGATGATGGCTCTCTAGAGAATCAAGAGACGGGAGAAGCTGCAAGTTCGCTGCCAGAGCGTGCACAACACGCGCTTTCACACACTGGCGCTGATCACCTTCGAGAACGTGTTCCGTCTCCTCCCGGAATCCGTGAAGAGGGCTTGGAGGACGAGGAGCAAATAGATGAGGATGACGTTTCAGACCGGTATGACGATGAGTACGATGAAGACGATGCCGGAGGTGATTACGACACACGCAAGTACCTTCGTCCTTTGGACGACGAAGATGATGGCAATGATTATGACCTACGCCAACATCGACTGGAGCCGGAGTTTGATGACGGCGAGGAGGAAGAGAGCTACGACGAGGACGAGGAGGAATATGATTCGGACGAGCTTGGAGACCGCCCGGAAGGCTTTGAGGGGCGTCCGGATATGGTCGGTGATGTTTTATCTCCATCAGGACCCCAACGGCAACCTCTTCCAGTCCAGCGACAGATGATGCGACTACCCACATCCGCGCCTGTTGTGATAGACCTGCTGTCCGATTCCGATGACGATGCAGAAGCACCCCCGTCTCGGCCTGTTGCTAGTAGCATGCCTTCAGGCCGCGCCTTACCTCTACCATCACAGCCTGTAGTGATGTCACCCGAGTACGGTCCAGAAAGCGACGAGGATGAAGATAACGTGGATGAGGAGGAGGATGAAGACGTGGAAGAAGAAGACGCGGCGGAAGAAGACGCGGAAGAGGAAGACGCAGAAGAGGAAAGCGATGAAGTGGAAGAAGAAGAAGACGTTGAAGGTGAGGAAGACGAGACCGACGAGGAAGTGGAGCGTGAACTGGATCAAACCCAAGCCTTTCTGAGACATCAAGAGGAGCAGCTTCAAGTCAAAGATGCTTATAGCGACGAAGAAGATGCGAGCGAACTCGAACATGAGCACGAGGACGATGAAAACGACAATGCCGGCACTGAGCTTCGAGAGGACGACGGTGAAGCCGGCGTCAATGATGGAGATATCGACCCAGGTCCTGTTGCCGTCCAAGCGGCTCCAATTCTGCAGTCTCAGGATGTTCCATTGGCGGATGAGCTGAACGACCAACGACAGTCACCTGTGTTACCCCTGACAATCATCGAGAAAGAGGATGTGCAAATGGCGGAGGGAGCAGCCGAGGAGGAGCAGCTAAGTCCGGTAGATCTGGTCGAAACTGACGGGCCTGGCCTTGATCATGTGGATGATGAGCCCGCTCAGCCTGCGAGTCAAAACTCAGATCATGCATCACAGAGTCAGGAGAAACCCGCAGAACCGATAGACAATGCCATTGTCGTCGCTTCCTCACCCCCTGCAACGCAATCATTCCAGTCACAGATAATAGAGGAGATGGATGAATTTGCCACGCAGGAGACAGATGTTGTGGAGGGTCCTCAGGCTCTAACTGATCAACTCCCTACTCCTCTAGATACCCAAGTGGTGGAGTTGCAAAAGATGACGGTCGAAAAGATGGAGGTAGATGGCGAAGGGGAAGTTATTGAGGAGAGTGCTGAGCATCAAACATCTCTTATCATTGAGAAAGTACCTGAGGCTGAACAACCAGCCTCCGCCGAAGAAGCCCATCCATTACCTGAGCAGACAGCTGTATCGCCAGACCGTGCGTCAGCCAAGTCGACTGTGGCGCACGACGACATGATGGAGATCTCGGAACAGCCGGAAATGCCGATCGATGTGTCTGATCCAATCGTTGAAAGTCATGTTGATGCCGGCGGTGAACCTGTGGAGGGACGTCTTAATGATGCAAGCTCCTTTGTGTCCCAGGTTGACGATGAAGACGCCTTCCAAGCTATCAGCCCAGAAGAAGACTCACACGATGTCGAAGATACTACGCAAGAAGCTGCTTTGCTGACCGAGCTCGTGGAGCACGCCCCTCAAGAGGCATCCAATCTCAAACGTCACTCTCGAGCTACATCTCCAGAACTCAAGCAGACTCCTGCTAAAGAGGCAATTGAGCCCGTGATTGTCGTGGAAAGCCCGGAACGACCGCAAGTCCTCGATCCAGTTTCAGGGGACGACACCGACGACGCACTTGATCCCAGCGTTAGGCTTGCAAAAGCTGCCGTCGCCTCAAAGAAGGGCAGCCGGAAGCGGGAAGTTACACCGGAGGTACATCGACCACAGACAAGATCTAAGAGCCTGCAGAAAAGCCCGACGCCCGAGGTTGCAGATGATAGTGTCCAACTTGCCAAGGCCTCTCTCAATACACCCACGAAGACAGAAAAAGCGGATGCCAAGACCGTAACCAGCTCACCCGCTTCTTCGAGAGTCGATGAAGAGCCTGGTTCGATTACGGCTTCCAAGTTGAAGCTCGTTCGCCATCTGCGCGATGAGTTGCCCGACTGCACGACTTTGAAGGTGCTACGACAACACATGGGCAAGGCCGTCGAGGTCATGGCCATGGCCATGATGAGCCCGCCTGATCCTCAGCGTGCCAAAGGCGGCCCGCGAGAGTACATGATGTCCTTCTCCATCACGGATCACAGCATTGGCCCGGCGGGTGTTGCCGAGGTACAGCTGTACCGCCCACACAAGGAGTCCCTGCCCATAGTCAAGGCTGGTGACCCTGTGCTACTGCGCAATTTTACCGTGGTGTCACTCCAAGGCAAGGGCTACGGGCTCCGCACCAACGACGGCTCGAGCTGGGCTGTTTTCGATGCTGAGGATGAACCGGCTCAGATCAAAGGCCCCCCTGTCGAGTATGGTGAGAGCGAATCGACGTTCGCAGGTCATTTGAGAGAGTGGTTTGGGCTTCTGGACGACAAAGCTAGACATAAGCTTGAGAAGGCGACCCAGAAAATCATTGAGACTGGAAAGGCGAAGCCAAGCTCATAGCTTGTTTTGGCTTATACAGGTACACGGAATAGCCCGGCTTGTGCACAGGGGCAGGAGATGCTGATCTTGCAGAAAATTTCATAGCGCCCCTGAGGCATCTTGATGATACAACAGACAAAGAGCCTAGCTTGCTATAGCTCAATCAAAAGACATGAAGAACAACAAACTTGGCGTGACTCCTTCTGCAAGATTGACTACTTACCCTTGCAGATGGTAGTAGAGGGCGTTGTGCCTACAGTGCCCCGACCATGTCTCCAACAGAACGTCGTGGAGGTTTTACAGCGGCACAAAACCACCTGATGCCAGATGACACTGTCGTTTGCTGGGCTGATAAGTGCTGGCTAACCTTCTTGATCATGAAATTGAAAAGCGCTCTGGTAGATTTTGGTAGATGGTGTGAGGATTGAACCATCTCGAGTCTATTGTGACATGATGGATGGAGTAGAGCAGCACCCCTTCTATGTCGTGGGGTTTTGCTTTCAACACAGCTCTAGGTCCCTATAGTACACGTTCCCCCGGTCCTCCGCGCCTTTCTCTTGGTACATATACAGCTCATACACGCTTCACATCGTCTGCAGCTGCATCCTGCCTTGGCCACGGTCGATATTATCACATTCGCCAGTAGCAGTCCCGGCTCCCTGATGCGACAAGTGCATGTCTAGTTGGACAGCGTATGCCGGCCCTTAGTCCGCCTCCTCTGCAGCGTGCGGCGACCCGTCCGCGTCCGCACGCGGCTGAGGAATCCATGTCTGCGCTTGCGAATGAGTCGACTCGTCTTGGCCATGGTCGGGCGCGGCCCGCAGCGGATCTGCGACCCGACGCCCAGTGCCGGATGCGACGTGATGGCACCGCGGGGGACAAGGTCCAGCGTTGCCCCCGTCGCGTCTTCCGAGCTTGCCGTGGAGAGGATGCTGGGCGAGAGCGAGAGGCTCGGGGTCGATTGGCGGAAGACGCCGCTCGTTCGCGATGGGCAGTTCAGGGTCGGGCGGAGGGTCGGGAGGGTTGTGAAGGTTCTACATGGCTTGTTAGGTGATCTGCTGTGATTGTGCCGGCTTCTGCGACGTGATGGGGGTAGGGGACTACCTCTTGGTAAACAGGCACTGCGTGTTGGCGGTCGCTGTCCGCGCCGAGCAAGTGGCTCTGGACAGAGCTACCCGGGCTGAGGACGTGATGGGCGCCATTGTGCTGTATTGAGCCGTCGTGGGAGAAATCCGGCTCGGCTTGGCAAGAGGAGAGCGACGCGGACTCTGTTTTCGTTGCGCCTGGCTCTTAAACAGCCGTGTTGTCGTCGAGATCGCTCGTCGTGAATGTCTGGTATGCGACTCTGGAGCAGCTTCGTAGAGCTTCACTCCTGGAAATTTCGATTCGAGTCGCAACCGGGCCGTCCGCGCTAGTTTGCAGCTGTCAGTCAGCGTCGGCAACACGACAGGCCAAACGAATAGTCGAGATGTATGATATTCTATAATAGCCTCTTTAGGCTCATACAGTTTCTACTAGTACAAAGCTATGGAATCGCCCTTTTACAGTAATTTGGATTGTCTAGTTCTGTGCTTGCCAGTTTTCATCGCGTTGTTGGTGCCGGACGAGCTCACGCGACGGGCAACAAACACAGTGAACATCGCACGCATACCATTGACACCGCCATCGACTGCAAAGTACTGCATAAGAAAGATGAGACGACAGTTTATAGGGTAGGCAAAAGAGCACCGTTCAGAAATCTGGCAAGAAGAAGCTCCCGGGGATATCTGCCGGTCTATTCAACTGAGGTTGAGGAAACAAGAGGTGGGATGCCCGACGTTGACGATCCCTGGATGTATCAAAGGAACGTACGGACATCTTGTGATCACTGACGGGAATGCTTTATCAGATTTGGGTTTCTATTATCTTACGTATCATACATGATGTACACAAATACAGCATTGGATCAATCATCAATCCTTAGTATCGCGTGCCTCGCGGTCTTGATATTTCAACGCAAGATACACAGGACTAGGTTGAGGGCATACGCTAGACAGCCTTCACAGCGGAAATCAAGGTGATCTAAACAGCTCCGATATCATGATTTGGAAAATAATGGTTTGCTAGAGCAAACAGTGCGACTTCCTCAACTCCCTCGGCTGTTGAGGGACTGGTCATCAGACGTGGCTCCTCCAAACTTGACAGTGCTCCCATTTTGTTTAGCCTTCCAGGTGAACAGAACGCGCTTCAATATTACAGCCTGTCTGCTCTTCGCGCAAAACCGTCGGTCTACAGGCCAATAAAGTACAGTTCACTTAGTTCGTCAGACGCGCGCGTCACTTTAGCCATAGCTTCTTCCTCATGACGACGCTCGAGGCACCGTACACAACGAAAAATAATCTCCAAGGAGTTGAAATCAAAAATTCCACCAACCACGACCCCGAAGGATAGTGGAGCAAGTAGAATACCACGCTGTGCAATGCAGATTCCACAAACTAAAAGGCCACATGCTTGATCGTGGCCTTTTTTAGCAAGGTAAGTATACCAAAGGAAAGGAAAAAGAAGAGCAGAACAATGTGAGGGAGGGCACATATTTATAGAGATCTGGCAGAGACCTTAGGCGGTGGGCGGTGGCAGTATCTGGGAGCCGCAATCAGCAGATGTGGGTCTCCGGAGATTGGGTGCCTGGCTCTGGCTACAGCAGAACTCACTGATTGTCTGCATCAAAGTGAATGCATTTTTTTGTTGCATTTTCTGATTCTTCTTTGTTGCCGTGGAGACTTGATTCACTTGCTGGGCTGATTTGCACGGATTCTTTTCATTGGGCGTGGATTCGACTGGTTGCATTCACGGAGTACATACTGGAAAATGAAGGTTCAGAAGCGAGGCCCTTGGACCTTCATATCTAGCGGGTGCGGCCCGTTGCTTCCAAAGTGGGGGCCTGAGCCTTCAGGCATCATCTCTCGCCCCAAGGTACCCAGTTACAGTACAAGGTGAATCAAACGAAATCAGAGACATAGGGAACGATGCTGCTGATGGGTTGCAGTTAAGTATTCTCAAATTCCTATCTATTGACTGGGTCCTTGTCGACAGTCAATTGCCGACTCACGCCCCAGCCAGCTCGTTCTGTACACAAACCCGTGAACCAACCACTACCGCATGTTTGCCTTGACCCTTTCCAGAAGCTGCTCCCTCGTATCGCTGTCCTGGGGATGTAAATTCCGCTGCATCTACCGTCAATCATCCAGCGTAGCCCACAAGTTGAGAATTACTTACCGCAGCCAGCCACCTCCTCATCTCATCCCTCGTCCAGGTCTCCGGGTTGCCCGTGGGATCCGCAGCGGCGGGGAACATGTCGCTGCCCCAGATCGCCCAGATGCCAGTCGCAGCGACCAGACCGGCGAAGCCTGTTTGCTCAGCAGTCTATTAGTACGTAACGAACCGTAAAACAAAAGCAATGCCGTCGATTGTCTAAATACCTAGGAAGGCGTTCTGCTTCCTGCGTTAGCTTTGTGGCTGTCTGAGAGGGTTCATGTGGCAAGCCCACCTTTGAACGCATAGCGTTGTCCAGAGGAGTCATTCTGTGTGCCTGTCTGCAGGAGAAGACCACGAAGACGCAATGCTACGATTGAACCGAGATGCGTTGCGCTCGCCTTACAGGAGAGTTCCTTCGAAGTCGGTGTTGTGACTGAGCAATTGAATTAGCACAATAGTTGGAGTTGCGAGAGATGGCGATGGTGGCGACTTCTTCACGACGCGTGTCTTTTTGAGGCCACATCTGCCCACCCATCCAACCACTTCAGGCACCACTGCTTTCTGCCTTCGAAACATAGTGAGTCATACTACTTCGCAAGAGAAGAAACTCATTCCAATTTGACAATTAGTTATGGCCGTATATAGTGTGATGTATCTGTTGTGTCGATTGCCGCCCAAATCTCTGCATTCAGTCATGTAGGTGGACTCTGATTCCAATAGTGGCTTGTGACATCCACGATCATCCCTTGTATTGCAAGCTGAAAACCAGGTGCCCAGGCAGTTGGCAGTTGATGATTAGTTGCATTTACAACATTATTATTATATAGGAAGTTTAGTAGTGCTTGTACGAGTGCCCCAGTTGTACAATTCCACCCTGGCCAGCCTGAGGAGTAAAATGCCCTCTGACAACCCCTATAACCGCCTTTTCCAAATCCGAGCAACGACGCACGCTCGCAGTCATTATGAACCAACTGTTTTTCTGCGCAGTTCTGCTGGTCGCAACAACGAATTGTACCATTATCCATCTCGGCTCATAGCCAATTTTCCGCGCCTTAACCCAAGCATGCCTTACTCCGATGCCCATATTTTCCAGGCCCCACTCGACGTATTGCAAAGCTGACCTTAATCCAAAAAGAAGATGAAGAAGAGACAAGAAGACAAAGGCTCATACTACCTTGAGCGTACCAGTTCTCTCAGGGATTGAGTTGTAGTCAAGTGTCTCCTTTTCCCTTCCTGTGCCCCATCCCCGGCGATCCCTTGGATCCCTTGGAGCTGAAGCATCCATCGGTGGCCTGTCCCGCCTTCCCAAGGTCATAGTCCTCCCCTCAGAGCGGAATGCTTCAAGTTGAGCTCTATCCCTCTCGCCCAGGGTCATGGTCCTGCCCTCGTTTCGCCCAGGTAGGGAGGGCACTGGAGGGATATCGTCCAGCAGAGTCCTTGAGGCAGGGCCACCCGAACTCTTGCTCCGGGTGCGGGCTGGTCCAGAGGCGCCCCTTGGCGACGGGATCCCGCTGAGTAGAGGCGCCGTTCCCCTTCTTACAGCACTGCGAGGTGGCACTTCAAGAAGGCCGTTCGGCCCACCCATGGGCGTCCCGACACTAATCATGTCCACAAGGTGGTGCATCCCCTCTGGTGCCTTGACGCCGTGTCCCTTTCTGGCCCACTGTGGCGGCTCGTTGATGGTTGGAGCAGACAGGTTGACCAGAGGCTTTGGGGGCTGGCGGCGAGCTCCCGGGTTGGCCAGCCCTGCAACCCCGCCCGGCGAGCCAGGCCGGTGCGGACTTCGGATGTGGGGTGGTGCTTCTGGTCGGCGGCCAAGTTGCGGAAGCGGTGGCGGCCGAAACTGGGAGCGCGAGGCGTTTGGTGGCCTGCCACCGTGCAGCGCTCCACCGGCGGTGCTTGGACGCGGTTTTTCGACCTCGCGCGTTTTAGCCGTGTGCTCCTGAGCAGAGGGAAACCAGCTTATTTCCGGCTTTTGCGCAACCTCGGCTTCGGCTTGCTTGTTGAGCAAAGAAGGGCCATCGGTGAAAGGGGACCCTCCCAGATCACCGAATTCCTTCGACAGTCCCCTGTTGGATGCCTCTTTGTCCACGCTTGCTTTGCGTTCCTTGTATGTCTGTCCCAGGAGACCGTTACCGGTGAACGCTCCGTCATCGGCGGATTTGATCTTGTCGATGAGGGCGCCTTCCGATTTGCTCTCCGCTGGCGCATTTTTCAGGTGCGCCGGGATGGACTTCGGCATGGTAGAAACGTCTGGCTCAGGCGGCAGGAAGTCCTTTCCAAACTGAGATAGCCGTTTATCAAACCGCTTCATGTCGAGGAGCGGCTCGAACTCTCCAATGGCGTATGGGGACTCATCAACTGAAATCCTGAGGCGGTGCTCACCAGAAGTTGCAATGTTGATCGACTTCTTGGGTGCGTGTTTGGAAGTACTACTCAACCGTGGAGGCTTATCGTCCGTCTTGGGTACTGAAACCCGGCGCGCGGCGGGTCTGCGATCTACTAGATACCAGCTCCGCCAGCTTTGAATTCGTGCTGAGAACTGTGCCGCAATCTGAGGATCTTCCGTACAGAAGTATTGGACAAAGTTCTCCGCGTTCATGAACATGGCCGGCTTGTTCTGGCTCTTGACGGCGAAGCAGTGCTTCTTTGGAGGCTTGAGGTGTCTCCTCATCTGCGACTCTACTGGGGTGTAGATATCGTAGTCTGACAGGTGGCACAGACTGAGGGTGTCCTTGTCCGACGAGCTGGCGTTGGGCTTCTTGGCGCATATAATCTGGCCGTTGTCCATGAGGGTGACCCATCGCTTGTTCCACTTCCCGGGCCGGTTTGAGTGATACATGTATAGCTGCACTCCCTTGGGCGGTTCCTCGCCGTCGGGCACAGATTCCACATCCAGATCTCGGTCCTGGTCCGGATCCGTCGACATCGAGACAACCAATTGATTATGAGTATCGCGGTCCCACGAATTCAGGACATCCCGTATGTGCTCGAAGCGTCGGATTCGGCGTTCCAGGCCGAGAGGACCGTATGACTCGAGTACTATGCAGCCTGACGAGCTCCATTCCAGATCGTGGGCCATGTTCTTCGCAGTTTCTTGCACGATGTCGTCGGGCGTAGTGTCTGGGCTGACGGACAAGATGAACGTATGATGTTTGCAGCGCACAGAAACGATCTGCAATAGTTATAAGGACATGACAGCTCTGCTTACTTGGATATTGACTTACGCGTTCGCCATGATTCACCGCCGAGACGGGCGCATCTGTCTGCGGTACGATGCCTTTGCCTCCGACCTCGATCCCAATGGGCAGCTTGGGAACGTCTGGAGGCTTTGTCGGACTGCGATTGGGCGTAGAGGACGTCGGCGAGAGGCCATCCTTGCTCTTCCGCCGCTTTGTCAACATTACGAACTTCTCGATCACAGGACTCCTGACCTTGGCCGGTTTAGTCGCCTGAGTCTGGCTGTTGGCCAATTGGATCTGAAGCCTCTCGAGGTCCTTCTTCTTCTGCTGGGCGAGCAACCGATGGGCCTCACTCTCCTTGTGTGCAACCTGCTCTGCATGCTTTGACGCGGCAGCCTGGTCCGTCAGGCGCCTCTCAACGTCATCTCGATCGGCTGTTCTCTTGCGCTCGCTTTCGCCGCTCGTGTTGCGAGACTGGCTCTCATGGTCCGTCATCCTGCGATAGGAATTCCTTGCGGCGTGGTCGAGGTGTCGCAGCTGGTGGTGGTTGTGCTGCGAGGAGGAGGAAATCGAAGTGCCACGGGAGCCGGTCGAAGCAGCGCCTTCGTTGCCATTCTGCGCAAGCAAGGTGCCTTGCCCATTGCCACTCGTCCGGACGGTGGATGGTATAGCAGGAACAGGGGGCGCATCATATGGTTGTGGAGCTGCAATCTTCGGGGTTGCATCGCTATCGCCGGATACGCTGGCAGCACGTCGACGGTAGCGTGACATGGACCTGGAGATAGAGTTTCCCGGCGCAGTGACAGGTGCAGGGGCTGAATCGGGAACATCCTCCTTTGCCTGCGCCGGGGGTGCCTCCTGGTTCGTATATGAGATATCGTAGCTCGCCGGGCTGGGCCTTGCCGGATGGCTGTTGTTGCCTCTCAAGGCCCGATACCTCGAGACTTTCTGGGCTTGCGGCTCCGGGCCGTCGTATGAGTCTTCCCCGCGCGACATTGCTGGAAACACTGGGGCGATGCGAACCTTGGTGGTGAACGGCTCTGCCAGGTTCGTTCGACTCGGCTGGGGAAAGCCAGTGGCAGCGAAGTGACGATCTCGACCGGACGATGATCTTCAGCAGGGAGCAGGGACTCGTTATCAAACTGTCTTGATTTGGTCTGGGATCTGAATCTGAATCTGAATCTCGGGGGTGCAACCCCCAAGTTCAACGTTCAACGCTGGTCGGTCGCAACTTGGCAATCTCCACAGTGAAGGAGATAGACCTGACCCTTTGCGAGCAGCGACGCAGGAAAAAGAAACGACGGACGTGGGACGAATGGGCGCGCTAGAACACGATGCCTTGTGCCTCGTCAAACCAAACAACCCTGCCGACTCGACTGCGCCGCGTAGTCACTCCTTGCGCATTGCAAATTAATCTCACGAATCTCACAGCTGCCAGCCGCTGGAGGTTTCCCACGTCGGGGCGGTCGTGGGTATGGGCAAGCCGTATTGCCGGGCCTGATGCAGGTCTACCGTCAGTCACCCGCCCAGTCGTTGTTGAAGATGGCCGAGGGGCACCTTGCATGAAATAATCGGAGATGTCAACCGAGCCAAGGAGGTCCAGGAGTGGTGGCAGGCCAAGTTTGTGGGCCCCATCCTGGGTATGCTGCATAAATATATCTAGGGGCCTGTTGGCATGGCGGATCATCGGATTAGAGACAGTGACAGAACTCTTGGTCAATGGGATACAAGTTGGCGCATTGCAACAGGGTACCGGATAAACAGAACAAGTTCGCAACCCTGTCGCCGTACAGACCTCTGCCTGGACGCAGTTCCCAGCCCCCCCAGGCTTATTGTTTTTGTTTCCCAATTCTGTTCCGTATTGCACAAGTACTATACCCTGGGCTCCAAGGTAGTCACGAGAGCATTTCCGTATGGTCGAGTGACGATCCGGGGGGGCTCACCTGAACCAACGGGTCCAAAGTTCAGGACCTGCATCTGAATCTGGGACATTGGACTCAGTCTAGGCCACTTAGCGTCCAGCACGACCTTGGTGGCAGGGCGACCCCTGCTGTACCCGGTGTTTAGGTCTGATAAGTCGGCAGATTGCCCGAATGCCGGGATGGATCATGGGGGGATGGCGACAATAGGGTGTATCGCATCGTGCAGCTTAGTTCCAGAGCCCCGTTCTGCATCAGAAGCAGTTCATTATCCTCTGGACTTATCATATCCCATGCGAGATGCGTACCGGTCTTTATGCCAACAAGAAACAGACCGCGATAGGTGCTTTCCAAGGACTACGCGTGGCCAGACGAGTTCTACCGCCGGGCCGCCGCATCTGTTTCGCGGCATCGATGATTCCCGATCACTGGGGCTTTTCGCCCCAAACCTACGTCCCGCACGTGTTGTGGGCCAAAATCAAAGGGTAACTGGCACATTTTGGCAAGTCACTGTCAGCTTGTCATGAAAAAGAAGGTTTATGCCATTTCAATACACCCGTGTTGACCGTGCTCATTTTCTGAAAGCTCGGACAGACCATCTCCACCAGCCAACGAAGTCTTGGGTCGAGACATCAATAGCGAGGTCCTTCAAAGCCTTGGTGCTCAAGTGGCAATCATAGGGCCGTTGGACGCTCGCCTTGGGGTCGTTTCCCTCGGTATTAGCTTCAATAGCTGCCATTGGAAGCCCCATAATCTCGCTGAAGACCTTACAGATCTCGTACTTGGTGTACCTATCCTCTGAGGAGAACTGTAGAGTTTGCGGTAGCGACGAACGGTCTCCAGCCTCCAGATACTTGACTGTGACATCTGCGACACTGTTAGCTTATGAAACACCACCAAGGGCTCGCTCCAGCTGGTTACCATGACAGACTCGTCCGACATCCTCAGTGTTGGTCGGGTAACGAAGCGCCCAGTGATCCATCTTGATCTTGGCTCCCTCCTCCTGGGCTTTCCAGACCGAATCCATAAGAACATTGACAGCGCTTTCAGAGGGGGTCTCTGCATCGCCGTACAGCACTGGAACTCTGAGTACGACACCCAGACCCGGCTTCCCTGCCGCCTTGAACGCCTCCTGAGTAGCATATTCCCCGTCCAACTTTGTCTGCCCGTATAGGTTTGTAGGCGCAGGCTGAGCATCCGCTTCGTACGGGGCATCGCCAGGCTTTCCAGGGAATACATAATCGGTTGAGATGTAGATCAGGAAGATATCTCGAGCTGCACAGAGATTTGCAAGCGACTTTGAGGCGGCAACGTTCAGGGCGCGCGTGCCCTCGGGGTCGTTGTCGCACTTGTCAGGGAATCGATTGGCTGCGCAGTGCACCAACGCCTGAGGCCTGGTGAACGAAGTATCAGCGAGCTTGTCTTGAGCAAGGGTGTCGCTTGCTGTCTGACTTGACGGTGTCCAAGGTTTTCTCGACCTCTGCAGCGCTTCCAAGGTCAACCTTGAGGACCGATATCCCATCGGCTCTCGAGAAACCGGTGCCCTTGACGGTCCAGTCCTTTCGTTCAAAGGCTCGGACGACCTGTCGTCCAAGAAGTCCCGTGGCGCCGGTAACAAGAACCGTTTTGCCAGACATTTTGAGGGTATGGTGTCTCACGATCTGTGGTATTTGGTCTTTGCAGACACGTTCGACGATGGAGGGGCATTGAGGGGCAGGAAAAGAGCTTCAAGAAATTGGGGACTTAAGGGACCTACCCCCCTGTAAGGTATGAGGTAATGGCTGGGGCGTGAACCGCCAATCGATCGGCTCAAAACCGCGCCGGTAAGTGTGTGCCGTTTACGTCTTGCAGTATAAATATTGAGCTGCCGCTACAAGTTGTAAGATTATGGGCAGATACCATCCGTCTCAGTGCAAGCCGCAATTGTGACTGTCTGCGTATTTCATAGCGTGAGCGAAGTCGACGTGCTTTGGTAACTTCAGCGAGGCGATGCCATCAACACATTCGGGCACAGCTTTGTCGTGTGAACTTGCTGCGGTCCCGAAGTCCAAGTTCCGTCACCCCTAAGAAAAACTTTCTTCTGCCACAACATGCGCAATGTCATGGTCTTGAACAGTGGAGTTATATTCCTTCATAGCACTTCGTGGTACTCTGTAGGCGCAAGACTCCCCAACAATCTCCCTAATGGTATTCCATACAAATCGTTTCTTGATTGGGCGTGTGATGGTATATTTCACCATGTATCTCTCAAAGCGTCTCCACCTGCATTCAAGATGTTCACTCCCTCCTCGACCCGTGTGTGCCACGCGCCATCCCGTATCCCAACTGGCCAAGTAGGCAGATCCCTATCTTGCCTTGAGCTCCTTCCTGTGCGCCCTTTTCAGCTGCCCTCTCATGGTCTACAGCTGAACACCACTGGATGCGAAGAACACCGAGCCTACCGCCCTGCCTATTTTACGCTCCTGTATTGTGAAATGGTTGGGCCACAGACCTCGTCGCCGTATTGTGCCCTACGTATAGGCTCGTTTTACTTTCTTGGAGCCAGGCGTCCACTTAGAACCCCATACAGCCTGCCCGGAGAGCTAAGCAAAGAGGTACATCCCTCCAGTAGTCATCGTGAGAGTGGCAGTGTTGGCTGCACGTCTTGGAGGAAGTCTGTCGGATACCAGGCCAAAACCTCGCTCCCCTTGCCTTCTTCGCCCCAGTTGAGATATATACCTTCACAGTTGTAGTGATTCAATCCTCCGAACTTCCTGGAGAACAGCAGAACTAAATACATAGGGAAGGAAATGACCCTCTATTAGGTTTAGATAGTAGATGGTGATGATTATCTGGCATCGGGTCTACTTCATTCGACGTAATACCTCGACTATTTTCCCATACCATCATTGAAAGTATGTGTGGGTAACAATCCATTACAGCACGAAGGCCAGGTTGTCTGGCACTGGGCATTTACTTTTGGCTCTTCAGTTTTTCGGCCATATAAGTTTACCTAGTTAAGTAGTTTAGCCAAGGTCTTAGCGCCTGTTGGTGGCTGACCGCTGGTGGGGCTGGGTTCTGGCCGCTCAGTGGGGATTGGTCCCGCAGTAATTTTTGGAAATTTTCCCCATCAAAAGTGTTTGGGTTGTTGCTTGTGATCTTAACCAGGCCGAGTCCACCACGCACTGCAACATATTGGAGAAACCGTTCGGGACGCTCACCCAGCAACTGACGAGCCACAATGCCGCACAAGCATACCCGCCGGGATAAGGATCATTCGACGTCAGTATTCCCTTTAGAGCACGCGGGAAGAGGTTACTGCCGCCTGCGTTGGAAGATGCTAACTTGCTTTGCTTCACAGCTTCAACCTGCCGCCGTCACAGTTCGCCAAACCCTTACCCGTCAAACCCAAGAAGCAAGATGGTCAGAAAAGCGACAATGCTGCCGCGCAGGGCAAGAAGCGCAAGAGAGATGGATCCGGGCAGAGCGACACACCGCGCGCGTTCAGAAGATTGATGGCATATGCCGATGGAAAGAAGCCAAGATCAGGGTTGGATGACGGACTGATGCCCGAGACCCAGTCGAAGAAGAAGAAGAACAAGAAGGCTGCCGATGACGCAACTGATACTGCCGCCACCGACACCAAAGGGAAACCCGAAATCCCCACCATCCGCCCTGGAGAGCGCATGTCGGACTTTGCTGCCCGTGTCGATGCTGCTCTGCCTGTGGGTGGACTGATTGGCAAAACGGCAAGGGGAGGAAAGGACCCCCTGGGCCTTAAAGTGTGGCGCACCAAGAAGGAGAGACAGATGCACAAGCTGTATGACGAGTGGCGCGAAGAGGAACGCAAGATTCGCGAGAAGCAAGAGGAGGAAGCAGAGCTGCAAGAAGAGAAGGATCTCGAAGATGAGGAGGCCGGCGTATCGTGGAAACTCAACATGCAGGGAGCTCCTGTCGCAGGCAAGAAGAAGAAGAAGGGCAAGCGAGCTAGGTATCTGGGTGAGGTGGCTGGCGCTGAGGAGGACCCATGGGAAGAGCTGAGAAAGAAGAGGGGCGAGACGAGGCCAGGGCTCCATGATGTCGCGAAGGCGCCACCAGAGCTCAATCTCAAGCTTCCCAAGAAGCTTACTGTCCGTGGCGCCGCCGTTACAGTGGATGGTGTTCCGAAAGCCGCAGGCAGTCTGAGGAGAAGAGAAGAGCTCCAAGGGGTGCGAGACGATGTTGTGGCATCGTACCGAAAGATGATGGAAGGGAAGAGACCAAGTTTGCACCAATCCTGAGACAAGGTGGTTTGTACACCCAGAGGCAGTTTGCATGATACCCATTTCAAAACACTGATTCAAGCGCCCTAAAGACGTGATACTTTGCGTAGAAGCGGCAGAACGTGTTGGAGGCCAGAGGACGGGAGACGGGCAACAATCGGCAGATCAAAAACAGATTACGACAGATTGGCTAGGATGGGTTTCCCCCTGTCCATTCTTTGAGCAGGATAGCTATATTCTGCTAAGGAATCTGAGCATGGTTATCGGTGTGCTGTGCCAAATACCATACTGCTGTTGATGCCATATCTGGCAGGCTGGGAGTGACGGGTATCAACAGGGTCCAAACGTGACTCAAGGTTTGATACACTTTGCGGCCGATAGCAGATTAAGATTCACAAGCCTGTCGCCTACAAACTCGCGGATTTCTCCCACCGTAACGTTGAATGAGGTTCACGGCAAGTTGTAATTACCTAGCACAGTACCCGTAACTAGATATCGTATAGTCATAGTGAGGAACTCGTCAGTGAATACCTAGGTACACTTGCATTGGAGCTGGACCTCAAGCCACCCACAGTCCACGAGAGTTTCGAGCTTCCAGATGGGTGCATGAGCCCCACTGTACGTAACTACCTCTCGCCGCCTGACAAAATTGTCTGGGCCCCACTGCGCGCAGCTTTCGCCCAGAAAAAAATCCACCACGCACCCAAAAAGAGTTCCAAACCGACACGTTCGAGTCCGTCCGTCGGCACCTCTGCGAATTTTTCCCTTCGCGGCCGCTCTGCATATCACCTCCGGCCTCATTGATTCCTTTCCATTCACAACCCACGCGACCTGTGAGCTGCCGCCGTCAATCGCACAGAGAGGTTTTGACATCCTGATGCTGGTCATTGGCCTGGTATCGCTGCTCACTATCGGGACTCACCCGTCCGCACCTAGCTTTGGTCCAAGTCAAACTTGCTGGAGCTCCACCACTCGCCTCTCAAGACGGGGCCACTGAGATGCCAGAATCTGTCTTTGACGATATCCAATAGTCGGCATTGTTCCACTCGCCAATACCTGTCGCTCTCAGAGTCCTTCGCTACTTACTATTACTTTCACTTTGTGCTCTCCGAACAATACCTGAACACACAGTCTCCTGGCTTCTTGGCATCGTTCGGCCTACCTAGATGCCTCTAATATTGCCGACACCATGGAGCAAGGTCTCGACGAACTGATCGAGTGGCTTCTCACAGAAATTGGCTTCTCGGGGCTCGAAGGTCAGTCATCTAACCGTTCCACTAAGCTCAATAACCCTTGGCACCCGAATCACCTTCCCGAGTCACAAGCAACTAGCAACTAACTTGTCCTAGGCTTTTCGGCCCTAGATTTGGTAAAAGCCGTCAAGGCTTTCTACCGCGAGAGAAGAGATGCCGATGGGGATGAGTCGGGGCCCTCTGGCCCGGCTTCTATTGAAAGTCAGGAGGTCGATGCCACCGACGCTGCGCACGCATCAATAGTATGGAAGTGGCTTGTCGCAAGGAAGGATGTCATTGTCGTTCCGTCACGGGTCAGAAATATGTCGCTTGATGAGGCGCTTGCCCTGTCTCAAGACGGCCCGACTTCCTCAATGGGACCACCAGAGTCTTTGAAAGACACTCCGCAATCCTCCCAGTCGGAACCGAAGCGAAAGTCCTCTGCACCGGATCCCAATGCACGGCCACGTTTGTTCCTGTCCGAGGAGCGACAGTGGAAAGCTATCGCCGGCCATGGACCTGACCTCAAGCGTCTGCCGCAGTTTGAGTGGAAGGCTCTTGTCGCCATTGCCTCCGTCAAGGAGAAGGGCATACTGCAAGGAGACTTGACGAGGCTGACAGGGCAAGACAAACGATCGCTGCCTATGCGTACAGATGCTCTAGCTCGGAAAGGCTACATCATTAAACAGTCGGCCATGCTTCGAGGATGCCGTACAAGCAAACTCTGGCTGGCCCAGTTCGGGCAGAACGCCAAGGCCGATGTTGTACGGCAGGGACTCCCGCCTGAGATCTTGAACATGCCGGCCGAGGAGCTGACCGCGAGCTGGGATCCGGTTTCGTTCACTCAATACTACACAAATGATACCATCGACTACATAGCCATTTCTCAGACATTCCTGATGATCCTCAAAGCATACAAGGCCATGAGGTATTGCGATCTCCGTGCCAAGATGGACATCAAGGAGAAAGTACCCCAGATGCGAGCACTCGCTAAGTCTTCGCGGTGGTGGGCCCGGGCTGGTGTATTGCGCTTTGAACCTATGGAGTCCAAAAAGAGCAACAAGTTGTTCAAAGATTGCATGAAGTTTGTACGAGATCCTACTCCGGAGGAATGGGCAAAGTATCGAACAACGCCAAAAGCAAACCTGAAGGTGCCGACCTCTCGTGTCAGGAAGAACAAAAAAGGTGCAGCGGCGCCAGCTGATCCATCGGCTGATACGCTGCCACCGTCCAGGAGACTGGGGAAAAAGCCACTGCCAAAGCGGCCAACCCCCGAAGTCATTCCCAGTCCTGCTCTGATCCGGCTTTCAGGTTGGACACCGTATAAGCCCATGGTAAATACTGTCCAGGAGATCATCAGACGTGCGGGGCCTGAAGGCTCCTCAAATGTCAAGATCGGGATGTTCACGCTTGGTTGGCCATACCGGAAGTGGGTTTCGACCTTGACAAGTGTAATCAGCCTGCCCCGTCCTCGCCCAGCCCATGTTCAAGCCTTCATCGTTGAATCTCAACTGAAGCGCGTCGGAAAAACGAACACGTACAAGTTCGTTGCAACTGGCGCATTGAAAATTGGCCACCAGGACCAGACCAATGAACACGAAGGGCGAACCATCGAACCACCTGCTCAGAGATATGGTCCTTCATCTTCACAAGACAGCAAAGGAGCTATGGTCAAGTACACATTCCCAGCCTTCTCTCCCAAAGCTTTCCTGAAGCCAGGCCGAAAAGTCTCGGGTTATCTAATACCGTATGGAGCGAGGAAAGGCGACCAGCTCCCCACGAAGCGCAAACGGGATGGCGAGGAGGAAATTTCTGTGCCTATACAGAAAAGACCTAGAGTCACACTTACTGCCGATGTTCGCCATCCAAGCGTAGAAAAGAGCCCGGAACCACAGATTGTAAGACCACCTGGAGTGCACTATGGTAAAAAGAACTCTCTGGATCCTTACAAACCCATGGGCCGCCCAAGAAAGTCGGTCGTATTGATTTTCAACTCTCCGGCGCTCAAAGACCCGAACTTTTTCACCCGTAGACAGCAGGAGGCAGAACCGAAGGCGACCAGCGACGGAGTACAGGATGCTGGCGGGCTGCAGTCTGTCATCGAGGAAGACTCTATCAACGTTGCATCGACGCCAAATTCCGACACTCATGAATCCCGTTCGCAAGCTGAGCCTCGTTCTGTGACTCCAGTACAAAAAACAGCTCGGCCTAAACGGGGGCGCTGGTCAGCGGGGGGTCCCAAGTCCTTCAAGTGCGATAAGTGTGGCAAGAGCTGGAAGAACCCCAACGGCCTCGAGTATCATCAGACCAAATCGCAGTCGCCTTGTAATCCCGATTACGTCGCGCCTCCGCCAAAGGCCATGAGAGTCTTCACCCCGAAGCTGAAGGAAAGATCAATGTCTGCGGACGTGGCAGAGGAGACCGACGAAGCTTTGCCTTCGACGCAGAGAAAACCATCGGAAGCCCCAAGAAACGTACTTCCGTCGCGACGACCGAAACGTGCCGCCCAAGAGATAGATGTGCCCGCTCCGGTGGCCGCTCCGCCTTCTCGCAACGCGACCCACCGTCAAGTGCGGTTGCATAACGTCCTGGACTTGCCAACTGCAGTCAAGAGTCGCTCGGTGGCAAGTATCGAAAGATCGCCAAGACGTGGAACCGAGAGCCCTTTAGCAAACACTACAGCCAACAAGCGCTTTGATAGCCCGGTATCGAGCAATGTAGCCGGAAGGCCACTGGATAGAGCCGAGTCTATCGAACCTCCAGCGACTACACTTTCTCTCAATTCTCGCCGGCAATTACTAAAGGGCAGCCAAAGCCTTCCTATGGACATGAACGGCGAGAACTTGAGCTCTTCTAAACTGGGACTGCCTGGTGCCACCTCGCATACTTCGCAAACCCCGAATGGCTCCTTGCAGCGTGGTAAGAAGACCTCCAAGAAACCGAGGCCAGACGCTGCGACCAAACAGCGTATGTTTGATGTTGTCCAAAGACTCCTGGATCAGAACGATGACGTGCTTCCTGGAGATGAGTCACTCTTTCTTCTCGTCCTTCACAGGTGGTCTGAGGGTAGCGGTGATAGTCAGATTGGTCCACCGGACCGGACCAAATATGACAAGCTGATGAAGGCTATGGAGCGTGACAAGATCATTCACTGCCACACTTATTCACTTCCCAATAACGGAGGCGCATTCGAGACCATATCAGTCATATTCAAACCCAGTCATGGAGGTGCTTCGGAAGATATCTCCAAGAGGATCGATCAAGTCAAGAGCAAATGCATCGAGTTATATCCAGAGCCATACATACCAGCAAAGGTTGCAATTCCTCGCTCGGAGTACGACTCACTTCGTGCTCTGGGTGAGAAGGATACGGACAACGCCCCGCATCTTGCAAATGTGCAAGGAGCATCCAAATCGTCTGACAAGAAGATCGCCACCTTGGAGTATGAACTTCCCGTCGATCTCAACGCCAAATCAAAGGCTCCGGCTGGTTCCGGCCTTGACACAGATAGTCCAGGGAGGAGACGGACTCGGCTTGACGCGGACGATTCAGATGAGCCGCACCGTCTCACACCCCGAAAGCGCCGGAAACTGAGATCAGCAGACGACTTCTCTGCCGTTGGCAGATCCAGCCAGCCCTCACGGCAGGACAGTCAGCAAGATGGTGAAGCGGATCATGCGCATTCATACCTCCAGGACCCTGCGACTGGGGCCTGGTCTTCACAGCCGCAGATGGCGAGGCCCACAGCGAGGGTTGATGCAGAGATACTTACCGCTACTCCACGGACCCGGAAGGCCACAACACCAACACCCAGGCGCCGCATCCGTCGTGGAAGGAAGGCGGCTCCGGACCCAGCTGCAAGAGGAGATATTGACGATGGAGATGTCTCATGGGATGTAGCACTCGCTCCGGCTGAAGTGATCAAAGCCTTCGAGGCATCGTCAACCATCCAATTCCTCCCACCGACCACGCCGGCCGAGTTCGCCAAAGCAACCTCAATGGAAGACGACATGTCGGAAGACGACGATGAGGATGATGAAGATCTCCTCACCTTGGACGATGACGAAGATCATCTGCCAAAGGAGGCAGCAGCCAAGGACTCCGCCTTCACCACGCTTCACTCAATCGTGGCTACTGGGCATGGCGTTTGGCCAGGCACATTCCCTAGATCCTATTTTATGGATCGACCGGGTGGCAGCTTCACGATGGTAGGAAGCTTTCCGGACTCGCGATGGCTCCTGAGGCAGAACCTACCGCAGAACGTGCGCGAGATGGTAGAAAACGTGCAGCTCACCAGGGCGATGAGGAAAGGCATCGACCGCGTCTACGGGGATTTCGGCCGTGATGTCACAGCCATTGAGACGTGGGAAATGTCCCCTGAAGGCATATATCTGCAAAACCGTGGAAGTATTGCTCCAGACCATATATTCATCTCCCTCGCCAGTGACCCGAGCGAGGCTAGCATGGAACCCGTCACATTGGAATGGCCCGAGGACACTCAATACACGATTGACACCCTGCCTAACGAAATCAAGTATGGTATAGTTGAAGACGACGGCGGGCAGTCTTTGACATCGAAACCGGACACCGTCACCGAAATGCCAAAACGAGCTTACAGACGCCGCAACGTCGATGGGGAGTCGCGTCAACCCGTCAAACGCTCTCAAGGTAACTGGAAAGCGCGAACACTGAGCGCCATACCCAAACGATCGACAGGACGTTGGAACAAGCAACGAGCCATTGGCGACAACCTTGGACGGAACAAGGAGACAGAATTACTCGTCGCGATTGTCATCATTCGGAAACTGCTTGGTGGTGTGGACAAGATCACAGACTGGGGCTTGATCATCAAACTGTACCCTGAATGGTCGTTGTCAGGCATAAAGAGGTTCTGGAATCGGATTTGCCGAGAGAGGGCCAACTACATCGAAGCGCTTTCTAAGAAATTTGACTCGGCATACCTCGATGCATACGAGAAGAATGAGGTCCCGTCCATCGACTACGACGACCTCGATAACTATGACTGGAGAACAGTAATCGCATGGGCCACCAAGTTGGAGACTCACGATGGGGTCGAGCTGCCGGTGACCCGCAGGCAGTTCAATAACCAATACAAACTTTCTGAGCCCAAGAAGGACGAGGAAAATTGGCGAGAGACCTGGTACCACTTCCAATCATCGACCTTTGTCAGGACCGAAGGAGCTGCTGGCCAACATGCGACGCTCCCGGCCACCAAACCTTCGCCAAGTTCCACACCATTCAGCACGACCGAGATTCATCTGGCCATGTCGTGGGTCCGTGCCCTCTGCGATGATACGAAGGGAATCACCATCGGCACAGATATCAGAGCTACCCTGCTAAAACGATGGAGGGGCGACAAAGCCTCGCTCGACGAGCTGCTTGACTATGCCATCACTAAACTCTTGGAAAGCAAGGTCATCTCCAGGCTCTACGGCAAAGGTCGCAGTCGCAGTTTCAGACTGAACACGCTCTTTGAGAACCGAGCCAAGAAGTTCGCGAATCTGGAAAGGTTCACCCAGGCCATTTCGTTCAAGGCTGAACTGGACAAGAAGTTCCGCAGCAACGAAGCCATGATCCTTCCTTACAACGCAAACGATGGCGCGATCATGGCCATGATCAACCTGCAGGCTTATGGCAGGGTGCGACTCGCAGATGACAACTTCCCCGTCATACCGCATGGTTTCAAGCCGGGAGACTACGAAGGTCGAAAGTACCCCAAGCGATACTACCAGTGGGACGTGAAGCTGATGCCTACGGACAAGTATGTCTACGATGAGGATCTCCCCCTCGTCATGCTGGCAAAGGACGTGGTCATCCCCAAGAGCGGACCCCTCGGCGAGATCCCCGGCTGGTACGACTTCTTCGGCAACCTGGACCACGGGCGCTGGGTTCAGTACCTCTGCATGATGGTGTTTGCCCTCGCCACCAAGGGGCCCATGACGGCCGAGAGCGCCGTCTCGCTCCTCGCTCCGACGATCGAGGCCTTCGAGGCCCAGTTGATCATCGACTGGCTCGACGGCCTGGGAGTTGTCCAGAGACTCGTCGGCAACCGCGCGCTTACGGTCGGTGAGTGGTGGTGGCTTGTCACAGGGAGACTCGCGAGCACGCAGGCCCAGGAAGTGGTGGAAGAGTGAGACAACCCGAGAAGACGGCCATGAAGGGCGGGGAGGTGCATCTGACGGCGTCAAAGAAGGCAGAGAGATGCAAGCAATCGTGATTTACATCGCTTTTGCCGTGTGTATTTAGAGTGTACAAAAATAGAGATACCCGCAGCCGGGTCGTTCAGACGGCAAATGGCATGATTCGTTTTCTTGCTTCAGCACGTCGCTGACAATAGTTTCACTAGTCTTCTCTACGCTGCTCCTATGTGAAGTTCCGTAAGTGTGATTGTCGAAAAACAAGCACGTGCTATAGTGAGTTGTCGAGTGTGGAGTGTATATCTCCTGGAAGAGGAGAACTCGACAACGGAGTCAGGTGAGAGTCGAACACCAAGTTCCCAAAAATTATGCTGAAATTCCGATAATTCAATTCTCTGGTAGCAATGCTTATATATGACATCCATTGCCCTTCTACTGATAACCCGAGTGTAAACGCCAGACCCCGTTGGCTTTGATACCAGATGCCGAATCCGTGCTGCCCAACGCCAAAACACCATGCCATCTCGACGAAATTGAGAAAACCAGAACAAGTAGACGAGGAAGGTGTCAGTATCCCAACAGGATCTTGATCAGCATCGCGATCAGGATGCCCACCAGCCCGATGATGGCATAATCCACCCACACGGGGATGCCGGCGTTCGGATCCAGCCGCCTCGCCCGCTGCACCACGGCCTGTCCCACGGGGTCGGGGAGTGGCACCGTCCTCGTCGGCTGCGGCACGCTCTGCGCGGGCCTCGCCGGCAGGGCAGCTTGGATCGCCACGTCGGCGGCGGGCGGCGCCATCTCGGTCTCGGGCGCAGTCCGGACGAAGCCCTCGGCGAGCTGTGCCGCCTCGGCGTCCTCCTTGGCGCCGTCGCTTCCCTGCGAGCTGTCCGCGGCCCTGGCCTTGTCCATCTCGTCGCGGAAGCCCATCTTCAGCTCGGCGGGGACCTCGACCTCGGTCCTGTCGCCGGGGCCGGCGTCGCGCTCCAGCTCCTTGCAGCGCTCCTCGACCTCACGGATGATGCCCTCGTTGCTCTTGCCGCAGGCGGCGCAGGTCCAGGTGCGGGACTCGGCGGCGAGCTTGCGGCGGACGGCGTCGCCCGTGTTGAGGCCGCCGATCTGGCCGCTGGCGTCGGTCTCCATGAAGCTGCGCAGGGCGACGATGGCGGTGCGGACGCCCCAGGCGGGCTGCCAGGTCTCCTCGTGGTGGCCCGAGATGGACAGGCAGATCTCGCGGTTGGCCTCGAAGCGGCCCGAGGGCGTGGTGAAGCGGAACGAGGGCGGGCGCAGCGGGTAGGTGGGCGGCAGCACGATGCGGCCGTGGTAGATGCCCTCGGCGAAGGGCGAGTTGGGGGGCCCGCGCAGGGTGAAGTGCCACTCGAACAGGTCGCTCTCGAGCGGCGTGGCCGTGTAGTCGGGCGAGGGCGAGTTGGACAGCTCTGAGGCTTCCTTCACTATTGCGGGGGGAAGGCGATGCATGTCAGTCAGGTGTGCGTGATGCTGCGAGAGCCGGGCCACGGGGCGGGGAACACATACTGATGCGCCTCATGGTCGGCGACTTCGAGTTGAACTTGGGAGCCGCCATCTTGAGATGTGGCACGTAGCGTCTCGGGAATCACTGGGTTGGGAGAGGGCGTCTCAGTGTGCTCGCATGGCAGCTGACGGTAGCTGTCGGTGACCTGTGTAGGGCGGCGGGCGACGGGCTGGTGCCACTCAAGGCGTAGGGCGACAAGATAAATGAATTGGTAAGTTGCAAGCAGGTCGCGTCGTGAGCCGGCGTCCTGAGTATGGTGCCGGAGGAGCTGTAGTTGCGTCAAGTCGGTAACTTATCAGTAGTCGCTGGCGGCAAAGTAGCGTTTCGGCGGCGGCACGAGAACACGTATTCGCTAGCGGACGCGCCACCTGCAGTCTCTAAGTTAGGGGGGGAATGACGACGGCCGTGGGGAACCCCTGTAAGTGGGCGAGTTAGCCGCACCGCAAGCTGCTACTGTAGTATGTATACTCCAGGAACCACGGGGCGGGAAAAGATCAATACTGTCGGGTGTCCCCAAGGATTCCAAGAGGCCCCATATGAGCAGATTCATCCACGTGTTAGCCACACACATAGCACAGCCATTGAATTTAGCAAAGCCAAGGTCTCATCTGCGGTCCCGCCTGCTGTACCGCAGGAATCAAGTGGCCAACCGGCCCTTTGGGCGGGCGTGACTGCACGGGCCAAAAGTCCGCGAGACTGACGGCCGCCGATGCTGTGCTGTGGGGCTTGCCGGTCCGCCCTCGGCTCCGTGTCTCCTCGTCGCCCCGGATCAGGCCTCCGGCTTCCATCCCTAGGCCAGCATGAGGCTGAGGTGGTTTGGATGTGGCGATTATATTTACCAGGGAACAATGTTCTGTTTTCTGGCACTTCCCACGTGGGTTTCGGAATCCATTACATCACAATTCCAGCTTTGGGTGGAATCGAGGATGGTAGCCACCGTAACGTGCTTTGTACGACTTACCACGGTTCGATTTTCCTGTCCAACTTACTACTGGCGGTAGGCCAAGTATCATGTGAGATTACAACAACACCGTATAGCACTATTACGCAACCTTCCTCGTACAATATGTAAACATTGGACCAGCTACAGATTAGCACGGAGGCGATTAGCCCAAGGCAAGCCCTCAATCACTTCGACGAGAGAGGGGCAATTGGACAGGAGTAGCGGCATCAGACACCTTCTATGACGCCCTCCTTGGAACTTCTGCGCCATGCCCGCAGTCGCTCCCCCCAAACCCAAAAGACTATGGGCAATGGAAAACACAGTACCACCCAGACCAAACTAAGCATGCTATTCCCCCATCCGTAGCCTAGTTTCTCGTACAGCTGAGGCGCAAAGATTGGGAAGGCAAATCCCAAGACATACGACAGCATCCGCGTGGCCGCGTTGGCCGAAGCTCCATGCTCGACGAACTCGTCAAGCTGGTAAGCGTACAGCATCTGCGTCACCATGACACTCCCACAACAATAGATGGCGGCGCCAAGGTCGAGCACCGGCCAGTCGACGTGATACTCGGCCGCCCATCCATACAAAAGCAAGCCAATCGGTGTCAGAACTACCCCCGGTACCAGATACGGCGACCGGAATTCTGGCTTGCCCTGTCCATCATGTCTGTCGCTGAGGCGGCTGTAAATCCAGTCCATGGCACGGCTCCGACTTGGCCCGCCAGAGTCGCTCCTATGGCGATAGCTATGTAGTGGAGCGCGCTGACCGACGGTGTCTGGTGGTACCGCTCTATGAACAGAGTTGCATATGTGCCTAGAAGCAAGGTGTAGACGGCGAAGTTCAGCCCCTGCACCAAAGCGAGAGCCTGGACCACGGGCCTCGTGAGTAGGAGACGCGCGGGACGCCATATTCCGGTACCGAGACGTCCGAGAAAGTCACGCCAGAACTTGTACCCGAGTGCATCCGTGATAGTGATGTATTGGCTGCGCGCCTTGCGGCGGAGGAGCACGGGTGTGTATGGTTCCTGGATATACACGCCTCCGATCAGAGTGACCGCTGCCGTGGTGATGCTCATCACCCAGAAGATCCACGGCCATTCGATCAGTTGCGTGACCAGACCACCCACGATGGGCCCCAGAGCGGGCCCGAGCGACGGCAGCAAGGCCGTGATGGCAGCCGCCTTGCCTCGTTCTCTTTTACCGTACATGTCAGCCATGGCCGGGCCGGTCAGCTGGAGAAGCAGTGACTCATGTGAGCTAGGCGCTGAAGCGTTTGGCTATGGCGAGAACGGCTTACTGTGACACCTGCACACGCTCCTAGACCTGCCATCAACCTGGAGACGATCATCAGGCTGGACGATTTGCCAACCGGGCTCAGCGCGTTCCAGAGAATGTACCAGACGTTTCCGCATACCCAGATCCACTTTCGGCCGTGCATCTCCGAGAACGCTGCGACAACGAATGGACCAAAGCCGAGCCCGAGGAAGTACGCGGAGAAAATGATCTGAGCCTCCGAAGCCCCTATGTCTAAGTCACGGCAGATATCCTCTAAAGCTGCCGCGATCATACTGGCCGTCATCAAGGTCACGAGCTGAGCGAGAGAGAATATGATCCCTGTGGTGATTTTGCGGCTCGATGGCCAGTTATACGGGTTGTGAGGATCGTCAGGGCCATCCCACGTGCTCTGTGTAGGTGAGTTGTCAGTGTGGATAGATAAGTAGACTAATTGGTTAGACTGTACTCCGTATTGCTTCATCAGCTGTTCATTACGCTTGCTATTTGTGCCATTCCCCTGTTCTTCGCTGTCAGTAGGGGGCGATACAGCGTTTTCAGCGTCTTCTGGCAACTTCAGGCTCTTGTCACCGGGTTTGGTAAGGTTCGCCATGTTAAGTAATGTCTCTGTTTTGAGTCTATTCAGAATTGAATACTGGGTTTGGGTGAAGACAACGCCCAATAACAACTCGTGGGGAGGGTTTGATGCTGATAAACTCATGCTGTGACATGGGTTCGTTGTGTTGGTGACGAATACATCTCGCGTCCGAAAACATACCTCCGAGGTCGGGCAGCCACCCATCACTCAGTCTTGGCCATGCAAGTGTTCTTTCTGCAGGTTGCAGCATGGGCATTGGTCCTTCTCATTCTCGTACGGTCCCGACAATAGTGCTACCGACATAGAAATTCCGGTAGGATGGACTGACTCCTGGTTGCCGTCTATACCCAATATTAAAGACAGGGGCCGGTGTTGCCTATGCTAAGCGAGAGGCCAGCACGCCTCCAATGAGTCACAGAACAGAGAATCGCAGGGATGCTAAGCACGTTAAATTCGGAGTTGGCCCTGTGCCGCCGACTTAGGGGTTGTACTTTAGCGGAAAGAGTTGCATTGAGGCGGCCCGAGTGGCTCGGAGCCATGATGACTGCTCGGTCACCGCTGGTCTCCGTACCACATGCCGCTTGCTCATCAGACTGCAAGGTATACTACAGGGTTATGTAGTTATTATGTCAGGGTCTGGTACTACATGTTGACGTCCATACTTTTGTGATTGCGATTAAGTTATTATTTGACGAATTCAAAATCCTTTATATCCCCATGGCGGGAGCTTTTCAGGGCGAAAAAGATTTATTCTCACTCTGAGACTGTAAGCAACGGCTCTTGGCTATCCGAGAACTCAATTACGCAAATTTATTCTTACCGTATTGCCAATCACAATTTTGAAAGAACGACCTCCCTTTATTCGACCGCTGATTCTCTGGCGTGCTCGAGGAGTTCAAACATCCGCGGGGAGTCTGAGCATGCATGGTAAGAGTCTTTGACTTCAGAGGAATCAGCCATCTACCCGTAAGACGGTCTTTCTTAACAACTAAACAGTAGTCTGTGTTTTCTCCCGAAGCTTTGCCACGTACGATTCCAGATCCTATGGAATAGAGTTGGCATCCAAGTCAACGTCTGCATGACTCCAATCTCGTGTACTCGTCTTGGGACGTGAGGCTCTCGGGGAATCGTATTGGTAGAACCGCAGGAAGCCTTCTCGCTTCTTTTGGGCAGAACAGACAATATTAAGCTATCCTCGTCGACGAATTCTCCGCCGCAATGCGAGCAGCTATTGTGCAGAGATCTGTCCTCCTGTTTCTTCTGGCCCTATATAAATCTCATTTCCTTGCACGATCATGGAAGCCACCACGCTATTTATTTGCGAAACCACCTGGCTGACGAAGCATTGAGTTGTCAGGGCTTTCGGAATCGTCAAGCATTCGAAGCCAATCTGTGGCTCTGATAGATATGTAATTACTTACAAGAACCGGCAGGTCTTGGGTTCTGTCCCTGGCACGAAAGCAATATGCTCTCCAGAGCACCGGTGGCACGGGACTGTAGAGTATAGTCAACACATCTCACCGAATATTGAGAGGCCCTAATAATGTATGTACGTTTTTGTATCCATTCACGAGATGCTCACGATTAATTATGTATATATGTACAGTAAACCCCAGGAAGGGCCCTCTGACACCTACTGCCGAGCGCGGGAGCCGAGACTACGAATCTCAGTTCTCGATTGGGACAAGAGGTCCTATTCTAGATGCCCAAGTAGCCCTTCCGACTTCTCAAGTTATCATATCTTCATCTCATCGTCAAATTGCAAAATCCGTCAACGCCGTTCTTGTTTTCCCCGTAACGCCGTAGTCCTGATGCCTTGCCGCGACCCGCTTGGCTCGAAATCGCAGGCAGTTCTATAGAATCTTTTTGAGCTCTGCCTTTTGTTGTGCCGTCAAAGTTGTCGGGAACTTGACGTTGTACTTGATGATGAAGTTGCCTCGCTCACCGGGCTTTTTCGAGATGGGCATTCCTTGGCCAGGATACGAGTCCGTAGAGCCCGGGGCGGTCGGGCCACCCTTGTCGAGGGTCAGTTGCTTGCCGTCAATGGTCGTGACGGTTCGCTTCCAGCCTGTCAGAGCTTCCTTGAGTTCCAGGTCGACGGTGTGTATCAAGTCGTCGCCGTCGCGAATGAAGAGTGGGTGGGGTTTCTGGTCTCATATTAGTACAATGCGCTTGGGATCAGGTTACCATACTCGCGGGAAATGCTTACCTCCTCGACAATGAAGTGCAGGTCTTGCTTGCCACCTTCTTCCTGGTCGCCTACGCCCTTGAACTTGATCTTGCTGCCCTTCTTCAAACCTGGTTTGATCGGGACCTCGAGAACCTGATCGCTGGTGGTGCGCTTGCCGCTATCATCAAACGTCTTCCTCTTGATCTTCATCTTCTTGGTGACACCGTTGTAGAGCTCTTCCAAGGTAAGCGGCAACCCACGCTCGACGGTAGTGACCTCGGGCGTTGCCTCGCGAGCGCTGCTGCGGAACGGGTCGGCTCCGGCACCGCCAAAGTTGGAGCGCATGCGGCTCGATCGACCACCACCACCCATGCCAGCCATGCCTCCGAGGATACTAGCGAGGGGGTCGTCGTCTTCAAAGCCACCTTGCTGCCGGGCGAACTCGGCAAAAATATCGTTCGGGTTGTTGAAGCGGAAGCCGCTTCCGCCGCCACCGCCGCCGCCGGTGCTGAAGTGGAACGTCCTTGCTCCGCCACCGCCGGGCATGCCGCCACCGCTACCAAAGTCGAAGCCTTGGAATCCTCCGGGCATGCCACCAGCTCCGCCGGCGAACGGGTTCTCGCCAGGCGGAGGTGCAGCTCCACCGCGGAGCAGGAACTCGAGGCCAAACTGGTCATACGTCTTGCGCTTCTCCGGGTCGGAGAGAATCTCGTACGCTTGCGAGCATTCCTTGAACTTCTCGGCTGCGTTGGGGCTGTCCTTGTTCTTGTCGGGATGCCATTTCAGAGCGGCCTTCCTGGAAGATGGCTGTGGTTAGTACAATGCTAGATGCAGTCATGTCAAAGTGCCTAGGTAAGTGACGAGGGGAGGAGGTAGATACGCCACAGGTCCAGTGGGTGGCGTGTGTGTCGCACGTTGATGCAAAGTGCAGTGCACTGGGTTGCGGGCGGACGTATGGAATTGGGGCGGGATGGCTGTTTGACGTCGACTTACCGATATCCTTTCTTGATCTCGTCTTGAGTCGCGTCGGGCTTGACGCCAAGCTGGTCGTACAGCTTAGTCTCCTTCACCATGTTGACGGGTATGGTGCGTCTAGACGGTGTTCGGTGGGTGTCGTAGGACGGAATGTGTCGGGTTGAAGTGAAAGTAAGAGTAGCTAGCTATGAAGGGTACCACGAGGGCAAATGGTAGCAGGCCCCTAAGGTTTTGGTGAAGCTTACTCTGGGTCGGTAGAGTCGGTTGGAATGTTTTTGGGGAGCGTGTCAAGAGGGAGGAACAAAGAAAAGCATCTATCAATCAATCAAATGCCAAGGTTCAAATCATCTGTCGCAAGACTCGTCGTCAGGGATCGTATGTACGACAGAGTTCTGAGCCCCACGCGCAGTAGAAGATTCGCGAATTCGGTAGGCCGTGAATCGAAAGGGCCAGGATGCTGGGCAAGGTGGACTTCCGGTCGCCAATGACGCAGTTGCAGCCGGGCGGAATAGCTAACTAAAGGCAGATTGGCAGATTGGCAGATTGCCAGAGTGGTACCGTACTGTGCTGTACTGCAGTTGGCAAGTTTGCGTACGGTAGGTAGGGCCTAGGTCGCCGGTGGAGTCGAGCACCAGGACGTCTGGTCCAGGATGGATTGGATGTGATGCTGGATGCGATCCAATGCCCCAGTCAATGCGAGCACATCACACGATCAAATAGAAGCCCAGCTGGAGATCCGGCCAATGACATGTGCCAATCGACCACCGGTAGACCCTCTGTTCGAGTATTTTCTGGAAGCCGCGCCAATCGACCTCGGGTTGCTTTTTATTGCCTTTTGTCTTGGAAATGTGAACGGCTTCCAGGTTGTCTGGTTAGACGCAGTGCGGGCGGTCAAGAAGCTGGCTCTCACCACGTCCAACGGGATGACGCTGATTGCGGGGTTTATCAGGCGATACCTAACGTGCAGTACTACCCCTCCACCGGGGGGACTAACTAGAGTTTAGCTCAACGCCTGCCGCCCGAGGTCGCAATGCAATTCAACGTTGTAGGGATGAGGGCTGCTAATTAGGCCGTCGAGAGTATTTCCACAGCTTCACCCAACTGAATCCTTCCCATGAGTTTGTCCTTGGCTGCAAATACTGTAGTGGCCCTCGGAATGCAAGAGACTGGCATTGTGGCTCAGAGTCCCAATCTGCCTTGCTGCCATCCATTGTCGTGGCTCAGATGTCTAGAAGGTTCGAGAAGCGTCTTGAAGAAGCACCAAACTTCGCGGCATATCTGACGTCTAACCGTCTCGGAATGCTGGCGTGCGACCTAGGGACATCGGATGGCTTCAGTTAGCATGGTAGCAGTTGAATTGGGATACCCGGTCGACCAAATCTTCCATCGATTGGAGCCCAACCAGCGCCATTCTAACACGAGGTGCGGCTAGTACCCAATATGCGTGCCGGGGAGGCAGGCATGGCTCGTGCGCGACTATAATCCCCCTTTTCAGGTCTTTTCTGTGGTGATTGCTGTCCAGTCAAACTCTACGCACCAGTGGCGGGTCTGCATAATGACTTGTACTTGGCTTGGTTTTCGTCTTGGAGGCTACATCATCCCATGAGGAAACTATTTACACTCTGCAGCGTGGCACGGCTCGGGTTGGCGCCTGGGAAAGCTGTCATGATCCTGCTGAGTTTGACCTTTATGATGCTCTTGTTGACATCCGGTCTCTGGTCCAGATCACCCAGGTTGCCAGCCTCGTCAAAGAATTGACACAGAAGTGCCAGAGCCACGCCTACAGAGATATCTTTGCCAGTCTCGCATAGGATAAGGATATTTGAAGGCACCGGTGACGACTGGTCATGGGCCAGCGTTTGCGAGGCGACAAGAGCCGATTTGGCGAATTCGCAGATTGCGGGCAAGGCAGATCTGAGATTTCGACTGGCAAGTTTATGCTTACCGAGACCTACCTCCATCTGCGTATTGCTTTTCACCCAGGTAGACGCATCCGTGGCCTTGGGGAGTAAAGATATGGTGCAGGTGAACGAAGGAGCAGCCTCCTGACCCAGAGGGCTAACAAAGAGACCCGGTGACACTTGCTGGGGTCCTTCCTGAGGAGGCCTTGCCGACTGACCTGACAAGAGGGATGCGATCAAGATGGGCAGCTCGACCTCAGGGGTAGCCAGCAGTTCCTCGTCGTGGTCCCAGAATGCAGCAGGGTTCAACCCAAGAGCCCAATTCTCGGTATCATCCCCGGCGCCTTGGATGTAGCCGCCTTCGCTCATCTCGCCGCCGGTCACTCGGCGCGAGCTGGTGCAGCAGATGACAGGGTGGTAGTCTTCGAAGATGGTGTCCGCCGCGAAGAGCTCGGATTCCTGCGTCACCCACATCGGCCGCAGTGGCTTTTCGAGCTGGCTCCAGCTGCCCATGTCGAGCGTCAGGGCTTTGAAGGCGTCTACGAAGCCGGGTATCCGAGCTTCCATCTGGGCATGCTCCGACTCAGAAACCACATTCGGCGGGGTGTATAGAGCATGCTTGTCCGAGCGTTCGGGGAAGAGCACTCGATTGAGCACGCAGCACCAGGTAGGTATCGTCTTACTCAGTGCGTCAGGCATACGCTTGCCCCGTCTGGTTGAGTCGACGATGATGCAGCCATCGTTCTCACCGATAATGGCCAACAAGTGCAGATTCAGCCTCCTGGTCGAGAATTTCCACTGCCCCGTGTGGCCGTCGGTGCTTTTAAAATACGCGGAACCGGCCTTGGAGGTCGGTGGGATATACCAACTGCCGCACCGCTCGTTGGCGACCAAGGGACGGGCCAGGGTTTGCGCAACGTCCGACACGAACCTGGCATCCTCCTTTATGGAATGAAGGCGGTTGGTGATGGACAGGTTCGACTTTTTCAGGTCTGTCAAGATGCGAGAGAAATTGTGGTTGGCTTGATCAGAGAAGACAAGATCCGACAAAAGTAGATTCTGCGGGGCCTTTTGCACAGACTCATTGGCCTGGTTCCCCATGGCGGCTGGGTCAGACGTTGGGTGCTCGGGAAGATGAGAATATTCGGAGTTGGGCAGACCCTGTAGATGTCTTAATTATTTACAGGCCGGGGACTGTGTTCTGGCTTTCTGGCCAGGGTTTAGCTGACGGTGTTCGTGAAGATCCCTAATTAGGGTTATCGCAGCTTATCCATTGGTCGTGAGCTACCCAACTTAGCTACACTGTAGAGTGGTGGCCGTCTAACTCGACTTGCAGGAGGAGACAGACAGACAGACGAGAATGACCGCAGCTATTAACATTAGATAGTTCTTTCACATACATCGTCAAGGTGCACAATGTCCCGATGCCATTCTTTCCGATGCAGGAGTGATGGCTCTGTGGGATGATTGTTTCATGCGTAAATATCAAATAAACACCAATGTTCAAACCCTGGCGAGCCGCAACGGCGGAATGAAGACCGCTTACACTGCTAACTAGGACCAGCTAGGAAGGGGAACACAGTTGAATCCAAAGGCCATTCGGGTGGCCGTAGGCAGTCTCTGCTACGTTCATTCGATAGTCTGGACAATCAAGCCTGTATGCATGAATAGGGACCACCTGCTTACGTGAATGCTGGAATCGCCTTCCAGAATAGGAACAATCGAAAAGAAGAGAAAAGAAAAAGAAAAAGAAAAATGAAAATTGCCCATCTTATTCTCATTCACCTCGATGAACTGTGATAGTTCTACTCGTACAGGCGGTGGGGCTAGACGCTGGTCTCGGTTGTCGATAACGCGTAATCAGCGGCGAGCTTGGAGTTGAACCGCCGTTACCCATGTCATCACCCATCCACCCATTCCCCAATACCTGCACCTGCACCTGCGCCTGCGCCTCTGAAGCACAGCTCCCAGCTCTCACTTCTCACTTCACCGGCGTCACCACAACACCTGAACCGAGCCGCCGATCCCAGGTCAACGTTCCCAGCGGCAAATCATCTCGTACCGGCCGCTGCTGCTTGCCCTCCGCCGCACCCCGTCGCCGTCGTCGGGAATATCCATCATCTCGTCAGGCAGCTCGAGATTGCGGAGGACAGCTGCAGCTTACGGCTGTGTCTACGAAACCGCCCCCTCCCATGTCGGCGCATTTCCCTTGATCACATCTTCACACGTCGCCCACAATGGCCTCGGTCGGCGAACCGAGCGACGCGGACGTGGGCTTCCTCTGCGAGCTCACCAACCTGGGCAGGGACGAGGCCGTCGCCCGTTTGAAGGCCAACAGCCTCAACGTCGAACAGGCCGTCAACGAGTTCTTCAACAACCCCGACAGCAGCAAGTACAAGTGGGATGAGTCGGCATGGACGGCCGATCGTGAAGGCCCCACAGACAGCGGCATTCAGTTCAACATCCAAGGTCCCGACGAGCACGCCCCGAGCTACCACAACAGCGCTGCTCCCACGCGCCCGCCCTCCCGAACGAACAACCGGTCGCCGCTTGGTAGGCTTGTCGACTTGACTGCCTTCCAGGCAGCAGGTATATCTCCAAAGACGTCTGATCTCCAGAGCTGACCATGTCCCCGCAGGAGCCCCCATGACCGCCGCCGATGAAGATGCCGACCTACAACGCGCCCTCGCCGAGTCGGCCGCCGAGTCTGGCGTCCCCCCTCAGGAGACTGGAGTCACTGGAAGCGGCGCCCACAGCCCAGCCTTTGGCCCAGCTACGAGATCCGAATATGAGCAGGATCAATGGGCCATGGTGCCAACCAAGGTCGAAGCTACCCAAGACAAGCCACTGCCCACGCCCTCGGCCCGGAAACGCGATCCAGCTTCACCAGCGTTCGTGCGTTCCAAAGACGAGACCCTTCTGGGAGGCGTCGTTACCATCTTGCACAAGATTCCCAAGGCGAGGAACGCACTGTTGACAAGCGGGCAGCCGGTTCGCAGCTATGGCCACAATAGCGAGTGGTGGAAGGGCCAGCCGATTCTGAAGAAGGAGAGTCTCGAAGCCATTGCCAGAAACGACTGGGGCGCCGATCAGGATGCTCATCCGGACTTTCACGAAGAGCTTCACCGTCTGATCGCCTTCCTCGACAGCAGTGAGCGCTCGTATGGTTCAGTTGATGGTTTGGCTGATACGACTATCGTCAACCCGGGCCACGGCTACGGGTGGGGTGTAGCTGATCTCGAGTCAAACTTTTTCCAGGGATTTCTGGGAGAGAATATCGAGAATCCTCACTGCGAGATCAAGCCATTCGTGTTTGTTGCCAGGCCCGCACGAGTACTTTCCAAACCCCCCGGCGAAGATCATACGGGCCAGCCTTCACCGGATACAACCATGACCAATGCAGGCAGTGACACTAGCGACGACGAGCAAGAGGCCCAGTTCAATTTCTTGAGCGTGACCCTGGAGGAGGGTCAGAATAGCTGGGTTCATACACTGTACGACGCCCTGGATAGTATCTTTTGGAGCAACGCAGTGTCGGAGGATTCCTTCCCGGATGAGGGCTCCAGGACCGCAGTCTTCACCGAACTAGGCGAGATTCTCCCCATCAGGATCAGCGGCAGCGGTCTTTGCCAGCCCTGTGACATTCCCGAGGTGCTTTACCTTGATAGATATGTCGAGAGCCGGAAAGACATTGCCATATCCATCCAGACGCAGATCCACAAACTCAGGAATCTACTCGACAAAAGGCTCAAGGCCTGGGAGAAGCGAATCCTGAGTTGTCAAGGTGCGACCGGCTGCCGCGAGCTCAAGTGGTTCAACGGTCGAGACCACAGCGCCCGGGAGTGTTGGGACAGGTCTATTAAAGCCAGTGAATCCAAGATCGCATCGCAGCGCATGGTTGCGCAGCTCCGATACACGCAAGAGCAAATCGCCGAAGGCAAGATTCCGTCGATCAAAGATCTCGCCCTTATCTATTCTGGTGAATCCCCTTACGAGTTCAACGAAGAGGAGAAAGAGATAGAAGAAACACTTCAGCAGGGTATAGATGTGGCGAAAGGCGAGCTCGGAGACATTGACGTCAAACTAGAAGGTGAGTTTCACTCAGCGAAGACGATAGGGGGATCAGCCTTGCTCACAATTGCGTTGCAGATGTCAAGCTCAGGCGCGAGCAATGCTACCACGGCCTGAGACATCTCTCGAAGTATCTGACCTGCCGTGAAGAGGAAGCTACTCCAGAGTTCAGGGACCAGTACATTGTTCCGGATCAACCGAAATTCTACAAACCTGAGTACTGGAACCCGACTCACAGATACTTTCTCCGAGGAGTTGCAACGACGAGTGAAATTACGTACGTCTGTGTTCGAAAGGAAGCCGATCTGATAGACCTGGGAGACGAACCGGGATCCAAAGACCAATGGTGGAGACTTGTGTATGCTGCGAAGGAAGCCAACCCCATCTCAGTCGAGGTAAGTTATGATCACATGAAACTGTCCAGTGCGCTTCTAACACTGGAGCACAGAAAACAGATGCTGAATCTGTTCTCATCGCCGCTGGGACCGAGTCAAAGACCCCCATCATGGTGTACGCGTCTGAGGCGGCAATGAAGGCAGACCCGGTCCAATTATCGGATGCCCTGCGAGTATGTCTCCCCATTCTAGATTTAGTGTTTGCGTGCCCCCTTCCTAACCATTGGCATACAGATGTTCGTGCGCGCCGACAATCGCTCCTTCCAGCATGAACTCTCTCAAGAGCAGGCCGAACCACAGAGCCAGGCACAGCAGAGCAGTCCGACTCCAGCTACACACGGACATGGACCCGTGCCCCTGACAGCCGAGGCGATCAACTCGGTTTCATCGGTCTCATTCAACTCCCCATCAAAGCGGAAGCACAGCATCTCGGGATCGTCAGTTGCCACGGTTGGCTCGTCCGACTCGCGCGATATGGAGATGTCCTTCTCGGACCCGCCCGACCCGTCTAACTACCGGGACGATCGGGTTCCGAGCGCCTCACAGTATGGATTCGCCAGTCCCGCCTCGCAGCCTAATAAGTTGGGCGGCTTGGTTGAGTCTCTGGAGAACTGCAGGACCAACGAACCCGATTCCCCCGTGCTTGGCCGCCGCGACCTGGCCAAGCCCCTCGGGGACCAGGAGATGCGATCGTTCGGGCCCGACGAGACGGCCGCCAAGGGCCCTGAGATGCAGCAACGGGCTGTTGGCCCCTCGCCCTTTGTCCAGCGACCGGTCGCCAAGGCATCCCAGGCTGCGCAGGTCGACTTGATGGACATGGACATGGAGATCGAGACAGAGCATCACGAGGGTTGAAGGTGCCTACCCGGCGATGCCTATGGGTAAGGGCAAGAGCTCCTACACTCTGAAATATGGATGGCGAAGGGACTCTTTAGCAGTCTCACCCACGCCGAACGTCATGTTAACGGCCATTTGATGTTTTCATCTGAGCTCATCTCACGACTAGCATGCGGATGATACCCCCGTCTTTCTTCTTTTCTCTCTCTGCCTCTCGCTCTTTTCCGCGCGCTCTTCTCCCACACCACATATTTATCGGCATTCACGGAACCCACGGAACCGCATTACCCGGCGTTGGACGGCATGACTGCTTTTCTAGCCCCCTATTATCGTCATCATTATTTTGTTTCTGGGCTTCTGCATCCACCGCGTCAGGCATGGAATGCTCGTACACAAGGGGCCACGGATGCTTCTATCGTTAGTGTTTATCCGCTGTGAATACAGACCCGACTGCTTAGATACCCCAAGTGAGACAGACAGAAAGAAATGAGAAGATCAATTCATGGTTCGTAAATGAATAATGGAAATGCTTTGGTGCTGGCCTACGCCAACATGTTGACTGGACCGTACATGACTTAGCCCCCGTAAAATGGCGTTTCACTCCTTGACTGTCCGATGTCTGGCCATTCTCGAGACGGCCTATCGTTGTACCAAGTCTACGGTGCTTTGCTACGGTCTATGCGCCTTGCATGTGATGCTAGGAGATTTTTTTTCAATACGCATAATACGCATAATACACACACGTATCGTACGGCTACGTATTTTATTCCGCCACCACAAATCCAGGACGGGGCAGGCAGATAGTAAGCACACAATGTGGTGAAGATTTGTATTGTGTATGTATAAGACAGCCTGGTTGGTCTAGCCTATCTTGCCAGGCGTTATGGACAGTTCCTGTTCCAATCCTCGACCCCTAGAACGCCCCGTCTCTCTAAGGTGACGCTTGGGGAATAAGTTCTTGCTCGTGTGTATGTGTGATGGCGATACAGACTCGTAGAAAGGTCTGCCTCTCCGAAGCCTGGCGCGGGCAGGTCGGGTTTCGGAGGGCAGACGCCATCTTTCTGTTTCATCACCCCCACGGGCAGCCATCCAAGCTGTGCCTGTGCAGGGGAAACCGAGTCTGCTTGCTTGAGGAGGGAGGGGGGGTGTAACGTAGTAGTAGCAAGACCAGAGATTTCCGTGTGAACGCCGCTGTTTGGTTCCGACGCTATGCAAATGTATAATAGACCAAAATAGATAAAGAGATGGGAGAGCGTTAAGGAGATTCGTTCCGGGTCGTATCGGCGCCAGTCCCTTTTGTTTGTTGACAATCAGAGGGAGGTTTTTTGTGGCAGCGGTTCGTCTAGGAATCGTCGTCCTCGCTTCCGTTCTCCTCATCGGCGCCGTCCTCGTCAAAGTCGGCCATCTCCTCCTCGTCCTCCTCGCCCGTGTCGGATCCGCCAAAGTCCAGCTCCTCATCGCTCTCGGCCCAGAAGGCGTCGTCGTCATCCTTGGGCGGCGGGGCGTCAACCAGCGTGGAGGGCATGACAAAGCCCGGGGGCATGTCCCTCTTGGACCGCTCGACGATATCGGCGGCGCGCTTGTTGTACTCGGCGCGGTTGTCTCGGTAGACGACGCCGGCGTCGACGTTCGCGGGTGAGTTGATCTCCGGGTCGTCCAGGAGGAGCAGGACGGACCGGAGAACGGACTCGACGCCCTGCAGTGGTGACCAGCGCTCACTGGCGGCCTCGCCGGACATGATGTCCTCGCCGGGGGTGTGCAGGATGGAGATGCACAGCCGGCCGTCCGGGTAGATGTTGGGGTGGTAGATGGGGATCAGGAACTTGAACGTAGGCGGTTGGTAGGGGTACTCCTCGGTGAAGGTCATCTCGGCCTGTGATCACGATCAGTCAGCACGGGTCTGCGTCCAGGTTTGGGGGTTGCACGCGAGCAAGGCTCACCTTGAGGTAGCCGCCGTTGAAGGCGCTCTCGGGGTTGACAACGATGAGGCCGATATCCCAACGCATGATGTTGTCCTTGACCAGGTCGATGTTGACCCATTTCTCCTTGCCCAGCTGGGCGAGCTCCTGCATGAGCCGGTGTTTGGCGCCGGTTCGCGTGTTGGACGACATGATGTGAGATTTGTGTGTCTGAACGTCGGCGGGGTGCAGATTTGGAGGTGGGAAGGTGTGGGAAGGTGGGGGAAGTGCCTGCCGGTAAGAAGCCCAAGATCTGCTCGAGATCTAGGAGATCTATCGGAGGGAGTGTGGTGGTGTTGTTGGTGGGTGCGTTGCGCTCGTGGAGGGGGTGGTTGTACTCGTGACGGTGATCACACGTGTGGGTGGTGATCCGTCTCTGATAAAGGGCCGGCCTTCGGGGACGAGGCCCGATGGCGATTTAGCAAGCAGGAAGGCGGCGATTGTTCCTGTGATGATAGGACAAGGCCGAGGAAAGCAGGTCTCGCTCGCACGAAGCGATGGTTTCCGGGTCCCAGTCCTCCACTACGTACACGGGTCGACGTCGAGTTCCCAGAGGAGTGGTGGTGGTGGTGGTGGTGGTGGTGGTGTTGGTCTCCCAAGTCGTTCGTCGTCGTCGGCGGTCACTCAGAGATGGGCAGGGCCTGGGGAGGGCGGAGACTTGGAGGGGGCTTTTAAGAAGTTACCTCCATCCATGGATTGGATACTTATGGTGTCACCGCCGGCCGGGCTCGTGGCGTGCGTCCACTAACGAGCAACTCTATTTAGTGCCCCTCGCATCGGAGTTCCCACCTGGGCAGGGCCTTGCCAGGCTCGCCAGGCTTTCCGGGGGGGCCTCAGCGAGCCAAGGGCTGCACTGGACATGGATGATGGAGGCCCGTCACAGTCCCAACTTGCCAACCTACCTAGGTACCCGTCGACCACAGTAGGGCGTCGAGTGCCAGTTTTGCCCAACGCCAGGTCCCACTCCAGGTTCCCTTGACGGACCCCCAGGCTGCCAGGCGAGGCCCAGGAGACCCGCCCAGGGTTGTTTCGTGATCCATTCGACAGGGCCCAGCACCCCCCTGACTCGTCTTCCAAGGTTGGTCGTCACCACCCGCGTCCAGGTCCTCGCGCTGCCCTGCCGCCCTGTCCGCAAGGGTTGCGCGCCTGTCAACGATCCCTGGAAAGCGTCATTCTCCATCCCTCTATCTGATCCTCTAGTGACGCGCTCGCCTCTGGTGGTCTGGGATGCGCCAACCTCTGCAGCGGCCTCCCTCGATTCCGCTGCCAAGAGGAAGGACACCCTGAAACCGCGGATGCAGCCCGCAGAGGCCTGCAAGTTGCTCTTCTCTGTGCATTGCGCCCGCACCGTCTGACCTCCTCCGGTATATCTGAGCGGCAGCCCGTGACATGTCGTGCCCTAGCAGGTAGCAAGAGGCGTGGCTACGTGAGCGACGTGCAAGGGCAATACAATCACTCCTAGGAATGCCTCACAAGCCAGAGGCAACTTAGCACGCAAATGACGGTGAAGATGTCGAGATGCTGACTACAGGCCGGTGCCATGCCATGCCGTTGTGGCAACCTCTCACTCGTCCGAGAGAAGTTTTTATGGTGTCTGAATCAGATGCCGCAGGACTAGTGACGTCCGCGGGTGTGTCGCTCCTGGTCAACGCCGGGATGCGAGCGCGACCCGGGGGAGAAATCATGGCAAATTCTTTGGCCAGCCTACGGCGTCGATGGCTCTGAACAAAGAAGAAGAAGAAGGAGGAGGAGGAGGAGAAATCTGGTGCTTTGGAAGCATACCGAGAAGTCCAGATCCTTTCGTCTGGCTGAGCAGTTGGATTTGATCATCAAGAACATCGACCACCTATACTACGGATGCGCCGGTCACACATGGTGATAATGATGATCGCCGACGATTTGATCCACGAGTCTGTCTTACAGCAACAAGCTACTCGAAAGAGTCTCACACGCGCAATCACTCGTTTGCGGCCACGGGAACATTTGTGCAGGTCACTGTAACTCCTGCAAGCTTTTGACTGGGCAAATCGTGGTTTAAAGCCGGAGGCGACGTGTTACGCGCGTCGGCCTCACCCAGGTCAACCGACTATACAAGGCTAGTCTGCTGTCGTTGACCGGCAGGGCAGGCGCATCAGACAACCACAAACTGAAAAACACAAAACCAGGGATGGGAATAGCCACAACAAAGGCGTTGGTTGGCGGTCACTTTGATGGAATTTTTCCAATCATGCAATTCAGCGCCTCCCACTCCGCCGTGCTCGCCGCGACGTGTGTATGAGTAATCCGTAGCAATAGTGCAATGCAGGCTGTCGAATGTTTGACGAGGGATGTGACTTGCAGACAGCAGTGCGGATTGGTACAGTATTATCTGTTTCTGACTAAGATTGTGATACGACGGGATACGAGAGACGTCCACGACCCGGCGGCGTCATATCAGCCCGGGCGGGCCCTTATCACTTCTCATCGCGATACGTGCGAGCGACTTGTAAGCTTTGCAGCCTTCCACATTCGGCGGCAATTACCGTGGCTGTGGTCGCGTCGCTGCAGCCCGCAGAAGTCCGGAGGGAGGCATCTTGGTGCAATGTGTGTAGATCGTGGTAGATGGCGGGAACGGCGAAGGCTTCCTGGTATTGGGTATTCATAGCAGAACAAAGCGCAAAGCAAGTTTAGCCCATGGTACTGGTGTGAGGCCGTTTCATCATCAAGGGCGACCCAGGGCGCGGCCAAAGACCCCCCGAACTGTGTTCGCGATATCCAAGCTTTGCGAAGCTTACTCATGCATCTCTGTCTCTCTCATAACTCACTGTGGTACTAGCTCGCTACCTAGAGCCTTGGGGGACGGCTGCATAGGCGGGCAGAGTGGAGGATGTGCCTTCTCGCGTGGATGGGCGATCACATGGCGGGCGGAGGATCTGATCTTTGGGAAGATGGGACGACGTCGATCAGCCCGGCTTGGAAACTACGTGCAGTACATAAATAGTACGTACTGCGTGTGACCTGATTCCTGTATGTGGCCTGTCTCCTGTGGGACTGTGTGACTGTGTGATTGTGTCCTATCTCCTCTGTGTCCTGTGTCCCGCGTAATAGAGAGAGAGAGAGAGGGAGGAGATGAAGGGCTTTGTCGGAGTAGTGAATGAAACGTGATACAAAGCACTGGACCAGCACTCACTCAGCGCCAGCGCAGCAGAAAGTCAGATTGGGGGAAGGGCAAGGGGTAGGGGGAAGGGGGGGAGTGGACGGAGTGTCGAGCCCAGAGACCAGAGACCAGCGACCGGAGACCGGAGACGAGACGCGGAAGGGGAGGGAGGGGGGTGACTGTAGAGGCGGCGCGTCGGAACGAATAACATGCAGACGCAGACTAAAAAGCGGGGCGGGTGAAAGCAGCTGGGCCGCCAGGACGGTTTCGCAGGCAACCTTTCCGAGTTTCCCTCGGCCGGCGCCCACCCCCCCCCTCCCCCCCTTGGCCCAGCCCAGCCAGCGTCTCCCCCAGTGCCTCCCCCAGTGTACGCACCCACCCTCCCTCCATCCCAGTTCAGCCAACTCAGGCCGTCTCTTGTCTCTTGTCTCTCCCGGGGTCTCTGTCTCTGTTGCGCTCCTCACCCCAGCCAGCCAGCCAGAAGCCAGCGGGCGCTGTTCCTTCCCGCCCCGTTTCGTCCACAGCCCGGCCCAGCCTAGCCCAGCCCAAAAGCTCGGGGGGTGCAGTACTGTGTACTGTGTGTAGTGTGTACTGTAGTGGCTCCCACCCCCCCCAAATCCCCCAAATCTCCCAATCCGCCAGGCCGTTAGGTACCGGCTCTGCCTGCTCACCCGCCTGCCGCCCTGGCTACAGCACGATTCTCAGGCCCCCCATCACTCCTCACCCCGACTTCCCTTCATCATCAACCGCCTCTCCTCGACGGCATCGACTACCTACCGCCCAACGCCGCCAGCGACGACCTCAGCGACATCGACACTCGTACCGTCGGCGCTGAATCCATCCCCTCCCGCATTTTTCACACTCGGATCACCGCCGCGGGCCAATTCATTTTGTGCATGCAGGCATTCAGAGGTGTTTTCCACCACCACAGCCGGTCGGCCGATCGCGCGACGACTCGCCACTTCACGACCTCGACCTGACCCCATCTCCTCCTTCGCTGCTCTGCCGCGCCGCCCCGGGGACAATCAAATCTCGTCGGCTCTTGCGACCGCGGGCTCTCGAGCGATACCCTTTTTCCCCCAAGTAGGAGGCGTCCGCTCTTTTGTCTACGGCCGACAAGACATCTCGACCTGATTTTCTTTGCCCGGACTCCACTCTCACCACCAGCCATCGTCCGTTGACCTCGCAACCTCAGTTCTCCTCTCCCGTCTGTCGCTCTCGACACGCCGCAGCCTCCGCAGCCTCCTCATCCGTCCCTCCATCTTCGCTAGCAGCACGGCACCGGGGTTGTTGACTTCATTTCGATGGCGACAATGTCATTCAACCCTCAGACGCCTCAGAGCCCCTCGCAGTTCTCCCCGAGCACTGCGGATCCGCTATCTAGCATGAATAGCTCCATGACATCGATCACCACCGCCTCTCTGCCGACGCCCGCCCACAGCGTCAACGAGACCCATCCCGGCGACTCGTCGCACGACGTCGCCATGTCCGACGCCGACTCCCCCAACAAGCGCAAGCGAAACCCCGATGACGTCGGTCATCATGAGCAGAAGAAAGCGCTCGTCGAGGATCCTCGCAGACTGGGCATTGAGGACCTGCACTTAGATGTGGGCCCCAAGGCCCTTCTTTGCAGAACTCGTAAGGCTCCCTCTCTACTCTGGCCAGTAGATGCCTGTGACATGACCGCTCTCCAACCCCGTTTTGACCGCTGCTACCTGACCTGAACTGAACTGAACTACTTTTGGTTGACACTGCTCTTCTCTAGCCCATTTTGCCTCGTATCCACGCTCGTCAGACGATCTCTATGAGATGTTTGGCCTGACTGATATCGCTGCCGAGGTGGCGCGGACCAAGCCGAATGGCGAGAAGAATGCGCTCCGGAAGACCTTCAAGGGCCATATGAAGGCTCTGGGCATTGCCGGCCACTTTGACCCCGTCAAGACGGATGACAACGACCCCGAGGGTTTTATGCACATGCTCAACGCACCAGAGGATGGCTGGTACGTGCATGAGGTTGTCGGCAAGGAGATCGGCAGAGGGTTTTCCGATCAGGTCCAGTCGGCTCTGCAGAGGGCGACGACCATGGCCAAGGGGCCGATAGCGAAGTCGGTCTGGGACAGTTCCGTGCTCGGCGACCTGGCGCCCTCGTCGGTGGCCAAGAAGCCCAAGGAGGACATGTTCAAGCAGAGCACGCCCGGCACGCCATCAGGTCTGGCGGCAGGGCTGGGCAAGTCCAACAAGCTGCAGGTGCCCCAGGCGGATCGCTCGAGGCGGAACGTCAAGAAGCGCAGCTACCAGGACAGCAGTTTCGAGGGATATGGTGAGGGCTACGGTGATGACGATCTCGGGGCTGAGACTGGTTACTCGACAGGAGACGGCGACGACCGGTCGGCGAAGAAGAGGAGAAAGCAGGTGAGCTCAGATCACCCGTCTTTCTCTAGCTCTCTCGGCTGACCCCTTGTTCGCAGAATCCCGGCATCGCATCGTCACTAGGCGGAGGAGCCCCCATGCGGCAGGCAGTACGATAAGGACTTCATGATACCCGGTCCAGAGGAACTGGAACCAGAAACAGTCGCAGCGGTAATGGCGGAGAGCTGTTGTATTTTGATCAACGCTCGGTGAGGGCAACAAAAAAAAGACCCCTCCACAGCGAATAGTTGCGCGGTTGTTTTTCTATTTTCTGCATTTACCTGATGAGTTCAGCAAGGCGTTGGGGATCTTGATTTTCAGAACGAAAAAGCAGCAAATGCGCCAGACGAGGTTGGCAAGTCCCTTCTAGGGGAGCCGTAGAGGCCCGGCCAGGCAACGTCTCTCTGGGCATGTTGTCGAATATACCTTGATACAGCAATAAAAGGAATTGTTAAACATACTGACGTGCGCGTGCTGTGCCCTCCTTGGTGTTGTCACATTTCGTGGCCAAGTCGTGGACGTCGTAGGCCTCCTTGTCTCGGCAGGCAGCCTGTTGGTCTTCCACTTGTGGCTGTATCATATCAGTATAGTACATGAGAAGAAGAGCGTGAGTCGATCCAGCCCAAACATATATTTACAGGGCCGAGGGGTATATTTGCTGAACGATACCCGTTGTGGCACGACCAATATTTCCTCCCTCCCAGGCGGAAGGGCACTTCGATATGTAGTAGCACACAAGCAAGCCATTGCTTACCTAAGTCTACATATACACTCCTACACCTGTTACCCCGAGATCCGGGATGGGAAGACACATCAAAAGACGGGATCATAGGCCATACGTTGTATACCAATGTCAACCATTGTATTGTCTGGGTATCTATCTCGCTTCTGAATTAGACAAGCACGCACACCTCACCTCACATCTCCTCTCCGACCGTGCCCACCACTTCATCCCGCCTCCGCCGCGGCGTCCACTATGGCCCGCTTCGTCGCGTCGTCCTGCACCCACTGGACGATCATGTCGCCGACGTCGCCCACCAGGCGCTCGTAGTGCGGGCCGGGGAAGAAGAGCCCCGTGTGGGCGGCGACCTCGTCGGCGTCCTTCATAAAGATCTTGATCCACTTGGGGTCGCGCTGGCCGTTGATCTTGGAGGGTAGGTTGCAGAACTTGCGGTCCTTCTTGGGCTTCTCGGGCTTCTCCTGCCTCTGTATATGCTTCTGTTTGTCCTTGCTCGAGCTGCTACCCCGTGGGGGCTCGGCCGGGTCTGATGAGCTCGCCACCGAGATGGCTGGGGCAAGCGAGGAGCCCGGTTTGGCGTCCAGCGGCCCCTTGTCGTCGGCAGGGGCACCCTCAACGAGGGATGCTGCGGTAGAGGTTTCCCCTTGTGCAGGGGGCCTCGGCGGAGGCCTGGGGGGCGCGGCGGCCGCGGCGGCGTCGGCGATCGACTCCTGGTCGTGTATCGCATCATCCAGGGCGGTACGCGCAGCAGCGTCCAAGACGCCTCGTTGCTTCTGCGTGGGCTCCAACTCCTTTGCCAGCTTCTTCCTGTGCTTCGCGATGAGCTTCTTGCGGTCCTTGAGGTCCTTCTCGTAGTTCTTAACCGCCTTCTCGTGGGCCTTCCTCCGCTTCTTGGCCTCTTTCTCGACCTGCTGCCGCACTTCCTTGTCGGTAAACTTGCTAAGATCTGGCGACTCGGGCGCAGGCCCCGGGCTTTCCAACTTGGGCAGCTCGGACTTGAACTTTGCCATTGCCCTTGCGATTTCTGGCATCTCTTCGTCTTCGTCGTCGACGCCCTCCTGTTCCGTCTTGACCTCTTCCGCGTTGGCCCCCTCTGGCTTTGTCTCCTCTGTCTTTGCTACTTCTATCTTTGCCTCGTCAGGTTCTGCCGCCGCTGGCCCCGCCCCGTCCGTCTCTGCCTTTTCCGCTTTCACGTCTTCCTGCTCGCCGTCATATGCTTCCTCTGCTATAGGATCAGGATCCAGGATTTCGAGGCTGGTAATAGACCTGTCATCTGGGACATCTTCCTCCGGGTGAATCAGAGCAGTGGGTTCCTCCTTATGTATATCCGACAGCCTCTGCGGTTGCACGGAGCCATCTTGCTTGTCCAGCCATGAATTCTCTGAGTTTTCAGGATCTGGGCTCTTCGGCGTCTTGGGCTGTTTCGGATATCCGTGACAGACTGTGTAGTACTGGACGAACCGAACTCTCGGGGGGACGTGTGGGAACCCGTGGTGTTTGATATCGTCCACGTCCTCAAGCCTCCTGAGAGTTTCATACCGCAGCTTCAGGCCATTGAAATCAGCCAAGCAACTGCCAAATTCTAGGTGGGACATGATGTGGTGAGTTGCTGCGTCCACCAAACCTTCCGAGTTGTGCTTCTTGACGAAATGGACGACGTTCTTCCACCAGCCGCGGTCCATGATGCGCACATCGTTGGGATAATTGGGGTTGAAGTTCGGGTCAAACGTCATTCTCGACAGCAAGCCACCAGCTGTCTGCGGCGAAGGCGTCGGAGGCTGCGATGCGGATGACACCGATCCGGCATCTGAGAATTGGTAGGGCTCCTGCGAGCCCGCTCTGGAAGGGGTCCCACTCGAGCCGCCGTCCTGCTCGTCGAACGACTTTGGCGGATCTGGTTTCTTCCGGAAGAGGCTGGATATGCCAGAGACGACGATGCCCGGGTGGAGTCCAAGCAGAGGTGCATCCAGGTTCACAGTCCCAAGGATTCTGTGTTGGAAAAAGGTAGCCCTGCCGGTAGTCGAAGGCTGCAGATTGGGTTAGTATCGAGCCAAAATTACGCTTTTTGGGAAGGGGGCCAGGAGACTCAAACTCACCTTCAAGACCACATCCGCAGAGAGAAGCCCGCCCATGGAATGGCCGACGAGGATAACATCTGTGGTGTCGGACTCGTGCGGGTTCAGCCAGCGGCCGAAGTTGTCTCGCGCGACCTCGATGGCTTTGTAGGTCTTGTACTTTGGATATATCTTGGAATGGATGGTGTGGGTGCGGGGCATGTGGTTCTTGAGATATTTGTGCACATGGGCCGGGAAGGACTGGAAAGAAGAGTCATTCCCCATGAAGCCGTGGATGTAGATAATGAGCAGCGTGCGGGTGGGCTGCTCGCCCGTGTCCGGGATGGACGGTGCTAGGGATTGGGCAGACGACGTCCGCGGGTCATGGGCATGGAGGTTCGTGTAGCCCCCTCCAACCCGTTGGCCGCCCCAGGTGGAGGGTTCTGGAGAGAGGTAAGGCCGGTCTGCGTCCCATTTGCTCATTTTGATGTATATCTAATGATCAACCACTGCAAACTTGTGCTTCGAAGTGATACTCGAGCAGGACGGGCTAGGGGGAACGAGGGCGGCCGGTATCAGGGTGCGTCCCAGTCGGCATTTAGGTGGTTAGGGTCAATGAAAGCGGGAAAGTGGGACCGGACCGCCAGTGTGTGTCGTCACAGCGCGGGCGGCGGAAAGTTGGCGGGCCAATTATCGACGGAAACGACACTGAATGAAGCTGCCCGGCTAACTCACATCTTTTCCATCCTATATATCCAGTTTCGACAGCGGTCGAGCGCGGTCACCGAAAGCAGAGGATTCGCCTTCGACCCGCCAAGATCTTTCTGTACACGCATTAGATGCGGATAGCTAATCGATGTCCCTTGCCATCTTCCAGGGTCGCACATGGCTAAGGTTGCGAGCCGATCCCTACGCCGGTCCCCACCAAAGCCGACACTCGGACAGCCGACGCCTCAATCCCAAGCCAACATAAAGCGTCCGTCCCTTGTTTGTTGACCACCTCGTCAACGACGTCGGCACCGAACATCCGCACAGCTTTCAAACCAATGACGCTGTTAAGACATATAATAGTTCTTTCTGTACCATATATTAAGTTAGCCAACTTATAAAACGATGCAAGAACTTTGTCCTAAAAGTAGGGAGACCTGCATAGGCCACATGATGGTGCAATTTTTTTTTCTTTTGGCAAGCTGTTCAGGCTTCGGTATTGAATTGCACTGGTGTTGTGATAAAACCTTGAAAACCACATAGCGCGCCAAAGCGTGCCAGCATAATAGAGAGCTGGCTCAGTATCCTGTTCGCACCTTCTTCATTCAGTCTGTACCAGCACTATGCTGTATTATGGCCCAATGTTCGGCAGATAGACCTTTGCTATCGACAAATTGGTGGATGGGTTCCGATCAGGTGGTTGGACATGAATCCTCGACTGCGGACTCTTTGCAATATATATATTACTCACTAATTTGAACGCCACAAGATGATAGAGGAGAGGCAGGACGGGCACTAGAAGGGACCTCCGGACCATTGCACGGAGCTGGAGCGGGCAAAACCGTGGGCCGGAAGGAGTCAGGCGGCTCTCGAGGCTACGAGCGTGTCTCCCATGCGATAGATGTTTCGCTTTCGAAAGTTTGTGTGCTGAAGTAAGTCAAGTGGTCGAGGTATTGCAATCACCCGTATAGTAAGACCGAGAATAGCCTGCCATAATCACAAATACAGCGTAAGATCCTCCGCCAGTTGAAGTCAATACTAAACTTGATCTCGTAAGCCCTTTTGTCTCATGAGTATGCCCACCGGGTTGGGCAGCGGACTTATGACTCAAGCTATACACCAGTCTGTTCTTGTTGGTCATGTCCAACTAAATACCGACCAAGCAAATGCCTTAGCCCATGGCCAGATGGTGCATGTAAGGGCGTCCCTTTGTAAACTTCCGTGCTCCTGACAGTCATTTCCCAGTGTACCCTTATCGTTGCCGTAACATTTCGTCGGTTGTGCCGCGGCTACGGTGCAGCTGTCCCCTTGTTTAAGTGCTTTCGGTGTTCTGGGGGGTTATTCCCATCTCGCCACATCCAAAATCGCGCTGGGCAACGGATAAACTTCCTGGACCACCTCAATTACTTATTAGTGTTGTGTTTCATTCGAGGCTGCGAGAGATTGGCGCGTGTCATCTCTTGGATTTGCCCTTCGCTTTTGTAGCCTTCTGCTTGTCAACAAAGTCCTTGATGATGCCATGCAGGTCCGAGTTCCGACGCGCTAGCAGCAGTGCGTCATCTGTAGTGATGGTTGACCGCCCAGCATGGCGACTGAAGCTCTCCAGATCTATCGCAACACTCTCTGTAGAACATCAGCGGATGAGCTCGGAGGCGTGGGTCCAGGGGCAGATATAATGCCACGAACAGACCGCTCCATAGGATTCACGACCTTCCCGGTGGCGGGACATACCTATCTGTAGCCACACCATCTCCATGAGAGCGCCAATGAATTGAGGCGTGACATTTCTGTTTCTTCGGAGGGACTCCTCATCGACTATCTTGCCCACGGCAAACCACAGTGCTGCTTTGAGGCGCTATCCGTCACACCATGAGCTCGAGTCAATTTGCACGCAGATTCCATCAATACACTTACCTCGCGCACCTCTTCGTCAGACTCGTCCGCCATGACTTGAGTGATCGCCGATGTTTGGTTTCGAGTCTGAGAGTCACAGGGACAAGGTGTTTCAACGCCTTTAGCACCGCGTCTGGTCGCGTTAAGCAGCTGGGGGAGAGAGTGGGGCAGGGCGATCGACCAGCTGCAGGGGGAGCTCGGCAGACGGTCAGGCTCAGCAACCCAAGCTTTGCCTGCCTTACGTTAGCAATGACAGCCCTGTGATTTGGATGCTCAATCAACTGAAGTGCAGGTTGCAGGGGGGGTCCGGGGGGCTTGGTCGCACTAAGGTAGCGCACGCGCTATGAGACACTGGAGACGAGACGTTTTTTACCGCGCATTCTAGAAGGTTTCGAGGCGATCGCGCGAAATATCAAAGTTGGTCGCTTCCTCCGAGTTGGCCCAAACAAAACCTTTTTATTTTTCTCCTCATTTTTGTTTTCATGTACGACTACTTCTAGCCTCACTACCATTATAGCTTCTAATACTTGTCTCTATTTTCTCTGTCATTGCACATCTTCCCGACCTATACACGCAGCACAAACACCGCCGCCGCCGCCGCCGCCGCCATGTCCGAACTCCAAGATCTCGTCGCCCATCTGGGCGAATCCGTCCAGCAGCTCGCCGGCCTGGTCGGTATGGCCGGCCAGCGCTTCACCACCAACCTCACTGCCTCCTTCACCACCATGACCCTGAAGCACTGGATACGACTGGTCATGATCGTCGGGACATACCTCCTCGTGCGCCCCTACATCATCAAGCTCGGCGCGAAGCACCAGGAGAAGCAGTTCGAGAAGGCGCATGCCGAGGAGGAGGAGGCACAGGCCAAGATCTCGCCCAACCAGCTAAGAGGCCAGGTCGACGTCCCGGATGACAGCGACGACGAGCTGCCGGAACCGGAGGCCACTGCCGCCTCTACGGCAGCGGATTGGGGAAAGAAGGCCCGCAAGAGACAGAGGAACATGATCAAGAAGCTGATTGATGCCGAGGAGAAGAGGTTACAGGAGCTGCAGGAGGACGAGGAGGACAAGGATATCGAGCAGTACTTGACCTAGATATTGCTTCGAGGCTTGAAGTACACTCGTCTCGGCATGTGGTGGATTACACTCATTTTGAGCTACGATTCCCGTCCAATCACCGGCTGTGGTTTTGCTGTTCCACCTCCAGCAGATTGATATGGAGAGCATCAAGGGCTTGGGGTTGAATTACAGTATTCGGGTTCGATTGCTGCACATTGTAGCCGTGTGCACGGTATGTACTTGGATGGCTAGGCCAGCGGCCAAAGGAGTGTATCACATATAATAATTTGCCAATCAAAGAATTGGTGCCCAAAAATGCGACAGATCAACGCAGGACCTCGTGATTTCACTGCGAAAGGAAAATTGGCGGATGAGGTGGCTCAATCTGTGTACTACTGGACCGAAAGCAACGTCGTCGTTGCTACATCTCGAATAGGGGCTAAGGGGCATGAGGGGACATAGGACCGCATGGCAGTTGTAGGTGGTTACTGCACCAATAACGTAACCACGAAAGAGAATGCCGTCCTCGGTATCAAAAAAGTGTCTGCTTGAAGTCCTTATAAAACGAAGGCCAATTCATGAAAGGACCAAGGTAGGGGGGCACTTGCTCCTCCCGTCTAGATTTGAGACACTATTCCCACCTCCTTACCCTGCTTTACACCGCACATGACGGTCTATTGTCTGAAGTGGTCAACCGTGTCCAGCTAAATGATCAAGGGCCTATGACACCATGTACTGCGACTCATCAGCATGCAACTACTATATTTAGCCAGTAGACTCCAATCCATCTGCCATGGTCAGTCTCAACTTGCCATAATAGCAACTAATTGACGAAAGCCGCATGATGGATGCCTCCAAGTCCTCTGAGAGATCTAGACCTTCAGACATCAAGAGAGGAAAGATAGTTCCCTATATTGCGAAGCCCGATGACCCTTCTGTGCCCGCCTCTCCATTGGAATTGCAGGTTTACAACGGAGGCCTTTATTCCCCGACATACCTGCGACCACTTCTTGGTCTCTAAGTATGGATACCGGAAAGCAGATGCTACCGTTTGCTTGTGACAGTTCAAGATCTCGATTGTAACCTTAGCGGCAGGTGCCACGTGGCGTTTTTCCAGTCTGTTGGATTGTTTGATTTGCAGACAACGACATGGGACTGGGTGCTCTAGCTGAGGCTGTTGGTTCAGCCTCCGTATCTGCCCATTACTATTTTTTCTTCTTGCTATGACCCGCTTCTGCTCAAGTTTGGTACGCCGAAAGAAAATTTGTGGTGGCGTAGCGGACTATGAACTGCAAAGTCCCACTGCTGTTAAAAAGGCGGACTAGGTTATATGCAAGCAAAGACTTTGATTCATTGTCACTGATAAATACCTTTGTGTAAGTGCTATGGGCTGATAGGAGGATACACGAGACGTTGATGCTGCAGATGAGGCGCCTGCATCTACAAGTCTCTTCATCCGGCCCGATCCACTGACGGTTTCCTCGACGGAATGATTGTGTTCCTATGTTGACTTCCAGGCGTACGGAGGACTACGTATCGTGCCATATCCTGCGTACTTTCATGAGAACCTCTCTCGCTTCAGGTCCGAAAAGTGAGGCTCTCAGTCAAACATTCACGTCGATCGATCTCGATCCTGCTGACTAGAGATTTCTGGCCACTCCAGCAGTCATGAGAGTACACAGAATAAGCAGTGATGAGCTGTCCTAAACGCTACAGATCGTCATGTGGGATCAAGTGACCGTAATATGTAAAATTCGACGAGACACCAGCATTTTATCAGAGTTCTAACTCAGAGACTGATATCGGTAATTGGGCGTTCCATCACACCAGCTTTGCAATTGTTGGACTCTGAAAATGACTATGGGAAGATGACGACTTAAAATACATGTCATTTGGACAAGACAGCTAACATACAGCAGCCTTGAGCTACAAAGGGGCCTAGGTCCGTCGATGTCCGATCGAGGTGTTTGCTTTTTCTTACTCAGGCTTGAGGACGATGGATGCTAAAGACTATTACATTTGCCAACATGTTTCACCTGATATCATATATGCAGCGGCTCCTGACGCCCCAGAACTTAGCTCATGTGCTTTCGCGAAGTCGTTCAACAATACTTTCAACGTTGAAACAGGTTCGTAACAACTATCTGCAGCTAGCCCTGACGCCTCACGGTTGCCTTCAAACGCCCGGTCAATGAGTGAACACGGAGCGTAGCGAGAGTACCTTTTCTACGTTGCCTTGTGCCACCATAAATAATATCTACTTGCACCGCATATCTTGAACTAAGGAGTGTTCCCTAATAACACCTGCTAGAGCAATCATAACTCGCACGTACAGTTTCCATCAGAATCCAAATACTTGATATTCAGCTGATCGTTATGTGTGACGAATTTCTTCAGGCGATGGCATTTGTTGTGTCATCTGATGCTAGAAACAACCGTATCGACGATATTTTTCAATGATGTAAACCTAATCGAAACAATTATTGTTGTTTCTAGGTATTGAAAGATTAGACGACTACTACGAGACCTGTATACGACGAGAAGTTACGTGAGCTGTCAGAACTTTCCAAGAGGTTCCAGCATCAGAGCGAGAGAGCTTTGTGTCTCCAGTCCGTCGAAGCTATGACCACAGCCCCTTGCGGTGGCCTCCGATGGAACACAGCCGGTAGGTACGGCAGCTCATCCGAGGCTTCAAAACATGCCCTGCCTCGGTTTGTGGAACTTTGGGCCGCGAGGTCAGCAGAGTCTTCGAGGGTGCGACGCAACTATATGCGACATCTGCCACACCTGTGGGACGCAACCGCGTTTTGGCATACCGGGTGAGAGTAGGTAGGTACAATATATCTCCAGCCACGGGATCGAGCGACTTACAGGGACCAGAATATATCCGTATTGTCGGATGCGTGTATAGAGCTAAGCTAATCTTTTCGCCGCGGCTCTTGGTGGATGACTTCATAGCCTCGCCTGCATGTCGCTGTCTCCGGCAATTCATCTGCATATAGTGGGTACAAACACTCGATCACGTACATTAGCATCAACTAGACTCGAGGGCATTGACAAAATAAACTTTGGATCTGCTGTTGGCACCATGCGGCGTTACAATGCCGGGAGACGCCCTTGCCTGCCGTTGCGTAAAATCGTTGCACTCTATGTGCCACCGCCTTTTCATGTTGGCTGATCACATCTCAGCGTGGGATGATGGCAAATAGCAGCCGACTCGTGTCGATGAGGCGCGCGACTTTTCTAATGCTCGACTAATCTATCAGACTGTACATACCCGATGGCTCCAGCCCAGAGATTCTGTAACCACACTGACGGGGGCCCGACAAGAAAAGAGGAAGAAAAAAAGTTACTGTGTACGCTGGATACCTACCTTTGGTGGGGGTTGAGGGGGGGGTTGAGGGCATCCACACAAAGTCCGAAGACTCACTTGGCAGCTGACGACCCTATCGCCCGGCTACTGTTCGAAGTAGGCGTACAACAGTCTTGTGCGAGCGACTGCCCAAACGAGGGCCCGGAGCAGAATCTCTGTCCAGGAGAAAGTCCTAGCTCGCTAAGAGCAGATATACCCGGACGAAGGATTCGGCGGTTGTGGTGGGAGGGCTGTGAGGGGTACGACCTACATGTTCGAGCGTTGGAAGTTGGGGAATAGTCGACAAATGTATGGACGGCTCTACGAACTGGTGAGGGGGCAGAGGGGCGATGTGCAGTCAGACAGGCCAAGCTGATCAAGGCCCTTGTCGCCGTCTTGCCGTCGGGGCCGTTCAGCGACGCCCCTCCAATAGTCCACAGCCCAGGATCGAGTGACAAGAAACGGCTGCCGCGCCCACTGCCCAGACCTCTCCTCTTTCAGACATGAACAAGGTACGTGGAACCCCGCCGCCGCCGCCGCCGCCGCCAACGCTTCCACTGCATGAGGGGCGTCTGCTTCATCATCGAATTGTGCTTAGCGCCGCCGCTGTGTGCACCAGCAGTCGACGTGTGTCCGCGTCTGCAGCAGCCCACCAGCGGCAGAATAGAGGCAGCTGTTCGTTTTCTGTGACCGAGGGCTCGCTCGCTCACCTTGGCTTGTGCTTAGCTCATCTCTCGGTGCTGTGCATTCATTCATAATAAAAGAGCTTTGCCTCGTAGGCCGTCTCGAAACTCAGAGTCAAGGCTACCCAACCTTACTTTGAGCGCCCTAGTCCCCACCAAGACAACAAGCCCGGAGCGCCCCTCCTCGCCCACGGTGCAGGCCCGACATCCTGACTGAAAACAAACAATCCCATGTTGATCACTCCTGTCCGAGTTTTTCTTGCCTGCTTTTAACACCATTCGCTTGCTGTGATCCGCCTGTGTTTCCGATCCCACCACTCTCGCGCAAAGTGGTGAAGTGCTCGTCGACTGGATTTGTCCGTTCCTTACCGCGTGAGTGAGTGAAGTCCGGACCTTGCATGCTGTAAGGCAGCGGAGCCGGGCGCCTGAGCTGCATCTGCCGTCATCACCCACGCCGCCCCAGGCTACGATGCCCTGAGAAAGCCTTTCGGTGTACATTTCATGCATCATGGTCGAGGGCGTCGATATCCAAAGCTTCCTGCAGAACGGGTACTGGCAGAATTCTAGGGTGAAGACCCCGGATTCCAGGTTGTAAGTCGTCGGCTCTTAGCTCCTCCCACCCACCCGTCGTGCTGTTGCTTTAAGGGCGGCGATCCAACCCAGTCTTCCGCGGGGTGCGCCCTGGCCCCCGAGATGAGATGTAGCGACTTACTGAGACGTGATGCACCCTCTAGCTCCCCATCATATTCGCACAACAACGATATCTCGGTGCCGAGATCCTCGCATTCTACTACTTACCCGCCCGAGCTCCGGCGGCATGGCTTCAGACCACCGGCTCCCACTGTCGAGGACGAGGCCGAGTCGCTTGCGAAAGAGCACGGATCCGTAGTCTCCTGCCCTCCCGAGGAGGAGCCCAAGCATCCTGGGGACGTCGATCAATACCCTATCCTTGAGCTCCTACACGAACACAACCCGGAGCGCCGCTTTGTACTTGTTCCGAACTCGCCTGTCTCGCCTGTGTCACCGTCAGACCAGTCGCAGGACGAAGTGAGCAAGCCGGCCAAGCCCACACAGGAGAGCAAGGAGTTACGACCCGAGAACAAGGATACTTATGAAGCAAACACGGGCCGGAAATATGTCCTGCTCAGCCCAGACGACGATGAGTTGGGACGCAAACGCGACCGTGAGGACCGCGAGAAGCGCCCAAATCGTGAGAGGCGGAAGAGCAAGTTAGAAGACCTGCCCGCTATTGTTACAGATCTTGGCCATAATAACCGCGACGAGCCCAAGCGAGGCGACGTCCGGCGAGCCAAATCTGCGACTGGTGCGGAACCCGGTTCTGAGGACTACTTCTCCCCCCGCCGTAGCTCTCAGCGGCTTCGCGAGGAGTCCATGTTGTCTCCAGATGTGATCAAGCACTCCACCAAGGGGCGTGACCGGGCTTATTACGACTATAGCGGATCTTCAACTCCCAACCAAGGTCGCGCCAGGGCGAATCAAGCGGAAGATAAACGCCAGCCTAAGAAAGCCGATGGAAAGGAAAGCAGGGCATATTCCTCGAGTCCTGTTGACCCGAAGAAGAGCTCCAACTTTGATCCCCCTCGAAATGTTCGGAGGACATCTAAAGAAGGTCCCCCAGGCCGAGAGAAGGATTACTATGACAAAGGCCGCGAATCGTCATCCAAGCTTAGCAGGAAGAATTCTACATCAAACTCTCGCTCAGACCGCGAGTCCTTACGGCCGCGATCAGCCAGCTTCAGGGGTAAACGAGATTCACCACCGTACGAAGATTCTCGTTATTCCAGCGATGAAGACACCGATCGCCGAGGTGTGTCACGTCGTCGTGGCAAATCCTCTGTTCGCGAGGAACGAAAAGGTTACCTCTCAACACCTGTTGAGACGAAGCCTCTAGACCGCAGATCGAAACCATCGACGCCGCTCGCTTCACCTCGAGCATCGCAAGGGGACTTTCGTACTGATCTGCCTCCGAAGGACCTGTCGCGGAGTCCCCGTAGTGCGACCTTCCCAACGTCAATGGATTTGCCCAAGACCGAGCCAAGACAGCCTGCTGCAGCGGAAGATTCACCCACACGGCCGCTGTCCCGTGCGTCCACTGCGAGATCTACACTGAATTCAGCAGCTTCCTTGGCTTTACCCGTGATTACAGCGACGGCTGCTTCAGCTGCGCAGGACACGGGCACTCCTGTCGATAGGCGACCAGCTGGTGTACCCCCTCCCCCAAAGGGTGCCAGAGCCATGCCTGAGCCGCGTGGAGATTCCCGTTCTTCGGTACCGACCCCCGTGTCGAGTCCTCCCAAGCAATCATGGCAGCCTCCCAAATTTGATCCCTCCAAGGATAGCACTCAACTAGAGCAGCCAGTTACGTCGTACAGGCGGTATTCAGAAAGCCGTAATATCGGGGATGCATCTGAGCTCGCCGATTGCCCCAGAATGAAGCCAGAAGCTGGCCACGTCGATTGGCTGACATTATTCAAGACCAACTTTAGCATCTGCCCGACATGCTATCAATCAGCCTTTGGAAACTCACAATTCAGGAACGACTTCGTACCGGCGCCCCTGAGGCCACTTGACAGGCCTTTCAAGTGCGACTTTGGTACTTCACTCTGGTGTCATATCGCATGGCTCCTGACACAGAAATACAACAAGCCGGACCTACGTTTATTTCATGGCCTTGTCAACGTGACAGCGTCCCACCAACCATGCAGCGGGCTTCAGCCTGCATACCGGATCTGGTATACGATCAAGGATCCGGTTACGCAGCGCCCTGTCCGCAACTTTAATATCTGTCATCACTGCGCTAAAAGCATCGAAGTCCTGCTGCCCAACCTTTCTGGTGCATTTGTCCCCATGGATTCGCCAGCGGAACCTACGAAGGGCACGTGTAGTATGCATCAACACGGGTTCGGAGGCGTGCGGAGAAGATTCGTCCTGTTCTTCGACCAGCTGGAGGCCACATCCGATGTGGCGCTGGCAACCAGCTGTGCTCCAGATATACGCCTACTGGCAGACCGAGTGCGTGAGATTGCAATAACAGATGAATGCTACGGCAGCCAACCTGTCGCAAACCGTAGATGGCATACAATGCGGTCCGTGCCCGACTTCACCGTGTGCGAAGAGTGCTTCAACGAGGTAATCTGGCCAGAGATCGAACGCGATTCATCGGGAATCCAAGCAGATTTCTACAAGAATCCTCAGAAGATACCGGTAGCTGCCTGCCAGCTCTATTCCGACCGTATGCGAAGCGTTTTCCACAAAGCAGTGGAGAACGACGATTTGGATCTCTTCAGGTCCAGAATTAGAAGGCGGCAGCAAAAGGAGCGGGAGTTTCATTCGAAGGTTCGGGGCCTGGATGTCAACGCTCTAGGCAAAGAATGGGTTGAGGAAGAGATAGAGCGACTTAAGAAGGAGTGGAGTAGATATGAATAGATCAGGCTTTGGACATAGCCTGTTAACGATTGAATAAGTAGATTACGGGTTACGACTTAACGATACGGGGACACGACGGAAGGTATGGATATAATAAAATTCGATGTACGACGTTATCGTGATTTAGCACGCGCATGATGTTCTTCTGCGGCTTAACGATTTCCTTTCAGCTGCTGTGGCCAGTCCGCCGGACAGGTTCCCGTACATGGTATCCCAGAACTGCCTTGGTTCTGTATGTTGGAACACAGCCACTTGGCCGAACCCCCGGCCGCGGGCGTGATATTTACGTTCTCCATACTGAAACCCTTGCACGGCGCCGCAGCACTGCAATGGATGCCCGCAGCAACGTTATACCTGCTGGTGCCAGTGATGTTGACCCAGCGCACATCGCTGATGGCCAGGCGACTGGAGTCGCACCCGTTGGCGGAATAGATACATGGAGTCACATAAATGGGCTGGTCGACTTCGCTGATGCGGAAGTTGGCGAACGTGATGTTACGCACATGCCCTGTCCCACTATACGTCTTGATCCACGCTGCATTCGACGAGTGCTTGCACGTCACGTTGTCGAAGTACACGTTCTCCACGTAGTCTGGCTGCGATGGCTGAGAGCCTATGGAGCCGATGCAAGCGCAGCCACTCTCTCGACAGGTCACATTAGACACCGAGATGTTCGTGCTGTTGCCTTTCATAGAGATGCAGTCCTGTGCCCCAATTAGTTTATCAAGGACCTTCTTGCCTGCGCCGTCTAGGCCATCCTCCTCAGGAGACATGCTTCAGGCTAGCCTCATCCACCTCTATGCTGTGATCACTAGAGCGTTCAGGGGCACTCACGTCGCCACAGGTGACTGTCCAGTTCGCGATGACAACGTCCTTTGAGTTCCATGTGTCCACGCCGTCTGTATTGACCGTCTTCCACTGGCTGTTGCTCGTGGCGTTCATGTCGAGGTTGGTCATGGTGATGTTCTGGCTGTAGGCGACAAAGGTGTGCCAGAACTGGACCTGGCGCCAGGTGATGCCGTCAACGAGGACGTTGCGCGCGTGCCACAGTGTCAATGAGATCGGCCGCCCGTTCTGGTTCCCCTGATTGCGGTTCTGGTCGTACCACAGCTGCCCGTTGCCGTCAAACAGAGCCTTGCCGAAGCCGAGAAGTTTGATATCATTGCCGCCCAACATCCAGGCTGTGCTTCGCCCAGCGTACGTGACCGAGAGGCTGTTGCGCAGCCAGTACTGTATATCGGCTGACCACTTGAGCGTGCCGTGGATCTCAATCGACACATTGGCCAGATCTGTCGTCTTCATCACTTGTCCGATGTGGAACAGGCCTTCCGTAAGCACGATGCGTCCGTTCTTGCCGCATTGCTTGAACGCGCTCAGGATCTGGGGTGTGTCGTCAGGGTCTTTGCCGTTGGTCCCAGTCCCAAGTGGTGTTACTGTGCACGCGTCTCCGTCAACTTCGAGCGCCGCGAGCGCCGGGCCGGCGATGGCAAGGAGCCGGAGAAATTGTGTGAACCTCATCTTCAATGCTATTCAGTTGAAGCTGAACGGCATCAGCACGCCGGAAATGGCAGCATGCTCTCGGCTTCGCGAATCATTCATGATATAAATATTGGGCCACTTCTATGCCACCCTATAGATGATTGTAATGAGGGGTGTTGCAATACTAGCCCGAATGGCAAGCCCCCGGAAGAGGCGTATACAATACAGTTTGGTAGGACGGAGCAAAAGTCGAGCTTTCCGAGGTGTTGTATTACCTCAGAGGCCCAATCATCACACTCGGCTAATATCAGATGCGAGTGGCCTCTAGATTAATTACATTCGGCTTTAGCCCGGATACAAAAGAAATCCCGGCACACACATAGTGATATAGCACTTTGTTGACATTCTTAGAACCGAGTAACAAATCAGGAATTGTGGGTCTTCTGCTTACTTCAGTGACCTGAATCCTATGACTACAAGTCTATAAGTTACAATCACGTGATTCTGGTCCAAAGACATACTACCAAAGACTCGAGCTTACAACTGGCTATTTGTACTTGGACTTGAGGAAGCTCAAAGAGAGACTGCCAAGTATGCTGTGCTCCGCGATCCCGTTGAATGCGTCACTGGTAATGGTGAGCGGCCGAGCTGAGCCGATCTGCATGGAATTCAGCCCCACTAGGAGCCGATGTTGCAAGTTCCCGAGGCGGGAAAGTAAGCCTGTGTGGTTCAAAGATTGAGCTTCTTCGTCACTTCGTCACCAACGACGTGCCAACGATGGGCAGCAACGCAACCGAAGTTGAGCAGATGCTCCTGGAGCTCTTGAGTGCTCTGAACTCAAAGTTGAATGGCAGCGATTCGTCTGAGGAAGACAATTCACTGGCAACAACAGCCAACCGCCTTGCGCTTGCAGCGACAGTCATAGCTGTGGCCGCTTTCTTCACCTCAGCGCTCCAGGCTCTTCTTGAATATGCGGGTGCGGGTGAGTCTGCGAGACAGAAATGCAACTTCCCGGCCATCGGCTTGTCGTCAAACCTTGTCCTCCAGAAATGGAGTTTCCTTCGTTGGAGACGCAAGTTCTACTATCCTCAACTAAATCTGAGCATAGCCCCAATACTAAGAAACTTGAACGTCGACAAGAAGGAGGGACAATTGACGTGGCTGTTTCGGGGCCTGCTTCAAGAACACCCTGACTACTATTGGGGGATACGCCCTATTTGGCAGGGGCAACACAGCATCGTAACGTAAGACATTTTCATGATATCTGTCGAATTTCTGTTGACGATAATGGTAGAGATGGGTCCCGGGGTCTTGCCTGTGCCATTGAAGGTTCGCAACGACAAGCTAACTGGGTATCCCCTGAAGAGCTTCCATGGAAGTACTGGCTCATCTGGAGAGTAACCACAATCATATACAAACCCTTTGAAAGCAATCAACCCAGAGCAAGCTGGGCTCAGTTTCTCGCAGCTTTTGATATATCAACGTATGAGCCACTGGTAGAGGGCAAGGTTGACGCCGAATGCATTCCTCTAGCCCTTGACGTGCCGACCCAACAGGCCCACTTCTTCCATCTGGGTGTTCTCGCTTTCACAATGGGGCTCTCAGATGTGAGAATCAGTGCAGAACGCAGGGAATTCAAGGCCGTTGGGGATTTCGGATCCATTACCACGGAGGATGTCAGTGGCTTTGGCCGAGTTGTGAGGTTCCAGAACAACAGCTCGAGACAGCGGTGCACAGCAGCAATTATGCCAGGCGCATGGCAGTTACGCATGAGTCAGCAAGTAACCGGGGCATGGTATTTTGGCTGGCATGTGAAGAGAGAGGGTGAAAGCCTTTCAATGATTATGGATTGCCTCGAACGTGGAAACGAGCCAGAGGCAGAAGATCTCGAATATGCGAACACTATCAGTCTGACCGAGGAAGCACGGATCACCGATGATCTTGTAGGTAATGTTGAAGAAGCGGACTGCCTAGGACTTGTAAATTTAACAGAACTGACAAGCATTGAAGGGCACCATACCTCCGCCTGGCTCTGAGTCGGCTGCCTCTTGGCTTGTAGCCTGGCGGGAGCTTGTGAGCGATTATGAAATCCGATGGCCATCTATAGTGTGCGCATCAAGCATAGCTTGCTTGCCTGCACTAGTGACGGGGTTTCCGCATCAGATAATGCTCAAGCCGTTCACGTCAGTCTTTCGTTTGATAGCTGAAGGAGTTCGAGTCAGTGAAGGTGACACATTCCACATCATATGGAACCATCCCTTGGATACACTGAGGAGTGTATTATTCCAAGGCATGTTTAAATCGACCCGTCGGGAGCCTCCAGGCACCGTGGAAGGTTTATCAGGATGGGCATTTTGCAACGAATATACTTGCACCGAGGTCTGGGGACTTCTGACACCATTAGATCAAAACCTTGACGGCACTGGTTGCCAGAAGGTCTCTGATCGTGGGATTATTTTCCCTGTTATGCGGGAGCTGCTTCATGACTTTGACGTGCCAGCTTGGCAAGAAAAGTTTAAGAGGCGTCATGCTGGCACCCGTGGACAGTATCCCAAGCCCGAGCATCTCACGTGGCTGCAGGTCTACCTGATCGATGCTGAGCTTCAGCAGATACTCAGAGAGTTGCGTCAGGCAACTCAACACGCAGGGCCGTTGCTTGTCCCTGGACCCGGAGCGTTTGACTGGGCTGGCGAACATCGTCTAGACATAGCTGATGCCTTTAGCGTGAGAATACTCAAAGCTATATGGGCGGCATGGTCATCCCGCCCAAGGGAATATGAAACACGTCCGCTGGAGTCACTTGAGGATGCACTCGAAACGGAGTTCCGCAATAATAAGGTGGACCTGCCAGATCTCAAATCCCAACTGCGCCGGCTTGCAGATCTTTTGAGACTACGGGCGTTGTTCTTCGCGGCCTATATGATGGTAATACCCGATTCCACGGATTTCTGGAGGTTTTACGAGACAAAGACTCTTGTTGCTTTGCCGATGATCTGAGCATCGCCAGTCAAGCGATCCAGGAAATATGATCCAGACGAAAATGGCCAAGTTGCCCTAACGCGATTTCCCACTGTTTGTTGGATCTAACAAGCATAGTGATACTGCAATCTACTAGACGTTCTATACATGCATGATGATCTATGTACTGATTGAACGTCGATCTCGTATCGTCATTTGCATCGGCTAGAGCTTGCCAGTACAGTCAAGAGAGGAAGCGTAACAGGAATCGCTTTTAGTTAGTCTTTATCATCTCCTCGAACCACTACTCGCCTAGGTATGCTGGTTGAGTTTCAGCCTTGTCGTCCAATAACGCAATTCCCAGGTTGGAATGAACAGCCAAGCTCAAAGCCAAGCTCGATTAAGCGTATCGATGGGTCCTATGGCATGAACTACAGATCGCATCGCGTGGGTTCGGTGGGTTCCACAGACCCCCAAAGGAACCTACAGTGTCATAATTTTCTGCCTGAAGCTGGATGGCTATTTTCTGAGATAATGTTTCAAGCGCAGACTTTCAAATGTGACTTTCAAATGTGACGTTGTGGTGATTAAGCAGACTTCGTAATTCTTACAAGTCTTTTTCAGCAGTACAAGGGAAAACGAAGAAAAAGCGACCTTTTCGGAGGGGAAAAAAAAATTGTAGCTCGAGCCCAGAGCAGTGACCCCGTAGACTCTCGAAGACTGGCAAGCAAGACAGCATGCGATGAGCGCTCCGCGACGCAGGCATTATTGTGCCGAAGTGTGAGGCGAGTCCGTCGTGAAGCTCAGCCGCTGTTTGAGGCCGGTGGAGACTACTCCTGAAGGAAGTGTCAAGCAGCCCATCAGACGCGCACAAGAGCTCTGCAGCCTTTGCTCTCGTATCAGAATTTCGGACATAATGTTTCGACAGGGCTGATATGGACGTGGCACTCATTCCCCCGAGGCGCAAGCATTTTGGATTCGGAAAGTGGTCAAGGGTCGTGCAACTCCCCGAGTCCCGGTTCCCGACCAGGTGGGCGCCGCATTAGCTTAGCCGCATGGGTTCTCGGAAGAAGTCGGGGAGATGCGATGCAACTGTAGCATGGGTCGGAGTCGCGTGCCCCAGACAAGGATCCTAGACCCCGTCTGAACTTTTTTCTTTTTCTTCCACGATGGAGTATTGGACGACATCCCCTTTTGGGCGGATCGACTCAGCCCGCGAGTCGTTGTCTATGCTTGTCTTTGTACTGTGTAAAAGGGGGATCTTGGGGGGGGTTTGAAGAACCAACACGGGCCCTTGGCAACGCAATTGGGATTACTCGGTGTAAATCCTCATGTATGATTTGCGCTCTCTCCGTTGACCTCAGAGTCGAGAGAATCCCGACTTATGCAGGCACAGTCAGCTCTGGGGGCCCAGGCAGGGGTCAATTGCCTTGCATGGATCGGACGGAATCCAGTAGACGTGCAGTGCGGTGCGCTGCAGCGACAGGGGATCCTCCCCGAACTTCTAGACGTTTGCGCCCAACCGGTTGAGAGTGCCGGCCCCCCTGCCCATATCCAGTTTCACTCGTAGGGAGCCAAATGGAGTCGCGTACCTCAGGCCTGGGACCTCTAGCCAGAGCTGGCCAGAGCTGGATACCTGACTTGCGCATCGTGAGCAAGCCGCACACGACGATGGCTTCCCGTGTCTTGAAATGGCAAGTCTATCCAGCCCAGCTCGTGGCCGTCCAACGCGGATGTCTCCACGAGGGCCCCGTTGGTGTCCGATGCCGTGGGGATAGCGCCAGCCCGGGTGCAGACTCCAGAGGTCGGCGGCTCCCCCACCTCCGCTAACCCCCAGGCGAGCGAGTCTAGCTGAGTGCAGTTTCTGCCATGATTGGCAGGCTGGAGGCTCTGGGACCTCTGGGAGGCCGATCCCACGTTCTGCCGCCCTGCAATGGCGTGCCAAGTCTTACATTTGCAGCCTCACCATTGGCCTGCTGCGCTGCTCGTTGAACACGCACGCACGCACGCACTCGCACACACTCACTCGGTGAGATTCAACAAACGACGAGCTGACTTTTGTTCGAACCCCGAAAAGAAGACAACCTTGCAGCAGAAGTGCCAGTTTTAGACGTTTTTAGCTTCCGGACCCCATTATGGACCCTCTATGGGCCCAACAAAATCTAGGTTAGAACCAAATATCAAGAGGAATTCCCGGAGATTGAGCAGGCCAGGTACGGAGCTCTATCGCTCAGAGTGCGTGTGTATGAATCACGCCCGCAGCGTCAGAGCTCACGATATCGGCCTGGTCCATCATTGGGACCTGCTACATACCTACCTGAACTACCACTGCATATGCCACCTCGAATTGGCTTTCTTCAGGAAGTCTGGTTATCCGTACCCTGCAGCTAGTGTTGCACAGATGTCCTCCTAGAGACAGCAGCGCCTTCTGCTTCCGTAACTTGCCGCATCGACGGCCTTGGTTTGCTTGGTCTGCTTGGGTTCCCTTTTTCCCCCCCATCAATGTTCTTCTGGGGCCAAGAGGAGAAAACAAGTCGACGATCAGCCTGGCCCGTTTGACGTTGCATGAAACCGCAACGAAACCGCTCCTCTCCCCTGGCCACGGTTCGCAACGCCGGGATGGCCAGGAGTCTCAGTGCAGGGTCCCCGACGGGGGCCCTCCGCTCGACACAAGGAATCTTATTAAACCGCCCACGCCTCGCGGCGGGCACAGCTGCTGCCCGACGGGGAAGTTTGATTAGCAGCAATAAGTTCGACCGCAGCGCGAGTTCGCATACTACCACCCACATTAATCCTAATCATCCCACTGGGTCCCGGCCGCCTTGGTCCATCACCCGATCCTTGACTAGCCTTCCCGAGACACACGCGGAAGCTTCTTCGAGAAAAAAGTGCGCAAAGACAGCTTCGGTCGTCAGCGCCCGCGGCCACTTACACCGGAGGTCCCTCTCTTTCCTTTCGCTTTTGCACCGACCCTCTCCGCGCCCAATGGCGTTCAACTCAACCACATACAGCACCGCTAGCTCAGACATTTCCACACCACGGTCGTCCAGTCCCTCGTACTCCGTTAACTCTGCCCGGTCCTCCTCGTCCTCCGTGTCCAAACGCATGTCCATATCTTCCCGGCGGTCCCTTTCCCAGTTCAACCCAATGTCTTCCGTCGACATCCGCGCCATCGAAGCTCAAATGAAAATGGCTTCCCTCGACGGTCTTCGTGGATACTCCCAAAACCACTACGGCGAGGTCCAACAATACAGGAATACAGACTACGTGCCCAAGTCGTCGGCCTGTGGTTACCAAGTCCTACGAGAGCCCCTCTGGAACAAAGGTATGTCTTCTACTATACTATACACACCTCGGCCCAAGCATGCATATCAAGTTACCTGCCCGGGACTAACCCAAGAAAACAGGCCTCTCTTTCACACCAGAAGAACGAGTATCCAAGAACTTGACTGGATTAATCCCACACGCCATGGAGAGCGTCGAGACTCAGGTTGCGAGGTGCATGAAGATGATCAACACCAGGACGACGAACATCGACAAGTACCTCTACCTGTCCTCCCTGAAGGATCAGAACATCGACCTTTTCTACCGTGTTCTCATCGACAATGTCCGCGAGCTCATGCCTTTGGTCTACACGCCCACAATTGGCGATGTCTGCCTGCAGTACTCTACTTTATATACTCGCCCCGAGGCTCTGTATATCTCCATCAAGCAGCGAAAGTCAATCAAGACAATTCTCCGCAATTGGCCATACCCCAGTCCCGAGATTTGCGTCGTAACTGACGGATCTCGTATCCTTGGTTTGGGAGATCTCGGTGTCAATGGTGTTGGTATTTCTGTAAGTCATCCTACCGCTGTTGTCCCAATCTGCGAGGCTAACGACTACCCCAGATTGGCAAGCTAGCCCTGTACACCGGAGCTGCAGGTATCCACCCGGAGAAGACCCTGCCAATTGTATTGGACTGTGGTACAGCAAACGAGGATAACCTCAAGGACCCATTCTACCTCGGTCTCCGTGCCAGGCGACCAGCTCCTGCCGTCATGGAGGAGTTCATGGATGAGTTCATGGAGGCCGTCCACGAGGTCTTCCCCAACATGCTGGTTCAGTTTGAGGATTTCGAGACCGAGAAGGCTTTCAACTTCTTAGAACGTTACCGCAACCAGTACAAGTGCTTCAATGACGATATCCAGGGCACTGGTGCGGTTGTTCTTGGCGGTTACATTGGCGCTGTCAACCTCTCTGGCGTCCCGATAGAAGAGCAACGCCTTGTCTTCATGGGCGCTGGCTCTGCCGGTGTTGGTGTTGCCAAGCAGATGGTCGAGTACTACACCCGACGAGGACTCTCGGAACAGGCCGCAAAGGACAAGTTCTGGCTCGTCGACACCAAGGGTCTCGTGACACTCGACCGTGGTGACAAGCTCGCCGAGCACAAGAAGTACTTCGCTCGTACCGACAATAATGGCCACCAGTTCCGAAGCCTGGAGGAGGTCATTGAGTACGTCCGCCCATCTGCGCTCGTCGGTCTTACTGCTACGTTCGGAGTCTTCACGGAATCCGTTGTTCGAGCTTTGAAGGCCTCCGTTGACGCTGGTGGCGTCGGACGCCGGCCCATCCTGTTCCCGCTCAGCAACCCCCTTACCAAGGCGGAGTGTACCTTTGAGCAGGCCATCCAGTGGACCGAGGGCACAGTCATTTTCGCCTCGGGCTCTCCGTTCTCGCCCATCTCCATCAAGACGACCGAGGGCGCAGTAACGTACTACCCCAATCAGGGTAACAACGTTTATGTCTTCCCTGGTCTCGGGTTGGGTGCCATCCTTGCCAAGGCAAGCAAGGTCACTGATGAGATGGTTTACATCTCTGCCTCTTCTCTGTCAGAATCCCTCAACGCCGAGGAGATCCACAAGGGTCTGATCTACCCTCGCATTGAGCGTGTCAGAGACGCAAGTGTCATTGTGGCTCGCGAAGTCATGAAGGCAGCTCGTCGTGAAGGCGTCAGCGAACTCCCGGAGTCCCAATGGGTTGAGTGGGAAGAGTGGGGCGATGTCGCCTTGACCAAATGGATCAAGGACCGCATTTACGACCCCCTCAAATAGGATGTGGGTGCGGCTTTTCATGGATGGCGTTACGGCTATTTATATACGTACGACCTGAACATCTAGGTCGTTGCCTCAGTGACAGGTATTATAGATATCCCTTATATTTGCTTTCCAGGGGGTCTGGGGCGGTCCCAGACATTACACGAAGGTGCGTGTCGACGCACATGGGTTGGATACACAAAAGGAACCAGCCTGGCCTGGCTGATAGAGTACAGTTCAATAATACCATCATTACGAGATCCACCATATTGAGACGTCGCCTGTGACATGCACGTACTTTCACCTCATTAAACAACATTTTCTGCAAACTCGGATAATGAATGGCCACTGAGGCTCTTCTCTTCAAGGTATCTAATTCTAGAAATGTAACTGCAGTATGAATCACTTGTTTAGTTCCTTATCCATCTGCGCTCGCCACTTCTGAGCATTCCTCCGAAGTAGCCAAAGGCAGATGTTGCCGCTGAGCCACGCCAGCAGTCCAACCGCAGTCATGAGCCAGCCATTTCCCATAACGTTGATGAGCGGCTGCGTGACAACACCGCCCGTGCAGCTGAAGATGTTCCGCACAAAGTTGTTGAGAGCCACACCGCTGCTGCTCCTCCGCGGCATGAACTCGGTCAGCATGGTCGTGGCGGCACTGAAGACTAGCATGGACCCAAGCCCAAAGAAAAAGTTGGCCACAGCCGGCGCAATCCACAGCACGCCGTTCTGCGCCGTCCACCCGTACCAGACCAGCGCACCGGGGTATAGGGTCGCTGAGATCCACGCGTTTTCCTGCATACGGTCCTCGGGCAAGTAAATGAGCTTGCCATGGGCGTCGTAGCGGCCGGCGCGCTCGGCCTCGCGCACCATGATGCGGTCGAGCCAGGGCCCGCCCAGCAGTGAGGCGATGAAGTAGCCGAGCGAGCTGGGGATGTACAGCAAGCCGATGATGAGGGCGGAGAAGCCGTACGGCGGTTCCGAGAAGGCCGACTGGATCGAGATGTTGAGGACGTACAGCGATCCGAAAGTGATGGCCGCGTAATAGACCACGATGGCCACCGCCGGGAACCGGAGGTAGGTCACCACCTCGAGCGGGTCGACAAACGCCCGCTTGAGGAACTTGCCGGCCTTTCTGGTTCGCACCTGAACCGAGCGGGTGGTCGAGACCCGAGACAGGGGCTCATCGCCCTGCCTCGCCGGCGGGACGAGGGGCTTCCTTTTGGCGAGGGTTTCGGGGAGGGCGAACAAGATCAGCACGAAGCAGACGGCACCATACGCCGTGAGGAAATACATGGTGCTTCGCCAGCCGAATGCTTGAGTCAACGCACCGCCTATGATCGGCGCGAGAAGCGGTCCCATCAGTGGCCCGAGGTAAAACACTGCAAGGTTCGAGGTTAGCCAGCTGTAGTTGATCCAGCTCCTCAATGAGCATGCCTTCACCGAGGGGCCGAATGTCTCGTGGAACAAGGCGTTACCAGTTGGATGACTTACTTCCCATTGCTCGCCCGCGCTCCTTTGATTCCCAGACATCCGCGATAGTACCCGCGCCAACAGCTTGGACAGACGCTGCTGCACCACCAGACAAGATCCGGAAGACAATCAGCATGGCAATGTTGACACTGAAGCCACTAATCAAGGAGAACACGACATTGAGCAAAAACGACGACAGATAGATGGTGCGCCGACCGAGTGTCTCAGAGAATGAGGACCACCATAGGGGGAATATCGACATGGCTAGCATATAGAAGGCAACCGATAAATTCACGACTGTGGAGGAGACCCCGAATTCCACAGATATCTCAGGCAATCCAGCTGTCATGGGATAAGTATCAAGCCATTGTGGACTTTCGGACGGCGTGTCTACTCACGGTAAAAGATCGCCGAACCCATCGGCGCCGCAGCGCCAGCAATAGCCACGAAAGTGGTGATGGTCCATTTCACCTTGTTCGAATAGTCGTATGGACGGTCTACCTCCGGCAGCAATGCCAGCTGCGCAAATAACCCCCGTCGTTTAGCCCTAGGGACTATACTCAACGCTCTGGACCTGGTCGAGGAGGCACGTGATGCAGTACGTCCGGCATCGGCAGGAGCATCTTGTCCTGCTTCTTCGTCCTCGTCAGTCGCATCCTCCTCTACCGGCGGCGGAGGTTCCGGCGCGGCCTCGATCGACTTTTCCGCGACATCCTTCATTGCCAGCTTCTCCTTGTCCTCGGTGCTCGAGTCCCGTCCGCCGGATGCATCTATTACCTCATGTTGTGGTTTCTCATCTGGGCCCTTTATGGAATCGGGCATTTCCTCCTTGTTTGCTACTTTGCGGGGCCGAGCCGCTGCGTCAGCGAATAGCCGATAACGCCTCCTTCCGGGTGGACGTTGAATTAGAGTTAAGTCCGGTTTTTGGTGATAGGTATACTACAGTGGGCGTATCTATGCAGACCCCGTATGTAGTAATAGATTGGTCATGTAGAGATGCCAAGAAACAGCGACCAAGGTCTAGATTCCAGCAAGGAAAAGTTGGGGAAGGGCATGGGATTTTTGAGCGAATTTGAGGAGGTCGCGTGCTGGTGGATGTGTTAGAGCCGAAGGGCCGAGAGATTCGGGGAATAAAACGGGCGATGCCGCCATGGAGTGGAGCTTACAAGCTAATTGACCCCTGGATGCCATCATGTCTTCGGGGTTGTTGGTGGGAGGTGGAGAGAAAACCCCCGGGTCATAATATGATCCATCGGGCGAACCATCCGGAATGCCGAACGCTGACTGGCTATCCAGGACACTTCCCATGTTCGCCAAATGCTTATCCTGTATCTGGTGGCTTCGTGGGTTCTGGTCCGTTGCTGGCTCGTGACGGGTCGTCTTGTCGAACTCCGAGTCCGGGACGAATGACTTCTGCACTACAACAAAGAGCTTCTCCTTAAGTGACCCAACCGGGTCGTCATCATCACGCGTCTCCTGCCACATGCTGCTTCGTCGCCAGTGTCCTTTTTTATTTCTAGAGCTGTCGAGTTTGGACAGCGAACCATAGAACATTATCATGTCTGTAATGAAAATAGAAGAGACCTCCAACATCTCCTTGCGCCATACCTTTTTTCTTCACCCAGCGTTGACAGGCACGAATACTTGCCCGATGGGCTTGGAAACAACAAGAGAACTGCTCGTCAGGAGGCCGTGATGAACGGAATGACGCAGGGCCCAGAAGGCGCCGAGGTACACGTAACAACTCGATCGGAAGGGCTTGCGATATGTCTGTTATTGTGTATTATGCATTTTAACAAGAGTAGAGTATCACGATAAACACTGAAGGCGAGGGGTAATTGCCATATTCTGCTGGTCAGTAAGTAAGAGCTCGATCTATACACAAATGACAGCTTCAAGCACAAGTCACTCCTATGTTTTGAGAGGCGGGTTTGGTCACAAGATGCCATTTCCTGTCCTGTACCTAAATCATTGCAAAACCATTTGTTCATGCCCATGTGCGATGATTCTCCTCACCGAGGTCTCAAACAATGAGACCCGAGAATGTATTTACACACTTGCCAGAAACGCTCGGACATGTTGCTAATTCCCATCCGTCCAAAGTGAAGAGAATGCCTGGTGTAGAGATGAATGAGTGCGTCTAGATCTCGCCATCGGCCGCGATCTCCTTCTCGCCCTCCTGCTCGATGTCCGCTCCATCGTTGTCACCCTCATCCTTGACCACGACGTCGTCCTCAACCTCCATAGGCTCAGCCTTGGCCTCGGTAGTCGCGGCTACAATGTCGTCGTCCACCATGCTGGTGGCTTTTTTGGCCGGCTTGGCCTTGGGCTTGCGAGGTGTGCGAGCCTTCTTGACAACCGAAGGGGAAGCCTCAACATCAGCATCTCCCTGCTCAGCACCAGAGCCAGTCTCGACGTCGGGAGACTTGCGCTTGCGGGAAGTCGGAGTCTTCTTGGTGCCTGCCTTGGTGGGAGTGGAGTTGACACTACCACCAGCAGCATCACCGCCATTCATCTCAGCCAGGACGGCGAGCTTCTTCTTGATTGCGAGCATGGCATTGGTGCAGCTGCGGGGGTTGGTGTAGCCAACGAGAGCAGCAAGCTTGACGGTGTCAATCTGGAAAGGCCGTATTAGCACGTCATGCATAGTGAAATCACCGCCAAGCACACAGAGGAGCGGCTTCTCAGAAAATCGGGAGGACCAGATAAAAATAATTCATTGTCGGGATAGTTTCAGATGGCGGAAGGTGAGATGAGAAGGCGGTTGACTTACCTCGGGCTCGGTCTTGAAACACTGCCAGGAAGCAGCCAGCACCTGCTGCTCACGCTCGGTGAGCTCGGCCTTCTTGGGAGTAGCGGACTTCTTGTCGGAAGACATGATTGACGTGTGAAGTGATGATGCGTTTGTGCGAGGAAATTTGTGTGGATACCGATATCCAGATGACAGTGCCAAATGAGGTCCAAGTTATCAAGCTGTGAAGGGATGTGAAGTGGTAGTGTTGTGAGGTGGGTAGGATTAGGGAAAGATGCTGGTTGAAAACAATCCAACTTTTGTGGTGAATGTGCAGTGTGTCGTTGCTGGAACAATGCACGGTCGGTTGTGCGGTTGCCCTCTGGAGATACTCAACTTACGTGAAATTAAGGCAGGTGAAGCTGCCGTAGAAACGTAGTAGGCACAATCAAATTCATTCCCAGTTTTCACTTCTGTAGAGGTCGAACATGATTGGCAATTCACACATCTCGTGCGGAACTGTTGCAGATCATGAACCAGAGGGGTGAACAAGGTGAAATCCAATGTCATTCGTTAAAAAATTGTACCTTCAGCTGGTCGAGAAGATCTCTGACCTGGACCCTGCAGTCATCGGTGCAAAATTACTTGTCTTTCCAACTGAATGTCCTCGCAGGCAGCCGTACATCATCTTATCATCGCAATGAAATCAATTTATTGTACATATCATAGGGTTTCGTCTATCTCATAATGGATTCCACGCCACTGTTAAAGGCCTCTTTGATGGAATGCAAATACTAGACCAACACCCTAAGTTCTGCGTACTTGAATACATTCCCAGGGTCATACTTTCTCTTTAGCCCCAACAGAGTCTCGTAATGAGTACCGTATATCCTCTTGAGGTCCATATTTTCATCGCCGGAGAGCGCAATGTAGGAAGCTTGCAAGATATTGCTGGGGTCCTGTTCTCTTAACTCTGTCTCGAGCGCCGAAGCCCAGGCGGCGGCCTCGCCTTCGTGTTTCTGGTTCCCCGTCATGGAGATAATTTCGACCATGTGGTGGTCTTGGCCGCAATCCAAACACTGAATCATCTCTTAGCCTGGGAGGACGCAGCGTGTGGACTGAGATGGCAGGCCCACTATCAAGGATCAGTTTCGAGGATTTCGTCATGACTTTGACGGTCTTCCTCGTCCATTTCTTGATACTGATGGTATTGCCACGCCCATTGGACGGCCAGATCACAAGCTTCTCGTTGTCTTCGGTGAACTCCTGGAGCGATGCTGCGTGTGGTGTATTCATGATACATGTCCCCAAGGCGGCAACACTGTCAAACCATGCCCAGGCTTGATCATGATCGGCATCTGCCCAAGTTGCGAGTGTTGCAAATATTCTTCCAACAGTCGGAAACTCAATCGCCATTGGCTACAACTGAAGAGCCCGTGGCAGCTAGTCAGATGCGATGAGGGCCTCGTACCCCTGTGTGTAAGATAGCCAGGTGTCTTCCATGTTGCTGGAATCAAAAACAAGTGTTGAAAGTAGCAGCTAGATTGCTCAGCGCTTGAACAGGTAGAAATGGAGTCAAGCCTTCATATACCTCCTTTGGTGGATAAAACTTGATGGTGAGCTCAATAATTGCCCCAAAGATACCTCCGCCTCCGCGGATGCCCCTGAATAACTCGACATCAGCCACCATTACTTCACCACTGGGATTCACCAGCTTCGCCCCGACTGTCTGATCGGCACCCAGACCATAGAGTGGTGACAGAGGACCGCACCCTCCCAATGTCGTCCATCCCGTGTACCCGATGGTTGCAACTGTCCCGATGCATTATAGAGATTAGTGAGATTGGAAAATATCCAGTCAGAGGGTGGAGAGTGCTCACCAAGGGGTAAGCAGACCGTGCTCCTCGAGGCATTTCTCCAGCTGACGGAGCAAAACTCCGCCGCCAACCCTAGCAAACTGCTTTCCTTTATCAACGTGTACATAATTAATGTCGCTCATGTCAATCTTCAAGGCGCCATCGACTTGGGTATGTCATAAGCAGTCATGTCGCGCCACCCCTAATGATGAAGTCAACATTATTTTCGACGCAGAAACAAACCAGTGCTTGCACATCCTCTGCCGTCTGCGGTCTGAGCACCGCGAACGGTCTGGCAGGCTGTGCAATAAAACACGTCCTGACGCTCTCGTAGCCTATATCGGAAGGCGTGTACAATTTGACGCATGGTCGTTGCCTCACATATTCCCTGAGTGTATTAGCTGTCCTTGCTGTTCCTGGAGCGATTTCGATTCGATACGAAGCTTTCAATCTATTCTTGGTTGAGCAGAGAAACGTGGATTTGAATGTATAAATCGTTTGGTAATCATGAAAGCTCAAATAAAATGCGCACCAACTTGGTTCTCAGCACGAGTGGTAGGTAGTTGATGACAGGAAGCCCTAACGCAAGTACAAGTCCCCTTCGGACGCGAGGTGGATCAGCCCAGTCCGGCCCCTATCTGCTTCCGATAGAAGATGCATTGTAATGCAGTTATCATCCGTAGATCATGACCTTCATCCCCTGCAACTTCACTTGTTGCAGTCATTTGACCCCGGATTGGCAACGGAGGCCTACGCCATGTGTACGTCTTTCAGGAACAACCAAGGTCACGCCGGGGAAAGCTGAGCCAATTCCCAGCTATCTACGGGATTCCTACGCCAATGAACACACCTACGCTGACTTATTTACTGGCTTAGCTAAAAATAGACATGATACCCAAAATTGCGCTTACGTAGCACGAAGGTCTGATCATAACAACCGGTCACTACTCTATTTTCTGTGGCGCAATTCACTGTAACAGCCCAGTAATGGATAGATTCGCCAATAACAACTTGATGTTCTCCACATCACCCAACTCCTCATGTCCATAGGCAAATTCCGGTGCCAATAGCTGTATCGCATTACCCGTCAACAATTTCTCTATAGGGGGCTCTCCAGTTCGAGACCCACATTAATGCCACTTCCGTCTCGAGGCTTTTGATATTGCTTTGTCCTCCACAGTCCAGACTTGACTAAAATACAAGTGAAAATGGCCATTCGGTCCAGGATTCGGGGTCATCAACCTCCGTTCGATTTCGTGCTCCTCCAAGCTTTGTCCCAGGCATCGAGCTTCTCTTTGGTCTTCTTGACCTTCTGGTCGGGGGAAGTGGCTTTGCCCGAGCCCAGTGCGAGGTGCGCCGTTGGGTTCGACGTGTCGCTGGTCACATATGCATTGACGGAGTGAGAATGTCGCGTGGCCATGTTCATTTTATCGCTTAACGCCAACACGTTAGCACTTGTCAATGATTCGAGGATCCCAAGCTCCAGAAAGATGGACCAGCCAGGTCTGCTTACTTGCTGTATGCTGTTCCTGCTGCAGAAGCGTGTGATTTGGGGGCCATGATTCTTGTAATTAGAGACTTCTATGAAGCAAGTTGCATTCATTTGCTTGTCTTTTCTTATGCATGGAAGATCTTGTTGGCAAGGAATTGAAGGGTTTAGACGACAGATGGCCAGCATGTAATCGTCGCACGAGTGCGAAGGAACTTATAGCCATTAAGAGCCATGCAATATTATGTAGGAATGACGATTAAATATCTTGAGATTTAATGGAGTCCATTGTGCTCATGGGATCAGCCCAGGTGGAGGTCGTGGCTTCCACGACATGATATTTGGGATGGCTCATGTGGTGCTCTCTCAGTGTGACTCATAGTATTGGCTCTTTCCAATGTTGCAAAGAAAGTTGCGATGGGTGCTGGACGCATGATGAAGTTCTGGCACCGAAGTTGCCTCGTGAAGGACGAGAGCAGGGACCTATTAAGGGGCTGAGTTTTGGGCACCACGGTGCTGATCGGCCTACTCGCTGGTGCCCCGACTCTTGGCACCTGCACGAGATCTGGCATGGCTGTTGTGTTCCTGCAGAACCTTTCCCCTTGTATGCAGGAACGCCTGAGAAACTAGGTAGTTGGTGCGCTTATGACTGGAGTCTGATTCTCGTGGAGGTCCTGGGTTGTCTACATGCCTATGTAGTTACGTACTTTGGGGCCAACCCCTGCCGGATCTGGAGCCTGGACACCGTGGTTAGGGAGAAAAAAAAAAGGAGATTTTGACTTGAGAAATCCAAGAAAGACTCTAGATGGCATAGCGATGCATGAAACCCCAGTCCCAATACGTGCGTATAATTGAATTCCAGCTATGCGAGATGCGATTGAGCTGTGGGCCTTGAATCGGGCCAGCAACGAGCTATCAGCTGGATCGTCTGCTCGGATAAGCTACGGGCAAAGATTCATGTGACTCTCAATCTCTAGCTATGAAAGCTATTTGCCGTAGTCACCCCTTAGATATCCACTGCTCCACTCTGTCCGTCGAATATGCTCAGAATCAGACGCCTCACGATCTGATATGTAGCCTTGCATTTCCACCTCCGAGCCGCTTGTCCTGGCAGTCTCGGCGAAGTCGTTATTTCTTTTATATAGTTGTGGTCGTAACCCATAGCGTGTCGTCCTGGCACTCGACTCCTCGTCCGGATTCGCACTGGCTGGTGAGCGAAGGTGAAGAATGATTGGGAGGTACGTTCCGAACACCCAAGGAAGATATTCGAAGACCTGAAATCTCCAGAACCTGCTCTTTGGTACCGCATATATAAAATCGAGATCTTCCAACGAGATTCTTCTGGTTTCTTCCACGAAGAGGAAAACTAACATAAAGGCTATAACGTTAAAGCCTGAGAAGAGGCCTAAACACCCAGGGGAACCTAATGCCGATGTTATACTGGCGATATATTAGATATCAGCTGCTATAAATCGTCTCGTCTGACTCACCTAGGGAATAGCATAGATAGGAAGCCAGCGAATAGGAGGTTGACTGAAATAGCAAAGGCGCAGCCCTGAACCAACGTTAGCTTGAAGTCGACGATTAAGTTGGGAGTGGAACCTACAATTTCTCTGTGAGACAGAGGGAAACTGGATACATGTAAGCCCACTTCCTTTCATACTGTCACCGATGATGGTTACTGGGCTTTTGGTGTATCAACTCACCTTTCTGCAGCTAATGTGAACGGAATCGGGCCTAGTCATTGTTATTCATGCTATCCAGGTTCGTCGGGTAGGGGACATACCAAGTCCTGGCGAATAGAACACGGCGTGCACTACAGTCTACAATCAGTCCTCAGCTTCGGGTATTCTTGCTGGACGGTTGAATCATACAATACAGAAATACAGCAACCAAACCGCAGGCCAACTTAACCCGCTCGGTGGTCAAAGTTGCTGTTCTGAGTGCTAAGAACGATAGAGCTGCTGCGGCCATTGAAAGGGCCATCCCGGGAATTGTAATCAGCAACCACTTCCGTCGACCCATTGTATCGATGTTTCGGATAGCTGGAAGCCCAAAGACGAAGTTGATGAAACCTAAGTTGAGCATTTAGCGCGAACTCTAAGTAGGAGGCTGAAAACTGTAATACTGCATACCAAAGCCAATGCTGAAATACATCGATATCGATTTGTCTTGCCCAAATATGCTGAAAAAGGTTCCTAGGCTCATTAGATTTGAAGATACGGAGGATTGAGAAGTGGGTACCGGAGTAAAAAGCAAGAATATTGACTAAAAATAGTTTTCAGTTAAAACAACTCAACACGTAGGGTAGGAACATCGACTTACTGCCGCACAGCTGTTGGGCCAAATTGACAATGGAACTGCTAATAAGGGGATTCCTCAGACGCCGTTCGAGGAAGAGCTCCCGGAGCTGGCGAGAGAAGCCATTGGTATCCACAAACTTCTTCGAACGCATGAACTCAGAGAACTCCTTCAGAGTCATCTTCCTGTCGCTCCGCTGTTCCATCTCTCGCTGTATTGACTTGTGTAGGAGATAGATGTCTCGCATGGCAATAAGCTGCAACCTTTAGCAATTGGTTTTGCTCGTTCTACTCGTTGCACCTTACCTCGCATCTTCGTAGTGACTTAAGCACGGCGTATGCCTTTTCTGAGTTGAATCTGGGACCAGGGCGCATGTAATATCGTGGGCTTTCTGGGCAGACGGCTAAAGCGCATAGAAGCATGACAGCCGGTACTAAAGGAGCCCCAAGGATCAGAGCAAGCGAAAAGGTATCTTGCCCGGCTTTAGAAAAAATAAAATTAAGAACGAATCCAATAAGCATCCCGAAGGCGACCCTGTCCAAAATAAGTTTCTCCTCGTCGCCACTTTTACTTATGTATTCAAACGTACCATAATTGCCACGCTAAGATAGAAGTACCTCTCCAGTACCCAATTGCGGTTTCAGAAGCCAGCACTGGGGTGTTAACCGCCTTAAGGCCCATGCCTAGGATACAAGTTAGAGGGGCAGCGGATTTGTTAAGTCAGATCACTCACCAATGCCATTGATCACGCGGAAGGCTAGCAGAATACTCCAGCGTGGCGCACTAGTATTAAGAAGAGGCACGATGGCTTGAAGAATCGAAGTCACGAAGACTATCGAAGCCGCGACAACCATCGAACCTTTGCGCCCAAACCTGTCACTGATTGGCAAGGCCATCCAACAGCCTAGGATAGCCGCACCGAAGAAAGGGGCAGCATTTGTAGCACCGAGATACCAATCGGATGGGCTGGGGCCGGTAGGATTCACAATAGCGCTTGTGTCGTTAACCGTGAGCGTATCCAGCCCAAGTGTGCCATTGCGATGTGGCAAGCCAATAAGTTCTCGATATAAGGAAGCACCGTTGATGGAGGTCTGGACATGGCCCTGAAGGAAGGCGGCGAGCGAAACTGTCAATATGACCACCCACATGCCTCTTTCAGGTAGAGCGGAATCTTGTTCTGCGACCAGTGCCCTTTTCTCTTCTCCATCAAGTTTGACGAGCTGAGAAGTGTCGCCTCTCCAGTTACCGCGGCTTATATCCTCGTAAGTTTTGGGATGTTTCCCGACTCTTGCTGCTCGCAGCAATCTTTCATAGCTGACTTCGGGGAGACAGTGCTCATGGAACGCCGCGACGTCCTCGGGCAAGTCTTCATCACGTATGTTGCCTCGATTCACGTCAGTTGCAGAACTCTTCACGTTGATCACCACTGCATCTGGTTATAGGAGTGCGGCATGGCTAGCCAGCTTACATAGTGGGTCTCCAAGGAAGGCCTCGTCAATAATGACTCTGCGACTCATCGTATCTGGCCTGCAGGCATGTGTCTCGAGCGGCTTCTGATGCCACAGAGAAGGATTGTTGGGATGCCCAAGAGGCCCAAGTCACCAATGCTGTGGGTAGCGCAAACCCGTCGTTGGAGGTAGCACCTGATTTCGACAAGTTTTCATCTCCTGCCGCAGGGCTGAGAGCTCGGAAAGTTGGAGTCAAAGATCGCCTGCAGCGGCGCCGTCACGGCTCTCTGATTTGCAGCCCCCCATGAAACATCCCATGAAAAACAACGCTACTTGATAGGCGGGCCACAACGGTGCTCTCAACTTCGAGTGCCCTGCAACTTTCCCTAGGGTGCGCCGTAGTTGTCAAGACACGGCGACCTATCAAATGGTGAGGAAACGGAAGCCTTTTCAAAGCAATTGCGGCCTTTGGGTAGATGTCATAAGCAACTTATGTCATGAGCGTCGTGCTGCAGGGATTGAGGCGTAACCTGTACCGCACAACTTGGTAAGAAGAAACCTCGCCGATTCCAGGCGCAGCACGCAGCGAGTGACAAAGTACTTTCATTACAGCCACAGCTGGGGAAGCGGGGAAGGAGAGCTAGCACGATGGATACGATACGATGGCTGCCAAGAGGCATCACTGTGCCGAGCTGGCGCGATCCTGGGGAAGGTCGGGTTCGACCCTTGCTGCAGTAGTCAGACAGGCAGACGGGTCGCCTACCAGCGCGCCAGGGAAAGGGGGAGACAGCACGAACCTGAACACAGCGACAAAAAGACAGGTAACATCTAGCACCGGTGAGGTCGGGTCTCCCAGTCAGCCTCGGAATCATGATTTGAGGACAGTAGTACATGATGGCGTCGAAAGTGCAAAACTATCCAATGCCTCGCGCTGATCCACGAGACTGGTGCAATTTGGCAGTGCTAGCTCCCAACTCGTGGGCGGCCAGGTCCTCCTCCTACAGCACAGCCAGTCTGCAACGTATCTGGGCATGTACGATAGTACACCGGCAAGAGCTTCTAGGCAACTTAAGTACGTATGGTGATGTGCAGATGCTTGGAATTCCGAGAAAGGAAGCTCTCCCCTAGCTAGGTTGTGCTCGCCTGGAATTGCCTGACGCCCTCGGAGTCTCAGCCTTACTATCGAGTGCCAAAGCACGAAGTATATCCCACACGTTCAACGGCGCAACGCGAATACAAGCTCTCGGTGAGGTTGAAATATGCCACGTCTGGGTTCGGTCAACATCCGGTACCCTGGTTGCAGCGATTACTTACATCCATACATACCACAGTACATAAGTGGTACCTAGTTTCCTGCGGGGAATAGCAGCTGTTGCGCCGACATGTTGCCCCATTGCCCAGGTGGTGTGCTGCACGGGACTTCACTTCCTTACATATTATGGTAGTACGTACACACGCAGATTCCGGGGGTTTGTGGGGGGTTAGAAATGGGGCATTCGGTAAATCCAATGGTTCACCGGTTAGCTTGCCTACTAGCGAACCTCCGTCTATAGTACCCGAACCCCCCCAAGGCACGCACGCTGACTGGAACCTTGGAACCGGCTGAGTTATGTCAGGGTTTGACACCCTCTTCTCGCCAGGGCGAATCTGCCTCGATGGCTTCCTGAGTATATTCAATAGCAATGTTCAATCGCCAATGATTCGCCAGTCATGCCAACTGAGGGACGCCACTGTAGTCAGTGGTGGTAGCATAGCCGCCCATCTTGCACTACAATGGGAACATCCAAGCGTACACAAGCCCTGATCTCAGAATTGCGACGCACTGCAGCCCGGCTTTGGCACCACAAGCGCCGCGAAGCAACCTCCTCCCGAGGCCACTGCCAACCTGTAACCCTACCCACATGGCCTGCCCAGACCGTTCTGCGAAGTACTCCCGACTGATTGGGTGCGTAGGGCTGGGGAGCCTGCCAAAGCCCAGGAAGGACTGGTGTCCCCAGGCAAGGACTGGTGTCCCCAGGCCCCCCCGCTTGGATCTACATAACGATTCCGAGGGACCTGTGAGCCTGTCATTCTTCTTAGACCCTCCGCAATACGCATGTCACCTGTACTTGGCCCCATTTTTTGAGTACTGGCAAGCCGTTATACACATTCTGAATTCCGTTCTCGACTCGTAAATTGTCGTCAGTATTCAATCTTCCAGGTCTTTGATGGCCTACAGTCCGTCTTCTCTTAGCTTCCGCCAACAGTGACAAGCCGTCGCGCGGTCCTTCTAACTCAGATCGCTGGATACCCACGGGACATGGCCCGTGTCCATCTTGACCCTCGCGACACGCCCTGAGCCCTTCGCTGAGCCCTGATCATTCAGCATGAGTTCGGCCAAATCAGCACCCAGCGCCGACATGGAAACCCCGGGGGAGGCCAGACCGACGCCATGTTCAGACGATACGCGATTGCCGAATGCGAGGGTTGGGGACGGCGCAAGCATCCCGAGCGCGGATTCCGAACGCATGGAATTCGACGTGAAGGCTTACCAGCGAAGTCTTCAGCATGCGATTCGAGAGAAGCGCTTCAAGGATGCATCTGTTGATCACCGGAAGATAATTCAGCTTCGGATCGATTTGTCACCACATCTTCCTTTCCCTGTGGCTGATATGCTCGACGCATATACTCTACAAGCTGTTCTTCTGCTCATTTGCCATGATGTGGATGAACATGACCGATCGATATTCCGACAGGCGATGAACCATCTTTCTTCCCAGAGATTGGCAAGCGAGTCATGGGGTCTACTGTGTGCTCGAGTTGGAGCAATATTCATGAGATCATCCGACAAGGACGATCTCGAGCAAGCCAAAAAGTACCTGAACTGGTCGCTAGAAGGCTTAGTGAGAGCGAAGCCGCTTCCTCTCGACCACTTGTTATCTATTTCTCAGCGGCTTGCCGACCTCCACGATTTCTCCAAAGATACAGCTCGCGCAGAAGGTCTAGTGCAATGGCTCAAGACAACTACAGGAAGCACTGCTTTCCAAGACGTCCAAGTTGGTCGGATGTCTAAGGCGTTGGAGTGGTGCAAGAAAGAGGGCCTTACTGGGGAGCGTTTTGATACCAAGGATCAAACAAAAGGCGCCTCGGCCTTGGAACATGCTATTGGGCAAAACGAGTATGAACAACTCGAGTCCATGTTGATCTTTACAGAACAGACTAGCCCTCCCAGCAACCTGGTGTCCGAGCTCCTCCTCACGGCCGCGGACACGCGCAACGCAAGGATAGCCACACTGTTATTCGAGCATAACGCAACGGTTGACACAGTTGATACGGAAGGCAGAACGGTTCTGCATCGGTGTCAGCATTGCCCAAGCCTCGGAAACAAAGGAGGCCACGATATCGCTGCCATGTTCTTGTTCCAGCCTCAGAGTTTTGACCTGATCAACAAGCAAGACCGCGCCGGAAAGACTGCACTCTACATGGCTTGCGAAGAGGGTTACGCCGAAATGGTTACCCTCCTTCTCAATCATGGGGCTAGGTCAAACACAGCCGAGATCAACGGCAAGACCGCTCTTTATTTAGCATGCGAGAGAGGCGATCGGCGCATCGTAGAGCGTCTTCTGAGAGCTGACGATCTGGAAATCAACGCCAGAGGCCCTGGTGGTTTGACACCCCTCATGGTTGCAGTAAAATTTGCTGCCGCCCATGCTCATGCTGCTAAAGGAATTGGCATGGTCGAGGAACTCCTACGCAAGGGTGCAGATCCGACAATGGAGGACAACAATAAAAAGAGTGCTCTACATTACGTCGGAGGCGTTTGGAGAGACGATTTAAAGCATGCCCTAAAGATTGGAAACCTCAATACTACTGGAGCTAGCTCTGGGACAACGGCTGTACCGATAGTGAAGTCTTCAGACGCTGCCTCAAGTCAAACCAGAGTTTTGGAAACAGGAGGGCGCTCGCCCAGTCTCAGAACGTTGAGCTTTAGCCGCCAGTTCTGGCCGACCCGCGTAGTGGGCAGCACGTCAAGCCTAGCTACCTCAGCAAGGTTCTCGAAGTCTATATTCTCAAAAGCATCCGGTTCCTCAAGCTCTCGACGCACCAGCATCACAACCCCAAGTCAGGCTCCAGACATGACCGACCAGCTCGTTGCCCCAGACGATGTCGCAGACGCCAGCTCTTCCCGAATTGCGATATCTTCCGCAAAGGGCCCGGGACACCGGCCGACTATGAAGGCAAGGCACCCTTCTGATGATTCCATAGATGTTGCGCCAGAAGACAGGATTGCTAGCCGAAGACCTAACTCTATTTCGTCGGGTGTTGGACGACCTGTCGGCCCCGCTGATCAAGCAGAATCTATCAGACAGATAGAGCCAGGACAGATGCTGTCCAATCTTGATATCCGCGACACACAGCGCAGTGCGGGTGACCAACAGGAGGACGCCGAATCTGATCATCAGAGCACAGAGTACGATTTCGATACACCTCTCGATACGTCGGAGGATAGTTATAGCGGCGATGATGGTCCATCCTACTCCAACTTGAGCCCGACCTCGAATCCCCATCGAGGGCACCCAGGAGGACAGCAGAGTCACCCAGGTGCGCCTTATAGCGGCGGATCGTGGATGCTATCTCAGTCTCAAACTCAAAACGGGCCGCAACATACGCCGTCGGACCAATCAGGGAATGGCCAAAGTCCCGATGAGAGTCAAGGGTCGGGAGATTTTTCCGTTGCCGATCAAGGGCAGGAAGGATCGGAGGAGAAACGTCGACCTATGTTCGCATGCCCCTTTGCCAAGAAGGACCCAGTTGGATATGATCATTGCCACAAGCACAAGTACAAGCTTACAGAGATCAAACATGTGAAGCAACACCTGGCACGGCGTCATCTGATTTGGGACTGCCCACGGTGTCGGCAAGGATTCCGGACAAAAGGCCTCTACGATCAGCATCTCCGAGAAAGCGTCTGCGAAGTGATCTCGCGCGACCCACCAGAGGGTATGACTTTGGAACAGCAGCCACAACTGAGCAGACGGTCGAACTCTCGATTATCCCCCGAAGACCAATGGTTCGCCATATGGGATATTCTCTTTCCGGGGCGGCCAAGACCCATGTCCCCTTATCAGGATGATTTCATTAATATCACGGACCACAATAACTACCTGCAGGAGTTTTTAGGTAGCCGTATGCCCGAAATCGTCCAGGGAGAGTTTCAGGAGCTCGGCAACCCGACGCACATTGGGTACGATCAAGTTCTCCACGTCGTGGGCAGAATCATGCGCCGGTTTGCAGACGGGCTATCGCAGGGCGATAACGCTACGAGGCACAATTCTGGACCACCGTCAAGCCATGCCGGAGACGGGAACGGGAACCTTCGAGATATTCCCGAGCTGGCGGAGATCGGCCCATCAAGCCAGGGGACCATGCAGAGGAGTGACATTCCACCACCGGATTCTGGAACAGATGCCACCATGATGCAGGTTGACGATGCTTATATGCACCCACATACCTTTCCATTACATTCGATCGAAGAAGGGTCATCACCGTACTCCCAAGGTCGACCGCAGGCACCTTTCGACACCAGTCCCAGCTACGGGGAAACGGGAGAGCAGATTCGGCTGGACTCTTCTGTAACACCGGCTGGATTTGGTATGAACTTTGACCTCCCAGTATACAATCATACCCCCAGCCTCAGCCAGGAGGTATTCCCAAGCAACATGTCTGGCTTCAGCGGCGATTGGGCTATGGAAGCCATTGCCAACCAACCTCATCCCACTAATCACTTATTCCAACCGGACCCTCGTTTCGTCGAAGACTTTTTTGCGCAAATATCAAATCTCAATCAGGACATGAGCGGAGGACGATCTCAGGTGGATTTGAACCGGTTCTATCCGTACAGCTCCGAATAAGCAACCGCTAGCCCCCTCCCACCTTACTGTGGAGACTATGTTGATAGTTGAGAGTTTCGAGTGCGATCCCGGAAATGGGTTCTTGTACTTTGGATTTTGTGGTTCTGTGGTTTTTTGATATTTTCTTTTGCGGTGATACTCCAGGGTCTTCTTATCCTATGTTTTGGTACCTACACAGGTAGTTGTGAGTGCCGTTGGGCACTTCCGGGTGTTTTTGGCGTAAGACTTGGGCCAAAATGATACCCTTTTGATGTAGCAACGCAGATCCCGTAGTTACGAATGTATTGTGATTTCATATTGATTGAAAACAGATTGATCCTGCGCGAGCAGCGCCTGACGGACAGACTGCCTGCATAATATTGTCCTTGAGCTGGTGTTGTTTTGGAGGTGGAGGCACTTATACACAAAGTCGGCTGGCAAGTCGAGGCCCCTCCACAGTAGCTTTTATCGATAGCGATAAGCTCAAGTATGCAGCTTATCAGCCGCTTTCCTTGAACTTTTTGTAGGGTGAATTCAACTCCCAACCGCCCAGACAGAAATATCCAAGCAGCAACAGTGAACCAAAATGGAGCGCGCACAGTCGGCGAAGCGCAAATTCCCATTCTCCGGCCTTCAGAGAAGAGTCCGTGCGAGAAAGGAAATCGAGCCGGAACCAGACTCCGAAGACCAATACAGCAACTCCGACGAAGAGGGAAGTGAAGACGACGACGCTTCGCAAGCCAGCGACGAAGACAAGGATGACGTAGCCGCGGGCCCAGGCTCGTCCGACGAGAGCGAAGAAGACGAAGACGGCTCTGAGGCAGAGCCAGAGGGTTCCGCACTGGCGGCATCGCAGATCTCCTTTGGCGCCCTCGCCAAAGCGCAGGCCTCCCTCCCGAGCGCCCGCAAGAAACGCTCCGGTGCCGCCGACGACGACGAGGAAGGCGGTGATGACGGCTCAGACGACTCGGCGCCCGAAGAGTTTGACCGCCACGGAAAATACAAGAAGCCTCCGCCCCGATCGAGCAAGCATGCGCCCTCCGAGATGACCTCCAAACGCCCCGTGACGCGCCGGCGCCAGGTCGTCGAGGTGCCCAAGGCACAGTCGCGCGATCCGCGCTTCGGGCCTCTGGGCGGCGGCGGCGGCGGGCCGGCCGCCGGTCCGCAGGCGGAGGAGGCGCTGCGGCGGAATTACGCGTTCCTGAACGAGTACCGGGACGCGGAGATGAAGGAGCTGCGGACGACGATCAAGAAGACGCGGGACCCGTTCGAGAAAGAGCGGCTGCAGCGGGCGCTGTTGAGCATGCAGAGCAAGAAGCAGGCGCAGGAGCGCAAGGACGCCGAGCAGGCTGTCGTGGCCGAGCACCGCCGCCAGGAGAAAGAGCTGGTCAAGCAGGGCAAGACGCCCTTCTACCTCAAGAAGAGCGAGCAGAAGAAGCGCGTGCTCATGGACCGCTTCGCCGGTATGAAGAAAGGCCAGGTCGACAAGGCCATCCAGCGCAAGCGCAAGAAGCAGACGTCCAAGGAGAAGAAGGAACTGCCCATGGAGAGACGAGCACGGTGATGATGCTGATGTTAAAGATTTGTGTATCTCTGAGGAGGGTCTGTCTAGTCTATGGAGCAGTCTATTAAACATTTTTATGATACCACGACACTTTACATGCCCTCCTGTTTTTTATTGACACATGATCCTCCAGTACTCGTACAAACACTGTCGTACCCTTTCCCGTATATCCTACATGTTACCTCTTAACGTCTAGGTTTGTCTTCTGCAGAGCCGCCTCAAATAACTCCTTACATCGGACCTTGCTCCCCAGCTTCGCACACAGCAGGAATGCGCCACTGAGCTTCCGGTGCAGACTGTACGTCTCCTCGGGCGGTGGCGCCAGGCGCTCTCTGATCATGACGGGGATGAGCGCCTTGACACGCTCCGTAATGGTCTGGTCATGGAAGTCGTAGACGTCCGGCGCACTGCCCAGGAATGGTTCCGCCAACGTCAATACGCTCGCGATATGGGCATCGAGCATAACCTTGCTCTCATGGCCTGTGAGGTAGCCCAGCTTCTCGCTCAAGTCCTTGACGGCTGCACGGTCCGACCGCGCTGCCGCGGCGAGCAGGTTGACGTAGAGCGTGACAAATTCCTCCGGGAACTCACGCGACGCGCCAAAGTCGAGCAGCTCGAGTTTGTTGGTCGCGGCGTTGTACAAGAAATTGGTCCAGTTGGGGTCCGTCTGCATGAAACGGAACTCGGTGATTTCGCGCAGGCACAGCCGCAAGATTTGCGTCCCAATCCAGTCGCGCTGCTCCTGTGTGAAGGATGTGACCCGAGTCACACCTACACCATCCATGAACTCCATCGTCAGGACATGCTTACCAGAGGCTTCGGCGTATATCTTGGGCACAGCAAAGACGTCCGGTTCTTCAGCCAAAAGCTCACGGTAACGCTGTCCGCATTGGGCCTCGCGCTCGTAATCGCACTCCCAGCCAAGCTCGGTGCGGGCGTTGTCAATTGTCTTGTTGAGGTATAGTCCTTTGGGGAGCATCTTGGTTGCCATTAACAGTACAGACAAGTTGTCCAGGTCGGAATTGATCGAATCTGCGACGCCGGGAAACTGAATCTTGACGGCGACCTTCTCACCAGTCGCCTTCAGGGTAGCACGGTGGACCTGACCGATCGAGGCTGCCGCTATGGGCTTCTCTTCAAACTCCGAGTATAGTTCGCGCCACTCAGGGCCAAGACTGGCAGTCAAAACACGATCACGCTGCCACGCAGGCATGTAGTCCGCGCGGTCTTGCACGCGCTGCAGGACTTCTTGGAGTGGCGCGGGCAGCATCTTGGAATCTTGGAAGGACATCATCTGACCTAGCTTCAAAGCTGCACCTCTCATACGAGATAGCTTTGCAACTAGTCTCTCCATGTTTGCCGGACTCAGCATCACCGAGCCTTCACCGCCACCCCCGAAACCTCGGCTGAAGCCTTCGGTGATAGCTCCGCCAAGCATGCCAGCTGCCAATCCACCGTAGTTCCAGAGCCTGCCAAACCGAGTTGAAGGTACTTTCGATTCCCGCAGAACATACGATGGAGCAGAGGGTTCTTCGGCTGGTTGGATATTTGATAACTCAGGCTCGGGTGCAAATACAGATTCGGCTTGTGCAAGCACGTTATTGGCCATTTCGGTGTGCTCCTTTTCTGCAACTTGGGGCCCCGCTGGTGTGGCGGTGTCTGCGTCCTCAATGGATGTCGATGGGGCAGACTGGGTGCGGCTGGGAGTTGCAGGCTCTTGTTTGACGGTATCTGCTTTGGCCTGTGACATTTCAGGCTGCACAGGCGAAGTTTTCGTCTCAGCCGTGTCATGACCAAAGTCTTTGAACCAAGAGGGTTTGGGGGGTGGTGTAGTAGGTCTAATCTTCCCAACATAGTTATTATGCCCTTGTAAGAGCTGAGAGCCGCGGGTAGTATGGAAGATGCCTGTCTCAATTCCGGGTGGTACCTCGTCTGGAGCATCTGAGACGTCCGGAGAAGTCGTGGTCGTGCTCTGAGACGAGGTGCCTGTATCTCGGGGGGCAACATCGCCATTCGCCTGGGCCACTGGGATAGGAGGTTGTCCTTGCTTTATCTTGGAAAAAGCTCCTTCAAGGCCAGGGTTGGACGGCTGACGCGCAACCTCAGGCTCTCGAACACTTTGACTCAAACCCTGATATCTCTCGTACTCCTTGGGCAGGCTTGGTTCGATGCCGAACATTAACACTGCGTCCACGCCGGAGGAATTGGCCTCAGTGCCTTCAGGCCGGGATCGGGATGCCTGAGACGCGGATGCATCGGACTGGCTAGTCGCGGAAGCTTCATTATGCCTGGCTTGAACGGGATCCTGCTGCGGTGGGATGCGTCCCTTGTAGGCGCGAATTATACTCGACGTCCTGCCATATCGATCCAGCTGTCCGGCCCGCAGCTCAAGATGTCTCGAGGCAACGGATCTGGAGGCTTTCGCAACAGCGGCCAAGTCGATGAGAAGGTCCGCGTACCTCATCGCCAAGAGTTGTGGTATATAAGCCCGAAGACCTCTGTCACCTCATCCCCGATGAGTCTCTAAACGAAGACACGGCACAATGATTAGCGCAGTGGAACTCGCGTGGGTTGAAGGATCTTGATATCATCACTTTTTGGGTCGGTCGAAAATGGGAGATCCACTGCAGCCGGCAGCGACTGGCCGTTCAGCCGCTAACGTTAGCCGGCAAAAAGTGGACCCGCCAGCTTAATCCCAACATCCAATCGTTTTGCCGGAGACTTTCACTGTTGATCAGAAACAACAGAACAATAGCGTTGATGAAAGCATTGCCAAGTCAAAATGAACCGGTTCCAAGTGGCACCATGTTTGCCCTGCAATTTTGTGTTGATAGTCCCTGGGGCTAGAGCTCTTGCCTTTCTGCTCTACCTGCACCATCGTGTAATTCCTGCGATTCTGGAATCCAGAGTGTGAATTTGCCCGTGATGTGTTGGTAGAACTCCCAAAAGACGGGCCCGTGGCCTCTTGTACGTTGGGATTCAGTGTCATCATCATCAGCACCTACAGCCAAGGCGACATCCACATCGTAGCCTCTAGTCCCGCTAGAGAAGATATGCAGATACGCGTGGATCATCTCGTGTGCCAAAGTTGTTACCATATCATTCATATTGAGCTCCACAATCCGCCCGTCGTCGATCACTTCCGTGTGTAAGGTTATCTGATCTTGGGCAGGCTCCCAAGCTCCCCATCTGACGCCATCCGCTTCCTCTATAACCTGTAGTTGGACTAATTGGCCCTTCCTGAATGGATTTCTGCATCTCCTTCCTTGTTTGGTGAGTAACCCGAAGAAGAAAAGCTCATCCAGAAGGCCCATGTACAACGCCATGAGATCCTGAAGCTCGAGCATGGGTACTCTGCGCTGACTGTCGTTCTTATATTGCCTGATAAATGAAACAATCTTCATGTTGGTTCCTTTTTTTGCCGATATTGAGGCATTTTTGCACAAGTCAAGGAGGTCCCTTGCTGCATAGGTCCATCCGAAGATGTTCATCTTCCAAAAATCTATATTTAGGAGATTTGGCCACCTGTAGAACTCATATCTCGTCGTGAGGTCATTCAAAAGCTTTTTTTCTCTGATACTGAATTCGTTTCCCAGTTTGGCACCACTATCCCCTTGTGCTTCTAGATCAATGCTTGGCTTTCGCTGCGGCGAGAAAAAGAAGTGGATGACCAACAGACAGCCGCGAACCTGGTGACAGCCTGGGCTGAAAGCAGTCGTACGTAAACATGAAGGGGTATCCATATCGATGCAAGTGCTGATTTGATCGTCAAACAGCATCACTCAACCCGACAGGATGTTACGGCACATGGGTTTCCTTGCTATACATATGTCTCACTGCGCTGCATTCCACAAAGTCATTATAACATTAGCCCTACTCCTGCCAGCTTCAGGTGGGTGATAGAAGAAAGAATGCCGGACAAGGAGACAGTAGTTCGCTTGTTTGCGGACAAAGGCGTAACGGAAAACCCGTGAAACACAAGGAATAAGTGCCAGAAATGTCGCATTGCTTCTCGTATCGTTCAACGCAGCTCAATCCATCGATCTCAATTCTGAGCGAAGGAGGAATCTCGCGTAACTGGATACGTAATCATGCGCAAAATTGCAAAACCTCGGATCCGGTACGACAACGAAACAAGAAGGGCTAAAGGTTCCATTATACTGGATAGTCGTTTCTAATATTGCAGTTTTGGTGTATTCATCACGTGGGAGATACAAAGGAACCATTAGTATGCTTGAGCAACACTCAGATTTCAATCCCCTGCGTCGTCTTTAATTCACCAAGAATGATACGATGACTGGCGCTCAAGAATAAGACTGAGAAGATGAAAGCGGTTGATATATTGCAGCCTATAACAGTGAATTAAGATAATAACGAGCGCTCACGTGGCAAATGTACCTTGTCGGATTTACCAGGGTCTTTTGTTAATGTAACCTGGACTCCGCAACCAACTTCGACATATCACCTGAAAAGTCTTGGCAGGGATTGGAGGAAAAATACTCTCCATCAGCACTATCGCCCTTCTGAGAGTACTTAGATCACTTCCGTTGGGAAACAGCCGGCTTATGGAACTCCGTCCGCATGGATACAATCCTATCGTCGGTCGAGCTCGGCACTTCTTTTGTCACGGCCGCCAGCTTTCAATCATGCAGTTATAAGAGTATCAGCGTTTGGAGTTGATATAAATTTTCTAGCTAGGAAACTACTAAACTCATTATTCGGTTGTTAAAGTACACCATGTTTGCCACAGCTTCGCACTTGTCAGCAGCTCTAGTAGCTCTGAGCGCATTGACTGCACACGCCCAGAATGCCTTCTCGGGAGCAGTTGGGTTCGGGGCTATCGCCACGGGGGGGAACAGTGGCACCACATATCACGTCACGACCCTGGCTGATTCTGGTGCTGGGTCATTTCGCGATGCCGTCAGTGGTTCTAACAGGAACATTGTGTTCGACATATCCGGCTACATTGTGTTGAACTCTGCCGTCTCCCTGTCTAGCTCTATCACCATTAACGGGCAGTCGGCACCGGGGAAAGGTATCGGTGTTATGGGCGCGGAGGTCTCAGCAAGTGGAAAGAACAACATCATCATCCGTAACCTGCGTATGCGACAGGGGAGGCTAGATGACGATTCTGGCAAGAGCGCGTTCAATATGGGCAAAGCGACGAACGTAATTCTGGATCATTGCTCTGTCGAGTACGGACAGTGGGACTCGATTGATGCAGTCGGGGGTGTCAACATTACTGTCTCGAACTCAATCATCGCCCTGCCGATTGGCCAACAATTCGGTGCCCACGTGGAGACTGGACCGTCGACATTCTACCGAAATCTTTGGGTCTCGGCACACAACCGTCAGCCCCTGTCAAAGGACAACACGCAGTATTTAAACAATGTTGTATACAACTACCAAGCAGCATATACAGCAGCGAACACCGGCGGGTATTTCTCACACGACATCATCGGAAATTACTTCATTGCTGGACCAAGCACTACAAGCACCAGCAACGATTACTACCAAATGAACAACAAACAAAGTGTATATGCCTCTGGAAACTACCTGGATAGTAATAAGGATGGTGCCCTCAATGGGGCTGCTGCGAACACGGTTGGAAGTGCACTGGTTCTAAGCTCACCGTGGCAAAGTACTTCCCGAAGTTTGGCGACGCTTACAGCTGCTGAAGCGGTCACTTATGTGCTAGCAAACGCTGGAGCTTCTCCTCGAGACGAAGTAGATGCCTACGTTGTGAGCAGTGTGCTGTCATACGGGACAAATGGATCTCTCATTACGAACCAGGCAAGTACAGGTTTGAGCAACAACGGGTATGGATCCCTGAGCTGAATAAGTGATTGTGTACGGTTCCCGAGGCAATGCAGACTGAAGGCACGAGCGTCGCGAGGCTGTGGATGCGAAATGACTACCGTACACGCATTCCTTTTCCTTGAATGCAAAGTACGCGCCAGGAATTGTGGCAAACGCGAGGTGCTTTTTGAAGTCTCAACCAAGTTTAAGTGATATCCGAATTGTTTAGGCCTCGTGGCCTTTTGGGACAAGGGACCGTGCAATTTCCCAATGGCACGTAGTCTCATTGATCATTCAATAGGGATTGAGCTGAGGGTGTACCAGCTAGCCGGGGGCGCGAATGTCTCACTTAGCGTCAAGTGTGTCTGAGACAACTCCAAGCCTAGACAGTCCCCCCTGATTTCGAGGAAACCATTTAATCTTTTCACCGAGCGCGTTCTTCTGAACCTGAACCTCAGTAATGTGATCCTAGCATGCGGTCGAGTTTATACAGCAATATGTTTGGGTTATCGACTACAACGTCGAGCAACGCGGAGTATCATCGTGTTCCGGACGACAACGATGCTATCGACAAGGAAAGACATGGCGACCTCACAACTCAAGACATCGAACTAGGAATTCCAGGGGGCAGAGATGAGCCTGCAGTTGAGAGAAAGCAGGAAAGTGGACGTGTCCATGCAACCGCTTGGTTGGGTAAGCGGTCCCACTGCTAAGAGAGTCTTCATACTAATGAAGTCCAAGACGGCCTGAGGGGCTTCGCTGCATTCTTCGTGGTGCTCCACCACATGACCATCATATGGTTTCCTTGGAGTGTTTACAATGCATACGGAGCTGATCCCGATAGCTATCTATTTTTCCAGCTACCCATCGTTCGACTGATCATTACCGGACACATACAGGTCGCCATATTTCTTGTGATATCGGGGTATGCGCTCAGTCTCAAGACCTTGAAGTTCCTTCACAAAGGCCAAGTGGGCGAAGCGCATAACGCGCTGGTGTCCTCGGCCTTCCGCCGACACCCGCGTCTCTTCATTCCGCCGATTGTGGTGTGCTTCTTTTCGATGTTCTTCGCTTGGATGAACTGGTACGGTAACGGCGCCCGGATGCCAGGTGCTGCAACGCCCGTCGTTAACCCACCAATATTCGAATCATTCTGGGATCAGCTCATCGATTATCTGAAGTGGTGTTGGCGGCTGGCAGATCCGTTGACGAGGGCAGTACCATCTGGAGAATGGGTTTACGACAACCCTCTGTGGACCCTTCCATACGAGTTCCGGGGCTCATTTCTTGTTTATGGTATCTTGTTGGCCCTCTCGCGAGCCCGCCCTGTGGTCAGGATTATCACTACGGCTTTGCTCGCCATACACGCTTTGTGCTTCGTCTACCATACCATGTTTCTCTTCATTGTTGGACTGCTCATTGCCGATCTGAAGCTCTGGGACCCCGACGTTGCCGGCTTTGTGCAGGATCTTGCCGACAGAGTACACATAAAACTGCCTGCGATACGACTGGGCAAAACGGAAAGACACCAACGCTTTTTGTGGGGTGTGCTCTCCTTGTTTGGGTTCTTCGTCGCATTGTGGATTGGCAGCATTCCGAACTTCCACCGCGGTGGCAAGGATGCATTTGGCTATCGAACTCTGAGTGCTCTCATTCCCATGAATTGGCATGCTCAAGGTCAGCAGGACAATTATTGGGTGTGTATAGCTGCCGCGCTTCTCATTTTCGTTGTCGACCGAACGCCTCTGCTGCAAAAACTCTATACCAACCGGCTTGGTTTGTTTCTTGGGCGAATCTCGTTCGCCCTGTATCTGGTACATGTACCAATCTTGCATAGCTTTGGGTGGTGGGCTGGCAATACTTTCATCAAGATGACAGGATCAGACACTTTTGCAGGCTATGACTTTGGCATCGCGATCGCCTGGATCCTGGACTTGAGTATCACTATAGTCGTTGCTCACTTTGTTGAACGATTTGTGGATGCCAAGGCGGTGAGGTTTGCTGGTTGGCTTTACCAAAAGTTCGGAAAGGGAGCATGAGGTGGCTTCGGCCGTCTAGTTCAGTCGTAAAGGCTGGCGGGCAGGAAATCCTGCGTATATGCATTGATGGGTCGCATATGTTAGATGGCTTGGAGTTTGTGATGAAATTCCTTATGCATATGATCTTTGGGACGGAGCGTTCTATTGAAATTCAATAGATTGTACTAATTTCGCTGGGGCAATTAGATGCTGTTGATCTCTCCCATCATCTCTTGGATCTGCTATGCCAGACAAAGTACCAGTTTAGCCTCCAGCAAATGAGAAATGAACATCGTCCTGCTGTATTAAACTGAGTTGATGATTTCCTGATTCAACGATGCCCCACGTCCCTTGTTTGGATCTTTCTATTTCTTTATAATCCTCTTTTGTCAATGATATGTAAGCGTTTCATATGTTCAGTCGTATACAAACCTGAGACTCCTGCCAATGACAATCTTATGGTGGTGACGTAAAGCGAGGAATCGCTGATGGACCCTCTACGTGCGGGTAACCAAACTCGACGAAATTTGGCTATTCAATACGCTAGTGATCTGGCTATACACAGCGCGGAGGCTTCTACTGTGACGATGATCCAGGAACAGATCTCATCCCACATGGTCGTATCCACGGCGGCCGCCTTTGCCCCAACAGTAATATTCTCGTTGATGGGCGTAGCTAAATCGCACTTTAGTTGTTCACTTATATATAAGATGGTATAGTTGGCGTTGAGAACACTACGGACCCTATGCGGTGGTATAGTAAGGAAAGAAAAAAAGAAGAAAAAAAAGGAACGGACAAAGAATCGAAACGAGAAGTTACCACATCGTTTGGACAAATAAGACACAGATGAGACAAGAACTATCCCACGATTCAGAGACGCGAGCTTGACACTCACTAGGTACTACGCTGCTCTGGAATAGAATCCCAGTGGTCAAGCGGCCCGCAGAGAGCCTTACTCCTACGTCCCTTCCCGCACCCTTTTAGTGTTCCATTGAGTAACAACAGAGACTGGCTCCTGCAATGAGACAACTGCCAAATCTGATTATCAACTTCAGTCTTTACTACTTGTATAGGCCTAGTGCTTGGGCTTTCCACTCATGGCACCCAAGTCCTTGACGTCCTATGTGGAATTGTAGTTGCTTCACCGACGCAGCACAGCAACGAGGCCGTCTTCATCCGGAACTAACTATTCATCGTCGGCTGATGTATGGGTTGTACTTAGTCACCCCATCGCCCGGCCGCGGGTCCGCCTGCCACTCCCCATGCCGACCGGGACCGTCGCTGTAAGCAGGTCCATGAACAATCAACAATCAGTACCCGACCGAAGGGGTTGACCATTGTTGCTATGATCTTCATAATGACTCTCCCGTCTTCAACATTCCTTCATGCCCTTCGCTCTCGCCCACCACATCCTTTATCTTGAAGGTGTGGCGAGAGTCACGGCTACCAACTCTCTGTTCACATCGGTGACGCTTCATCTGCCCTTGACTTCCCAACACACTCTGTCCTTTCATTCCGCCCTTCTTCACCCAAGGGGGCCGTTCGCCATAATCAGACCCTTGGATGCTGGCAGGCCGGGCGCAGGCTCCCCTTTTGTATCTCTCAGCTGAGCGCGGATCCATGAGCCGTTCGCCATTTCACCCTCCTGGCCACACTCCCTTACTCTGGCGCGCACTCTTTCAAACTCTTGACACAGCTTTTCTCACACTCATCCATTCTTGAGCTTTCCCCTTAGAGTTTCGATTCCTGCACCAGACCTCATAGGCAGGAAGCTTCGGTCAGCTCACTGAGCCACCTGCTTCAGCTCTTCATTCCTTGATCCGTATTCGACTTTAGGAGTACTCATCTATCTCCTCGCTGTCTTTCCATTTTGGCCAACTGAACGCATATTTGTTCTCACACATCTTGGCTTAGACACATGTCAAGATGCCTCTTTCATCACCCGCGTCAGACAGCAAGATGGCGTCCTCGCCCCCGGGCGCCATATCATCCCGCAATACCAGCAGGATTCCCAATGTCGCTCAGATGATGAAACTCCTGACCGAGTTCGCAGCTCTGTACCCGTACCACACCTTCACACGCAAAGATTTGGCCAACGCCTTGCGTGTCGTGGCGGCCCAAATACAAGAGCGGGAGCGCGAACGAGAGCAGGAGCGGATGCAGGAACAGGAGGACCCGAACCTCACCCCGAGAGCATCGACCCAAGTCTTCACAACACCCAACGGTAAGACAAAGCGCGGCGCAGCTGAGAACTCCGATTACATCTCCTCGCCTTTCAAGAGAGCCTGCCTGACCACGCCTCCCCGCAAGGTCTCGGGCTGGACTCCGATCAACGCTCCCTCGAACGAGAATGCGCGAGGGGGAAACAGCACATCACCTTCCTCTAGTGGCGACAGGACTCTCCGACGACCACTCCCGGGTGGCTCATCGTCTTCTCCATCGGTTCAGGAGCAGCGGCGGCAGCAGCAGCCGCCCGTGACACCGTCACCAATGCGTCGCCACCGACACATGGTTGGCCGCCAGATCCCAACCTTCTCCAGCACCGCGGCCGGCAGCCACCGCAAAGCGCCGCCCTCACGTCTGGATCTCTCACGCCCAGGCGCGGCGCCCGCGCAGACCATCAACCGTGCCACCCACTACGTGGCAATGCCCGCGTTCCTCCGAGGCCCTGAACCCCATATCCCGACCTTACAGCGCATGTACGACATGAACCCGCACAGCGGCATTCGCCTGCTCCAGAAGCCGATCCACCACTTGCAGCCCGAGGATATGTATCCTGCTGCGAGAAGAGCAGGACTTTCAAGAGGCCGAGTAGATGCCGCTTTTGCCAACTGCGGCTTTCAGATCCGAGAGCTCCCCAAGACACCGGCAGCAGCCGGGCTAGCTGGCGCGTTCGACAGGTTCACCCTAGGAACCCCGATGACCGCCCAGTTCAGCACGCAGTCCAAAAAGATGCACCTCCGCGCCATCTCGATGGCGCTTCACAAGGCGGCCGACGCTTGCCTGGGAGGCGGCACGGGCGACCCCAGAGACCAGCCTACACTCGTGATCCGTCGTACCGACCGCATCCTCGGTGCCTTGAACCATGGGCGCGGCACCAAGATCAAGGAAACCATGTTCGACCTGATCTCGGCGCTGTCGCGCGTCCCTGAGCTGGCCATCTGCCTCGGCAAGCATCTTGAACCCCGCGACCTCCTGTCACTCTACTGCGTCAGTGTCGCATTCAACACCCAGATAAACACCTGGCTGCGCCACTGTATGGCCGTCTGGACCCCTTTTTGGGCACCGGATGCTGCCGAGGTGTTCGAGTGGAAGAAGGGAGTCCACGGTGTCTATGCACACCTGGCGATGGCCGACCCGGCCAACCGCGTTTCAGTCTCGCCGGTCACGGACGGACCGCTGCAGAGCACAATATTCGGAGGCCAGCTCACACCGCTGCCCAAGAGGGTGCCCAAGATCCGCTGGTATCTCATGGTGTGCCTCCGCGACGACGTGGCAACCGACATTCTCGCCCACCTGGCACGCCAGGGCTTCCGATGCCCCCCGGGCACCAAGAAGGCCCTGCTCAAGATGTGGATGCTGATGGACCAGCCGACCAACGCACTTCGCGAGACTCTACTACGCGACCGCGCCGTCTTCTCGGACCAGGACCTGCTGCACTGCCAGCTGGTGCTCGTGAAGCTGGCCTTCCGGCTGTCCGACCCCATCTACGGCCCCGAGTCGGTGGACCTGCTGGAGCTAATGCTGGGCCAGCGTAGCCTATACGCACTGTGGGAGATGCTGTTCGGCCACCGCTACCGCGACATCGTGTCGCTGGTGCAGCTCAAGATCCGCTACGACCTGGGCTTCGGCTGGCATCTGGGCCGTGACGGTGCCCGAGGCCTGCTCGAGTTCGCGTACGAGCAGCCCGACGCGGGCCCCGTGCTCGGCGTACCGGCACACGAGGTCGGCATCGGGTACCTGGAGCACTGGGGCGCTCGGGGCACCATCTTTGCGAGCCTGAAGCGCCCGTCGGAGCTCGTGGCCGACGAGGCGGCGCGGCGCCAGCTCAAGTTCGACGAGCATCTCATGGGCTTGGTAATCTGGGGCCATCTGGACCAGCGCACAGGCCGCAACCTCGCGCCGAGTGAGGACGAAATCTGGATGCGCGACTCGGCGTACAAGAACCGCGCCATCGACACCAGCACCGAGTTCACGCCGTTCCACTGCCGCCGTGCGCGCTTGGACGAGCTGACTGGGGATGAGAGAAAGAGGCTGCTCCTGGCGCAGCAGTTGCGCGAGGCGAAGGTTGAGATGTGGGACAACCACCGTTACGACGAGGAAGACCTGGATTCGGAGGAGAACTTTCAGCAGAACGAGAGCACGAAGGAAGCGCTCTTATCCATGGCGGGCATCGACAAGGAGGATCCGGACTTGCGAGTCGACTTCGACGGTAATCAGCTTCCTCCTGATGTAGTTCCCGCTTTTCAGCCTGGTCCTCTTACCGCCGGCTTGCAGGAGGCTACCGACGATGACGGCGATTACGAGTCGGACTCGAGTGTTCAGAGCGAGAACATCAAGGAGGCTGTCGATGATTGCAGCAAATTTGCGCGGCCCTGGACGCCTAAGACACCTGATCACTACCAGCACATGCCTCGAACCGCCATGGCCGAGGCAATGGCTACTGCCAGAATGCATGGCCAAGGTGACGAGCAGGAGGACGATCTGGTGGATGGCGACTTGCTGTTCAGTGGATCCTTGGTTCCTGAGGCTCGGGAGCCGCAGGACATGTGGGAAATTTTCGAAGAGATGATCGAGAGCGTCTTTGCCAACATGTTCCAAACCGGCTCGGAAAATGATGGTGAAGACAGTGACGACAACGATGACTATGATGATGACGACAGCGACATCGGAGACGGTGATATATAGGACAGACAACGCCGATGACGGTTGGGGACGCGTGAATGATGCTCGCTAGCAATTCGCTACCTGGCTTGGACCACTGAAGTTCCGGCTGCCCGTGACTCTCTCTGTTTGGTTTGAGAACCATTGATCTGGTATGAGGAATAGCGGAACTTTGTCAATCGGAAAGCCCGTACTTGTAACTCCGGACTGCTCACTTTCTGTTCTCTAGGTAGCAAATCAGGAGGCAGCCTCCCTCAATAGTCCACAATAAGAAGATTGTGCACACCTGATGATTCAACATACTCTGCCATAACTTATTGCGTTTGAAGTCATCTGTATGCAATCCTGTCAAAGCGTTACCCCTCGAGACTTTCATGCTGGCAGCATTTCTTAGTCGACGTGTAGGACAATTTGATGCAAATGCTTTGTCTTTTTTTGTATAATCTCAGGTATGCAACAGTCATAGTCTCACTCCCAGTCCGCTATTTATTATCTTCCCCTGACTCTGTAATGTCATCTCCCATGTCACAGCCCTCGCAGGCGTTCGTGACACAAAACCTCACGGAGCCCCTTCTAGCTCTCATGCTGCAACAAAATAACAGGACAGACAGACGTTTTAGTTGGAACCACATGATAGGCACTGGTGTAGGTCAAGTCACCGGCCGCCTTGTTCCTCGGAATCTGGGTGACTGTGCCCGCGACTTTCCAACAGACTACTCCCCGACTCCGTCAATCTCCGAGGCCACGAGTGCCGCTGTTCGCATCAGGCCATAAGATGATTCTACCAATGAGGTCGCGAAAGATGAGCAGAAAGAGGAAAAAGAATGTAAATATGACAGGGAGATGAAAAGAAAACAATGAAAGACTTTGGGAGAGTTCAGGAACAGAGGAAAATTTAGACATGAAAATAGAGGCCAGGATATACCCTACACTCCCTGCGCTATGCACCACCAGTCCAATCCGCAAAAATCCATCGATGTACAAGTGTCGGCTGGTCCCTGTTTGCGCGGGGCCGTTGATATCGCCGATGCAACGTGACCAAGACCCAGGGTCGACTGTGTTGGTATTCCGGACAAATATTCCGTCTCATCGCTCCAGACATGTAATGAGGCCATGGAGCCAAAGTCCAATCTGGCAATCCGCGCTTTTGTCTTTCCAGCATCCCTCAGTATGAAATTTTGATGACACACAACACCTCGCCTGCCCTAACCTCAACCGTGACTCCCCTCCTGTACCCTGCTTCCAATCCTTCACGCCCTCGCATGAGTAAGTCCAGAAAAAGAATACTACCACGGATTGGACGGTCTATCGCGCGAATGTTCGTTTCAGTATGGTGCAAATATTAGTGACAAATGAAGTATGCCTAGAAGTGATGATTCCCATCGACGGCAGAACAGCTTTTATGGTGCCTTGGCCGTAATGTAGAGGCTCGGTATGCTATTCAGCTGATGGTAATGTGTTTCAAGAGGCGGCAAGCCGGGAAAACACACTAGGACTGACAAGAGCTGGTTACGCGAATAAATTTAGGCGCCTGGGGACTTGCTGGGCGGGCCTCCCGCGCCAGAGCCGTTCTGACGCGCGTCGCCGCTGACCGAGAGGTTGCCGATGCCCGAGGAGAGGAAGGCGAAAGGGTCGTTCTCGGACTGGGAGTTGAAGTAGTTGTTGGACGGGCCAGCAGAGGCAGGACCGTTGTTAGCGGACTGGAAAGCAGCCTCAGCAGCACGGCTATCGAAACCACCAGCGGAGTGGGATCCCGGGGCAGGGCCGAGGTGAGTGTTCAGGGATGGGTAGGGCGCGGCACCACCACCAATGCCGGAGGGGAGAGCATAAGTGCTGGGAGGTCCACCGAAGTGCTGGCCGTAGCCGCCACCAGCTCCGCCGAAGGGAGCGGCGGCGGCGGCAGCATATGGACCAGGGCCAGGAGTGCCAGCCATCGAGTTCGAACCCATACCATAGTTGGATCCGCCGTCCATGGGAGAGCCGGGATAGGCAGAGTCAGCAACAACAGCGGCTCCGGCCCTGCTGGCGCCACATCGCAGACAGCAAACGTTCTTGGCGAAGTTGTGATAGCCGCACACTTCGTTGCCGCACTTCCAGTCACCGGCGCGGAAAGGCACCACACCGCTGCCGCCCATGCGACCGCCACCGTGGTGTCCCATGTTGTGGTGGTGTCCTCCTCCATGGTGGGGAGGAGGCATCATGTTAGGACCTCCATAACCGCCACCATAGCCGCCGCCGCCGCCACCACCACCCTGGTATCCCATCTCGCTCTGAGGACCGTTGTTCATGTGAGAAGCAGGGAATGAACAGCGGAAGCAAGCAGTCCGTCGCTGGAAGTTGGAAAATCCACAACTAGGGCAAGTCCAATCACCCGGGCGAGGGCGGTTCTTGCTGGGAGGGAACGGGGTAAGAATCTCGGCGGCCCGGTCCAGAACTCTGCTAGAGGACGGTGAAACTTCGATGGCCTTCTCGTTCAATGCCCGACCGTTCATGCAAAGGCTCTCAGCAGCCTAGAAAATTGTTAGCGCTGTTGTCAGATGTAGAGGGGCTTGCGGTTCGAGGTTGGAGTCGGCTGCTTACCTCTTCGTGAGATGAGAACACAGCAAAGCCGGTCCCAGTGGGTTTGTGCTGCTCCGGGGTCCTCAGAGTCCAGAACGCAATTGGTCTTCCACCAAACTGTGTGAACCAGCTTTCCAACTCGGACTGGGTCGTATCGTGGGGGAGGCCAGACATGTGGAGCACTTTGCTGCGCTCAGACAGGAAAGCCCGCACATCGGAGCGGGCATCCATGGGCCGGGTGAGGACATCTGGGTGCTCATGTGCAGGCTGAGACTTGCGGATGAGGCCGCGGAGAACGCGAGCCAGAGTCACAGCTTCCTCCATAGCCCGGCGGGGGGAGGCGGGAGCGAGGGCTTGCAGGTGGAAGGGCAGGTTGTGCTTGATGGGAGCGCTCGACTGCACGGGTTCGACCTCAAGCGCAGCACAGATGTTAGAGAGCATCGAAGGGCCGAAGGGCAGCGACTCGGGATGGTGTTGTTGCCAGCGCTGGTACTCGGTTCGCAGGTCGAAGGTACGCGAGTGCTGCAGGTAGGGGGGTAGCACTACAGCCTTGTCGCGAGCCTCACGGGGCAGCTGGACGCGCAGGTCCCAGGCATCAAGGGTGACAAAGACGAAGTCCAGGTTCTGGGACGTCAGGCGTTCGGTTGCGAAGGCATCGAAGCGGTTGATGGCGTCACGGAAGGTGCCCGCATTGCGAACGTGCTCCCATGTCAAGGTTGTCAGGCTGGCTGCACGAGGGAGAGGAGTCAGTCTTCAGAGCGTGGCTCCTGGAGGCCGGAGAGCCGGGAGACGCGGTGCAACTTACTGCAGAGAGGAGTGATGGGCGTGTTGATGGGCTTGACGAGGACGCTCTCACGGTGAAGCTGCAAAGCGAGGAGAGAAATGTTAGCGAGAGCGAAAAGGGATATTGAGAGGTACCGCGTAGGGGTGCAAGCCACGGAAGCTGGTCTCGGGGGGAGCTTTCATACCTCCTCGAGAGTTTTGCCATCCAACTCGATCCATCCGAACTCGATGACCTCGGCCGAGTCCTTGGTCACGTACACGCCGTGCTCGTCGCAGGTGGTAGCCACATGAATGACGATGTAGCGGTCGAAGTGCGACGGCTGTTGGGCAGACATGCTGGGCGGGTCTCCTGGTTTTTTTTTCTTCCTTTTTTTTTTTATGTATACAGCAGAGCTATGTTACAGTTGAAATATGTGCTGGGGGCGGACGGGAATGTCGCTTTATGCGTGTGGCCCGGATCGGAGCGAGTCGGTCGGGATCCGGTACAGGAATATTTCTGTCGTGTACAGCTGCCGGAGCTTCGAAGGAAAAATAGAAATCCAAGAGGACGGACGGGGGTTGCTTGGTCCAAAAATCGTGGGTGTTCACCAAGGAAGATTGACCCGTCAGGGTTGCCCGGCCAGGTGTTGGCGAGGAAGCGGGTTCTGCTGGACTGGAGCTTTGCAGCCCGGTGAGGGTGAGAGCAACGAAGGAGTCGAGCCGACAACGATAGACACACAGACGGACAGACAGCCAGCGACGCAAGTACAGCAGCTGCAGCAGGCGGTGGAATGCTGGCGAGGCCTTTCTAATCTCGCAATGTCTTCCTGATCGACTTCTTTTCCTGGGGTGGGACAAAAATCCTTTCTCACAGGCCCTCGCGGTGGTTTCCCCTGGTGGTCGGGTGAGGATGGGATGTGTGGTGAAGGGGCGGAGAGGGGAGGGAAAAAGAGAGTGGAAATTTAGTGGTGAGCAGCTTCGGTTGGAGACAGAATGAGATGATGTTGATTTCCCAGTTGGCAATCGGGGCTGTGGAGGGACGACGGGAGACTGGACGAGAGCGTCGGCCGTCTGGTCCTTTTTTTGGTGCACCCGACTCGATTGGGGGGTAGGGGGGTCCGCTGGAGTGGACTGACTACTTAACCTAGGTACAGGTGGATGCGGCAAGCAGTGAACTGCCTACCTGACGTTACCTACGGCACGGCCAACCTTCAGCGATCTAGTGCACTTCAGCCCACAGGCTTTGCTTACCAGTTCGAACTGCGTAGGTAGGTACTTAGTGCGTGCAGGGCCATGCAGTGCAGGAGCAGGTGCAGGTGCAGCTGGTTGCAGGAGCAGTGCCAGCAGACCGCGCAGGCGGCTACTATCGTACTGTGGTGAGGTAGCGATCAGCCCACAGAACAGTCCCAGTTCCTAGCTACAAGGGCCCCCCCAAGCCAATGGAATTCTCCTGTCCGCTCAACAGCCCAGCCGCGAGGCCTTCTGGCGCCAGGCAGGCAGCTGGGCGTCTGGGACGACAACGGCCGGGAGACTAGGGGATGGACCGCGACCAGGGCCAGGACCGGGACCCTACCCCGTCTCTTGCCAGGAGTAGATGAGGTAGATGAGTGCCCAGCTGCCCCCGAACCCAGGCCTGGCAATTGCCGTCAGTTGGGGCCGCGTGGAAGTGCCTGTGCCTGTGCCTGTGCTCTCCATACCGCTATCACACCTCCGTCCAGTCCCAGAGGACCTGCTGTCTTGGGGCAACTTTTCCCTCGCCGCGCTTCTGATTCTGCTGGATCCCGGTATTGCTCGAAAACGATTAGCCCGAATTGGCGACCACAGGCAAGCAGTTGTACCACTTAAAACATTAGCGGCTGGAGCCCGCTAGGTCACCGTTGGGTAATGGAGTCTCAGACGGTTGGGTCGCAGTGGACGGGGGATGGATTATCTGGCCTACGCGCTCGACCCGGTGACAGGAACCGAACCAACAGGTTGGGGGTCAGTCTCGATGCGAACAAGGCCAACCTGCCAACGTCCCGAGACAGTATTTATATAACTTGAACTAGACCGCTGGCTGTCTCGACTTTCCAGTCAAAGCTTGGGTCTTTGTGCATTCACGAACGTAGAAGACAAGTCGCTGCGGCCCGCAACTGTTTGCGTGAGTATTGACTTGGTGCGAGCCGTTTTCCCAAGGTGAGTGAGTTCCTAGTACTCATACTTGCTGTCGTCACGACCTACATAACCTGCGGAGTAGTCATGTAGTGATGGGCTTCAGTGAAGCAATGGCGAAGGCCCAGTACGAGAACCTGTGACTCCAATGTGCGATCTCTCCGTCGCCCATGCTTCATTTATACTTTTTCAAACATGTACTTCGGTAACACGTATCTAGTTGGCTGCCTTATTGCTCTGCTCTCCTTTTCTGAATCGGAGTCTTGCCAAAAGCCATCCATGTGTCCATCGGTCGCAAATAAGTACCATAGTATTTGCTCACACTGGACTACGGACCGGATTTGCATAGAGCTGCGAACTGTTGCATCAAGGCAAGGTACTGACAGCACCGTGACTGCGACTTGTGCGCTGTATGTGAGCTCATGGTGCGGCACCGTCGGCCCCGACAGGGTGCTTCCCTCGAGCTTGCTTCAAATGTATGCACCGTACCTTTTCCTCCATGGGTAGTACCTGTTGCAAATCTCACACCGGGCTGCTTGGGTGCGCCTCTGGTTGCAGTCAAACTGATGAAATCTTTCGACTCAATTCGAATATCACCCCTTCCCTGTCGCATCCGTGCGGTCAGTCTTGGGGACATGTAGGTCAGCGTTTCAACCTCTTTCCCCGGCTTGCCCGGGGAATGGGATTGGCCAGGATAGGAAGATGGAGCATGGGAGAGCAAACCAACTACGTCAACCATCAGTCGAATGGGGGTGCGAGCTGCAGACGGCGGGATCAAGTTGTGACAGCCGAACCGACCGAGCTTTATATGGCATATTGTCCCCGGAGCAAAGCCACTTCCATTTCGTCACCATTCTGAGTGGGAAACCTGTCAATCACTGGACCCTCGGCTAGCTAAATTGATGACAGAAACTCTTTAGGGTTTCCAAAGCTCATCCCATGTGTACGAGCACATTTCTCTGTCAAAGGAGTATAAAACTACTGATTCACTAGCTGGCGTTTTAGGGTTGTCGAGAACCGAACCGCGAGTGACGAGTGACGGGTGACCTGACCAAACTACCTCAGGGGTACGGGTCAGTTGAGTCCTTGGCAGGCTGCGTACGAATAGGGAGAAAAAAACTCCCGAGGTTATGACTCGCACCTCGAGTCGCATTCAACATTCACTTCACGGGTGGCACAAGGTGTACAATACATCCACGGTTTGTGTAGTCATGACTTTTGCGGTAAGAGAGGCTGTTGCGCCCATTGTATCCTGTTCGTGTACAGGCTGTGCATATATCCTCGACCGAGCCCGACTTTCCGACAGGATGGGTAAATATCACTGCTTGACGCGTAGCTCAGTGTGGTGCGATCCTGGCCCCACCCATCCTGGTATCCCATCCCGCCGCTTTGGCGCGTGCTGGTACCGAGCTTTGATCCCGCTAAACCTGTCTTAGTGCAGGATTGGGGGATTGGGAATGTTAGAGATCAGGGTCCATCCCGTCCCAACTTCGTTTCTGCCGACACCCACTTCGCTGCCGACTCATCACGCCAGGTCTGGGTTTGGCTGTACAGTACACATCCGAGGCCGGAAGACTGTTTCTAACCTCTGCCAACCTCTTTATGTCCGTGCAGGCCAGAAAGTCATCATTCGATCAACTGCTATCTGATTCATACCTTCCAATTTAAACCGTCAAGCTGCCTCTATGCGTTTTTCGAATAGTCCAGCTAAAAAATGGGTGCCTTCATGGATTTTTGATAGAAGCATCAAGAAGCAGGTAGTTTCTCTAACGTCTATTGCATCCCAAACAGGTTTTGTAGCGTGCTGGTTTCCGCAGTTTACAGCTTCAGGCCCCTTAACCTAGACTCGGAAAGCCGAGCGCAAGGAACTCGGCAACCCAAGGGTCCCGCAAATCATGTCACAGACAGAGTCCTGTCTAGTATTTGACCTGGCTATGGTCCATTCTAGCTCGTAGTTTTCAGACAAGTTCCAGAGTACGTCCTATGTGGTCGTATTTCCCTTATCTATATATAGATTCAGATCTACCTCAGCTGAGATACTATCACCTGGGGCTTGAGTCTAGCCACAGAATCACTCAACAACACAAATATACATATCGTCTCCCAACTGTGAAAGTTGGGATCATCGTCTTTTGAAAGATCACTTATTGAAATCCATCTTACATTTGGTACAGACAAGTTCCACCTTTCAGACTCAGACTACTTCATTTGATGGCTTCAGCTATGGTTTGGAAATATAAGAGAGCCAAGGGCTTCCTCCGCAATTACAACTTTCACAGGCTATCCTTAATACAATTGGTTATTTCAAGTTGAAATCGCAGTTTGAATGCGTCTACCACACATGCAGAGCTGTCACATGATCGTGTCTTGGTTATTAATGGGGCTGAGACTAACATAATGCTTCTAGAATGTTTTTGGAATGCCCTAACGAAGTTGTGGGATGCCACTCAGTCCAGGACTCAGACTAATGAACTGACAAGGCCCTTAGGAATGCATCAGATGATATGAACAATTCACGATCTTACAGATGGAGTGCATTCTGGGATATTCTGGCGGGTAGACATGATATAGCAGCAGGCCCTCTGGTGTTTGTATGGTTAAACACTATATACCTGGGTTAAACTGCAAACAACCATGATAACCAAACGTAGCACATCACGTAATTCTTAAACTGAGAGTGAAGAGAAACAAAGCAGGCGCTTGTGCATATGTGCAAGATATAATAAGTTGCTAAAGCTGCTTTAGCTGTCTCTACAATACTTCATTACGTCGGCATGCAATAGACGCATGTGACAATCTTCAACGTTATCGGTGTGGTTCACCAGCGGTCAGACGCAGCCTAGTTAGGCCTGACTGTTGAGATTGGGACGCCAACGTGAGCGAACGCGCCAGGGCTGGTGACAGCGCAGCCAATTGCCGTGAGCCGAAAGCTTGGCACAAGTTGGTGGTAGCCTACGTCATGCGATCACACCTCGCCAAACCCATTCACTCGCTAAGAAACGATAGTTGAGCGCTTGCCGTGGTGAAGGCAAGCTTTCCAAGGTAAGCTCAGGGCCGGTCAGGTCGGGTTGGACGAGAGTACCTAACGCTGAATGTTGGGAAACCCGAAACCATAATAAGAGGCGCCTTGTCCTTCCACGCAAGCCTCTCTACGAACTTGTCTCCGACAAATCTAGGCAGCTACATTTTCGTCCTCTCACACTCTCTTCACCACCGACAGCAAACATCCAGACAGCTTTAGCTCTAGCTCTGCCCGTCTGTCCATTACGCATTTCCTCCAACCCCCCTTGACGCATCCGCAATACAGCCGTGAACACCACTACGACCATCGCCAAAATGGGTGCTGCTTCCGCCATCTTGATTGTCCTCATCACCATCCTTTGTAAGTAATTCCTCTACAGGGGATCTTGTATGCCAAGGACCGTGCAACTGCTTCAGATCCTCCAGTTGACTGACAGGGCGATTACAGTCCCTCCGATCGGTGTTTGGGCGGTCGCAGGATGTGGCGCTGACCTGTTTATTAACATCTGCCTTACGGTCCTTGGGTAAGTACCATCTTCGCAAGCATTCGCTGCGTGGAAACTGACAAGATGCTTTCAGGTACATTCCAGGCCATATTCACGCATTCTACATAGAATACGTGTATTACGACCGAAGGGAGCAGGCTCGAGAGGGTCGCTACGCTGCGCGCAGAGCCCCGGGTGTCTACAGCGATCGTGTTCAGACCGGTGGCCAAGGCTACGGCACGATGGCCCCGCCCACTGCTTAGAAGCCTTCCGGGCGCCGTTCGTGTTGGCGACCCTCTGGCGTTCCATGCACCTATGCCGATATCTCGAAGAAAATTCCCGCCCCCAGCGATCTACTATATAAACCAGGCAGATGCAATGTCGCCAGCGCACCTATCCAGTGCTTTCGAGCTCAGCCCGCAAGGACAGGTAAAAGAAAGTCTGCCCCTAGAGCGGCGTCGCACTGCAACTCTCTCGTCAACATGGCCAGACAGCTGGATCTTCAATTCAAAGTTGTGTTCACAGTCGCAAGCCGGCTGCGAGATACGCACCCTGCGATCTACCAACGGATGCATCGCGACTTGTATGGCACACTGTGGAGGATCATTATGCTGCTGCTGGCAATTTTATGGCATCTCAGGAGGTCCTAGGACCGCGACGGTTTCAGCGTTCTGCTTTCTGGCAAGTATGACAATTGTGGTGGTGGGTTTGAGTTAATACAGCGTTGCCTTTCACACAAATACAGATACAATGTTACTAATAAGCGATCTGTGCTGGTCAATGGTTTCTCCTGGCGACTGAAGATAAGCCATCGGATGTGTTGTCCGCTTGGACTCCCCTGCCGCCTTGAATTTACATGTATCAACAGTAACCTCATTGATCCGCGGTGCCGTTTGGAGCCCTGCCATTCATAGACCACCGGCAGCTTCCACGAATTTGGACAGGTGCCGCTGCTGCGGGCGTGCGGGAGCTGGTAGACCATCGACCACGTTGCCGCCTTTACAAATTGCTGCAGATGTCGAGGCCAGAACGGCGTGTACACGTAGCAGAGTTCACCCGAGCCCTCGTCGCCCATTAGCTGGCCGGGCGCACCTAGGCGTCGGAAGCGCGGATTGTATAGATGCGAGACCCAATCCGGTGCCATGGTTTTGGTGCTGGCCGAAATCCATGGATGGCGGGGCATGGCGCATTTCCCAAGGGTCAAGGGTTCTTCGAAGTGCGCAGAGGGCGTCGCCTCCAGAAACGTGCCTTAAAGCCGGCTTCAGACTCCTAGCTACGCCGGCATGGGTATAGATGCTATCCTTTGCGTGCAATCTTACCTATCGGAGTCCTTCGCCAACTCCGCCCGTGACTCTTTCTACAACAGACGAGAGGGATAACCCAATTATTACCACCTACTGTGCCACTGAAGGTTGTCGATCGAGATATCTGGAGAGTATTAAGCTGGCCCCTCCCTGCACGTTCTGAAAGGGAGTCGTCCTCCCGAAAGATAGACAGGACCAGGGTCAGCGTCCCCATTATTTCCCCTCTCGGATCCCTGTCGGCCATGCTCGAGCTGCCACGCCTTCGTGCAGCCCGCATTGCTTCTCGACTGAACATCCAACGACCACTCATCGTGAGGCTTTGCGACCTTTTGCAGACGGCAGGGCGAAAAGAAACACCTCTCTCTGGTCGCGGTCCATCGCCATCAATCCACCCGCTGCTTGCTCTCACAATATCTCTCGCTCCCAACGTCGACCGCAGCGAGCTCGATTCCGTTTCTTTTCCCCCGTCCGTTTCTCCTCTTTCCAAGGCCCACCCGATGCAACGCAACGAACAGACGCGCCGCATTGATTGACCTGCTGCGCTCCGTTGTCTTTTGTCTCGCATCTCAGGAACGACTGCAGGCGTTCCGGGCGTCTGTGGGAGCGTTTCCTCATCCCCACCCCACTTCAACACACCCAAATCTACGCTTCAGCGTTGTGTGCGTCCATCCAGGCCGTCTCTGCTCCGCATGTTCGTACGGATCACTACACACACTCGTACACACCTACACGCGCGCACTCAACGTACATACCCTCCAGAGACACGCATAGCTAGCTACATCCTGCCTTTCTGAACACCCGCCGCCCGGCGCGCGCATGAGTGTGTCCCTTGGCAACTGGCCCAAGACCATGTCTGCTGGCTCTTTGTGCTGAGCTCCCTTCGAGTCCAATCTGCATCAAGCTCCGGGGCCAAGCATAGCGCTGATAGTACACTTCACCCTTCCACGATTGGAATGTGGGAAAAGGCACATACAGACTCTGCATATACATACGTCTCTTTGAACTAGGCGCATACGGCATACAGCATAGCCGCACATCTCATACGGACCCACGACTACCTACAGCCGTCCATCCATCCTGCTGACAGGTTATCTGCAACGATCCTGTTCGACGCTCTACCCGGCTGCCATACCTGTTTCTGCGGGTTTACAGCTGTTCATGCATATATGAGATGGCGTACGTCCTTCATCGGCCCCAGCAGCAACCCGATGCCATGTCGCCGCCGGAACCAGATACACCACCTCGGCCACGTCCTCAATCTCGCCATCTAGAACTTCATCCTCCCCCTTTCCATCCCCACCAGCCGCCTTCGTCCCGCCATCCTCCGCCCTTGTCCAAGTCTCCAAACCCTCGTCGCCACTCTCTTCCTTTCTTCACATTTCCTCACCTCTCCCAGCCCAACACCTCCAGCATCTCGCTCGTGCCCTCCACTGCTGAGGGGAAACCAATTCCTCTCGACGACGCCACCACGGCAGATCGGACGAGCGCACTACGGGAACTCAATCGCTCCCAGCCGTCCGCCCGCCATCGCTATACTAAGAGCAGCGGCGCTCCCAGCACTGCTACGACGACGACCACCGGTACCTACTCTCAGCCCGTCATTGTGCGGACGTATTCGGGCCCTCCCCCTTCCTCCACAGGCAGCCGGCCAGCAAGCCGTCGAATACCTCTGTCTCCAGCGTCGGTCATACCCAACACGTCTAATTGGCGGCCCGGTCGTAATGGCATGGTACTGAGCATGGCGCGCCACCAGGGCCACAAGAAGTCACAGCGGGGTGAAGATGCCAAGCTGCCACCTCTCGAGGCCTTTAGCTTCAAGAGTATCATGGCAGACATTCAACAGGACATTGGTGCAGACTTGGACCGGATAGCTGAGATCTGCGCCAGGTCCAAGTACTCGCTCAGCAACCAGTACGAGGTGCACGTCGCACCACACGGGTCGGGGGCCAGCTTCCTGGCGTCTGCGCCTAGCTCTTCGAGAAACCATGTTGCGGGTGGGCCAACGCTGCAGGCAATCTCGAGCGACGATGAGCGTAGCAGCACAAGGCACAAGAAACGGCGGAGTGGGCCGCGGCGACGGAGCGCGGCCTATGGTACTCTGGAAACCATCATGAGCTCGAGCCGTTCTTCTGAGGAAGACAAGAGCAAGAAAAAGTCGGCACAAGAATTAGCAGACGATGTCCGAGGCCGGACCTCGAGGCATCCTAATACAGAAAGTAGTACCTCACAGAGCGGTACCGGTCAATCCCAAGATGGGAAGAAAGTTGCTCGCAAGAAGTCGACATCATTTGCGACCGCTATGTTGGACACTGCGTCTCCACGTGCATCTGGGAATGCTCTGGTAAGCGAGCCAGCAAAGCCCAAGACCTCGAGAAGTCACCTCGAGATCAGAACAGCTCAGGAGGATCTTGCGGCAGAAAACTATACCCACGAGCCACCTGGCGAGCCCTCGCAGCCTGTCGTCTCCGACTCGGTAGCTGCTGCGGCAATCGCCAGCCCGGACGAACCAAGGAGCTCGTCGGGGCTTCTCTCGGGTTTAAGTAGCTGGATACCCTGGCGCGGCGGCTCATCCGTCACCGAGGTCGCTTCCTCGGAGCAGAAAGGTGGTCGGGGGAAGAGTTATGCGGAGGGAAGCTTGAGACATTTGTTGAAATCGACAGATGGCTCTATCGGGCCGGTAGATGTCAAAGGGAAAGGCGTCGGACGGTGAGACATGAAAAGTTCTGGGACTTTGATCCTTGCTCTGGCAATTTGCCAAGCAGACACTATCATACAAAGACTTTGCCCGGACAGGATACCATAAACGACGGCAAGGATTACGAAAAGGGAAGGGGCGTCTGTTTTACAGGTCGCAAAAGGCTACAGACTTTGGGGCCAAGTGAGAGAGTGTACTGTCATTTTGAGTAGGTCGAAATTTCGATTGAAGAACCCTTTGGCAATAAAGGGAATGGCATGCCTGGCACTTGTACAGATTATGTATTACTACTTCACGATTGACGATAACCACGATTTCATGAGGACGGCCATTGGATGGATGGTAATGAAAAAGAACGAGTTTGGCGGTTTCTTGGCAAGCAACCTTTGTATGTGATCATTTTGTGAAACGACCTGTGACGAAGAAGCAGCGAATGTCATATGATCCAAAGGTTGTCTCCCTTTTCCGTTACGATCGCATGCCTTGGGGGTTCATGAGGAGTCGGCCTTCAAGAGCCGTTCCGTCAACACGAGACTCGAAACGGAGGCGGTTTAACAGGTCTGGGGTCATCTTTCACCATGAATAGACTCGAGCGAGCTGTATAAACAAAGCTAGACATGCGACTCTTGACGGGGGCAAACAAATTGTCTTGAGGAATGCCTCAGAAACTTACACGGTAGTCTTCGTCTGACTCATGGGACATGCCTCCAGAGAAGCAACTCGGCATTTCGCCCCTGTTAATATCTCGAAGCCAGTTGAAAAATGGAAGTCGAGCCCGTGGCCAATATTCAATTTCCGCTTCGGCGCAAATGTAGTGGAGGACATGGAGACTAGGGGCCCGTGTCAAGGGACGTTGCAGTTCATGGGAAATTTGAATGAGACCACTTGACTGGAAAACAATTCCCTCTTTCATCCCAACTAACTTGCTTTGCAAAATACCCTTGGTTCAAACCCTTTGATGATTTCACTCCTGGTCATAGAATACAGCAGAACACGGAGTAAGAACAAGATTCATGATCAATTATTGGCTACTTCGTACCTCAAGTAAACGCGACATGGCATTTCGAAGGAAACTGTCGGTCCTAACTCACTCGTTTAAAATCGCGAGTCATCTACATTCTAACTGAGTATTGGTCCAGCAACCCATGGCGTACGAACCCGTGGCCTACATCTAGAGTGCCTACGCAAATCAACCAATTTGTTTCAATGAAGGCAAGGAATATTTTCAAGAGATAGCCATAAAGCCGAAGAGATTTAGTGCTCCTGCTCTTAAAGATAGGTAGAGTAATGTCTTATCTTCATTATTTAGGAGGCAACTGCTGCAGCAACGCTACGGTCTGGCGCCCTGAAGTCCTTGGATTTCTACGATATGCGGAGTACTTGGATATGTCGACAGAGAAACTTATCTCTTCTTGGAAAGTTAGGAAATACGTGAAAGCATAGATGCAATTATTGGTGGAGAAGAATGTGGTTGTACTCTCATCACTGTTAAAGCATACCAGCTCGGAGGTAAGCGAACATGAAAACAAAGATTCAACAACGACAGGCTCCCTCTCTCACTTCTGTTATTTTATTATTAATAATAGCCCCCACTGTACTAAAGACTGCAATGAGGAAGATTTTTTTTATATATCATCCAGGGCTTATTAGTCACATGCCCTGATGGAAAGGTTCAGAATTATACCAGCAAGAAGCTCCGAGAGACGCCTTATGATTTCAGTGTAGAACACCAGTAAAATTGAGTGATGGTTCATAGCATTATAATCCCCAGAAATTGTTTAAAAATCCCCCTTCTCCCCCTTCCCCCCCCGGTTTGTAGGGGCGGAAAAAGCCTCGGCTTAGAACTATCACACAATATAGGAAAGATGATAAAACAGAACCCAAGCCGCTACATAATGGTAGCGTCATAACTGAGAGTCATAGAAGCCGAGGCGCCCAAGCAGCGTATCCACACCAAGTCGGTGACAAGTGCTGAAGCCAACTCTTCGTCAACATCTGTCAAGACCGTTGCTGTCAAGGCTGCGAAGAAGAAATCTGATGTTGTTTTGCACAAGGTGCTCGCTTAGATGCTCCCCAATGATAAATCAAGAGTAAACGAATAATATACTGGCTTTGGCCATTGATGTGAGCCTAAATATCAGCGCTCAAAGAAGAAGTGGACAGGACGAAGAAGGGAATGAGAAAAGGCGTCGAACATAGTGAAAGAACCTTTACAGGAGACATCTAGCTGTTAAAAGGCTCGCAGGCATCGAGTCTCAAGTGATTAGCAATGTAGGAAGGGGATAGGAGCGGAAGTACTAGATAGCAAGAGTCTATGCATCACAATTAGGGGCACTTTCAAATGAGTTTGAGAGCAACGGTAGGAATGATATGATATTTTCATTCAATCACAGCATGATCCAATCACCCAAAGATCTCTACATCTAATGTATCGGTGCTGTGAAATTGAAACCCAAGAGGATGTAAGTTCAAGTTAATGCGTCTTATAGAAGAAACAGGATGCATGATTTTGTCATATCTTTGCAAATAATGATTACGAAGAAAGTCTTAGGATATCCAAGCCTGAGGCCAAAACGCTTAACATTATTTGGGGACAGGTAGGTTGGCCTTTCTGGTATGAAGTCCATTTCATAGTACACGTACTGCTATGAGAAAGGTGGCCCGTAGACGGCGGCTTCAACTAGGAGCTGTCTGCGTATAGGTCGCTAGGATAAGGTCTGCTGTTAACCAAGTTGAGAGAAGTATAATTGAACCTTGACTCGATTGTGCGTGCTCTGAGGCACCCGAAAATCGCTCGATAGCTTCAGTTCAAGACCAGAACCTTTTCGTAGAATTACGGAGTGACCGTAGACTTCGTATCGTGCAGATAAGGCAACTTTAATTATCTGTTCGAGGCCCGTGTTATGGCGGTCGTTCTTACTGATCATTGAGGTTGTATTTTCTCGAAATCATTCGCCATAACAGGATCGTGAAAGAAGGGATCTCCGCAATATACCAAACCTATCACATGTGGCCAGTGAGGGATAAGCTCTTGTCCAAGAACTTGAGGCGTTCTCGGACCCTTCCGTATCCTATGGTCGGCTTTCGACCCGCAAAACACTTGTGTAGGTATTGCCTCACTGGGAACGCGTGGCACTACATGCATACACAGCTGTCTGTTGCTGAAGTTCGAAGCCCACAGATTCCACCTCTATTCGACGGTACTGAGTGTCGTTCATACTAATATATGTGAATCGTGCGAGTTCTTGGTGCTCCTCGACAATAGCTCCTTCGTTCGGCGCTCTGTATGCAGTATGTAGGAAAGCTGTCAATATTCCTGGGTCTCTCAGCCTGTTTGGCGATAGGTTATGTAGAAACCCCGATACGTCTTCTCTGCAAGGCGGACATGCTCCGAGGCTGTACATTGTCTCTATCAGGGAGCAACCGACTGCCGAACCGATTTCCGCCGCCATCCGAAGGTCTTGCCGATAACCGGCAGCTTGCAGGGGACGACTCCACATTACGCAACGCACCTGCATATCATGAAAAACAAACCCTGGGAGAATTGTGCAAGGGCGCAGCTTTAATCATGCCAAGATGCGGCGACGTCCGTGGGTATCGTCAATGGCTTGCCACGTGCAGCTGTGCTACGCGCCGTGACTGATGCCAACTTGGGCTGGTCGCAGGAGAAGCGAAGCGCGTATACACGACTTTTGAAGGGAGCATGATTGAGTACCTATGTACAGTTAGATAAGCGAGGTTTGGCAACTAAATTGACGTGGCCGAGCCTCAGCCAGAATATAAGGTTCAGGCTGTAATGATTGTGCGCCGGTCATTTCGGCCCTTGGCATCACGACATTCCATATCGTAATGACCAAATCCTGCGGGGAAGAGATTTGACACGTCTGTGCAATGTCGGTGTGTAGCACGTCGCATAATCTTGTGCACTCAAGAGGCACTAATCCTCCAGGCATAAGTGGTAACGAGTAGGTCAGGCATGTGTTAGCTTCCGTAAATGACTCGAAGCATTCGTGCGCGCCATCCGTTGCGGGTGGCCGAGATCCAGCTACTTGCTACTTAGATGGGTGTCACAGCCAACTACTCCATCAGCCAAACTATGAGCAGTGGCTAATACTTAGTTACTAGCTGGTGGGATCTTACCAGCTTCCCGGGACCCTTGCACGCGAAAGGATGGGGAACAGGCGTCGGGGAGACATGTTTGCTCGCAAGTTTATGTTCCCATGCCTACATACAGCTACAGCATGTACAGGTAACTTGCTGAATCTACGTCGGCATCCCATCGGGGAGGATGGTCCTACTATGTACGCCATCATCGCCAACCAAGGGTAATGATCAACCAACAGTGAGGGAGTCTCTGTAGCTATAATCGCAGAGGCAACGGATTGCAAGCTGCATCGGCATCAGGATGATTTGTCCGAGATGGCTTCGTGCGGACACTGGACAAAAAGCCATCAATGGATCGCAAGAGCCAAGTTCCTAGCGCTGAAGGAGCGCTCCAGATTTCCCGGTTGATGGCCCAGATATCTCCGTAAACGGGCGTCAGCGTAATCCTTGCTGGTCAGGTTACTCAAAGTGTGGTGCAAATCCGTGCAGAATGATGCGATGGGTCCCAATGCAGTAGGTAGTTCAGTTGGCCTGGGCATGATTTAATGACCGGAGCCCACTGTGGTGCCTGTTGTTTTAGTGGGTAAAAGATACTTTAACCACTGAACGGGTCGAATCACAGGGCTGACTCGGCTGGCCTGGCTCTTTCTGACGAGGATAAACCGAGCTTGCATCCCCGCGTTCTTCCCGACCCGTTTTCATCCTGCCACTTGACTTACGGCATTTTCTAGATCTTGGTAGATGTATCAAGTGAGATGGTTGATTGTGACTGAAGCCACGCACCCCTCTCTCTGTGAAGAGGGCCGGTTTTCGGAGCCATGGAGATGGAAGATATGAGCCTCGAAGTCGCCGAGAAAGACACCGCAGCAGAAATCGCAGCAGAAGCAGCCGTGGCCGATCCCGCGAATCGGCAAGTAAAGCGCTCGTCCAACACCAGAGTATGTGTCCAAACCAGCCCATTCCTCTGTCCTCGTTTGTAAAAGCTCACGTGAACCGAAATAAACAGACTTGCCAGCCCTGTCGATTAAGGAAAGTGAAATGTTTGCTGGGCGATGGGACGTCCTGTGCAAATTGTGAACGCCTGGGATTCACATGCTCATTTGGTGATGTGTCCCCGCAGGGAGATGGTGAGAATGCAGCCGTCACGCTGCCACGACGGCGCGTGAGGTTGGCATGTATCAATTGCCATTCCAGAAAAGCGAGATGCACTGGGGAGACGCCGACTTGCGCAAGATGCCAGGCGCAAGGGATTGAATGTGTGTACCGTCCCACCAAGCGTTCGGGAGGCGCCATTACCGGCCAAATCGGCGACTCGGAGCACGAGTCTGTCTCGTCAGAGCCACCAGAGAAAAGGCGGCTGACGCAGGACGAGGCCTGCGCCCGGAATGGAAGAAACTCAGGACATGACCAGCCAAATTTTATGGGCGGATATAGCGCATGGCCCCCCAATCATGAACCGTAAGTAGTCCGTGGGAAGGGAGTGAACTTCATTGACCCAGACGCAGAAATATCACGTTTCCGGACGAAACCATCATCACACGCACTTTTAACAACTTCTTCCGGCACATACACCATGTGCCAGTTTTCTCTTTCCTTCATCGGGCATCACTTATGCAGAGGTACCATGCTGGGATGATGGACAAACCACTGCTGCTTGCGCTCGTTGGTATAACGTCATTACTCACGGATTTGGGACCAGGAATGAGAGAATATGGAACCAAATGCATCGACGAGTGCCAGAGGATGATCCTGGCGGATTTGGAGAACCCATCGACAATCAAGATTCAGGCATTGGTGCTCATCATGAAGCATCGAATGTTCAATCGCCGCTTCACTTCAGCTTTTATGCTGGCATCCTTGGCTGGCCGGTTTTCGTACGCGTTGCGGCTCAACTACGAAAACCCGAACTTGTGCTTCTTGGCAAGAGAGTCTAGGAGGAGACTCATGTGGGCGTTCCTCACCATCGACTCGGGGATTAATGGGGGTTATCCTGACTTCACCATTCTTCCATCAGAGGCTCTACACATTCAGCTTCCGTGTAACGAGCGCAACTTTGAGTTCGATCTACCGCAGACCACAGGCCATTTGAAGCCAATACCGGATAGGCCCTTCCCAGATGATATAGGGTCACTAGCACTCCATGTGCGCTTGCTGTGGATCAGGAGCCGAATTCTGTACTGCACCAAGAATGTCATCGCAATGCCCGAGACCGAGCTCGCCGAGCTTCCGCGATTAGTTGAAGTGCTCGCTCAGGAGTTGAAGGGCTTTAATGAGCATCTCCCTGCCTCATTCAGGTTTTCTGAAAGCAATCTCAGACTCCGCGCCTATTCGCCACGCCTATGCGTGTTCATCATGATTCACATATGGTGGCGTCAATGCCACTGTGATCTGTACCGAATAGTCATGACAGGCCTCAAAGAGGCCCTTCCGCGCTCGGCGCTTGATCGACTTCCCCCTCAATTCGTTGCGCTATGTGAGCGACAATGCTTTGAACATGCCTCAGCGATAGTGGAGATATTCAGATTGATCCTGTCGCTTGATGGAGGATTGCCGGTGACAGATCTTGATCTCTCAGGATGCGCATACCAGTGTGCCCGAATGCTTTATTTCGCACACCATATGAACTCCACCGAATTTCATCTAGGAGCGGATCAAGTCCATGAGTATGCGCAGAAGTGTTTGCAGATTACCAGGCACATGATTCATATCCCTGCGGGACTTGCCATTGTAAGTTTCAGGCTCCGTGGTCTATTGATGTCAGTCAATTCTAACCCTCGACTTAGCACAACGACCTTGAGAAGCTTGTGGCTCGTGGACTGTCAGCTAGCACCACTCCGAGCCATCCTGGGAGTCCCGCTGCAACTAGAATACCTCCGAGACAAGTTCTCTCGCGACATAACCCGGTACACCAGATGAACGTCATCGACCACAGCGAGATTCCTCCTGCCCAGTCCCCATCGGTCCCAATACTATCTCCGCTGACACATGGTAATGTGAGCGGTGGTTCAGGTCATCAGACCCCCGTTTCACACCCGACACCTTCAGGTCGGCCAGTCCCGTATGGGGAAATGCCGACTTATATCAATGATGCCAACATGCCCAAACCAAACCTACCTCCGGTCGATCCTCCCGAAGGTCTTGACAACAACAATGCTTTTGAGGGCGCCATGGACGGTTTCGACTTCAACTTTGAGTCTTTCGGAAACACTGGATTGGAGTCGGTTTCTTGGTTTTCGCAAGAATGGTTGAATCAAGAATACCCACAAGCGACAATTTCAGGATCTTGAGGTTCGAGAGTTCCACCACCAGATACCTTCCTCAAGCCACCATTTTGGTAGCAACGGCTCATACGAACCACAATGCTACAATGCACGCATAACTGGGCTTTCCCCCGAAGCTGGGGCTTACATTAGGCCTATCGGATCCCGCGACACATCATCGCCGCAATCAATAGGAGCGTGCTCCAGAAAGCGCCTCAGGCTCGGGTAAGTTACGTTACGCAAATCCCAATCATCACGAGAGATCGTAATGGTTCCCAAGTTTTGGGACGCTGTCTGGAACAAGCAATAAAAGGGATCTTGGATCCTCATAACACCTACTACAGGTGTATTTCATGTCTCTACGGATCATCATACCATGCCCTTATGCCAGAAGGTTTGGATTTTCAAAAGTGATCCCACCCCGCAAGTCGCAAGATCAGGCCGTTTTGGGGGACTTACCGAATTCAATTTCGACGTCTTCTGGCTCATAAGGAATATACGGACGCATACATGACGTCATGAGCGGTTGGACAATATGTTACACCGAAGTTAGCACTGGAAGAAGGTTTTGAATTTCTGAAGAGATACCCATAGCATGAAAAGAAAAAATGTAACGTTAAAGATATTACGTCTTTCGCCACCTGACCACGCCGATGGATGGATACTCAGTGCAAATTCTACGAGGTTTCAGTCACAAATGACATTCCCCATACAAATGGAGGCTCTTCTCACGAATTTTATAGGGGAAAAAAAAGGTACACAGCTGATCCTATAAGTCTACGTATAAAAAGCAAGTATAAGCTGTTCGGCTACATGCTATCACACATTCGTGCAAAAACGAAGAACTGTCTCAAAGAGCAAGGCACCAGAGTCATTACCAATGTAAAAGCATAGATCACAAAAGCCATAGCGTCATATAGAAGCCTACAGCGATAGATGGAGCCGAAAGGACCACACCAGAACCAATCAACTGCCAATAATTTCCTATGATCCTCAGACGTTTACCGCTGAGATTTATTCCTTTGATAGGAATAAACCACAAGTCGGGACCGAAGGGGCTCGTGCACTAGGAATCAACCCTTAGATACAACCACTGACGGAACTCGTCAAATAATGGTCTAATTGATAGGCGGACAGTCCATAACAGTGTCATGCCAGTTTTCATGCTAAAAAAAATCAATTCAGTGCTAAGTCTGTCATGATAGTAATGTCAAATTAGAGCTGGATAGGAATGACTAGTTTACCTGGTTGTTGTTTCAATATGAGACGAGGGACATCTAAACAAAGGACTACAATGCGTCTGCGCATCCGCCGTCTAGTTCTCTCTACGAAGTGTAGAGGCATGAGTATCATGTCTTGGAAAGCACAGGTTAGTTGCTGATCAAACTTGACGTACCAAGAAATCAGACCTCAATCCTAATGCACATTTTGCGCCTAGACACAATTCTACTGCGCGGCCAGAAATCAAGACTGTTATAGAAAAACAAATTTAATTTTTTGTCTTGAAATATCCCTTCAAAGTTTGTTAACTGCCTAGGTACCTCAGATAGTTCACTACCCAGGTACCTATGTAGGCTTGTAAATGCTTCGAATGTGATTAGTATATGAAAGATATCGTCGCGGATCCGGAAGGATAGATCATAGGGAGATGTTGTGTCTCTACTGTGAACCCAATTGTATCAAAGCCTTTAATTGAGCTTTGCTCGGGAATGTTCTCCAGCGAATGCCCGGTGATCCTTCAGGAGTGACGTCCGAAATGTGGGGTAGAACCCTGTTGGCCGATGTTCTGTCACCTGTATCGACAAGGCACAGGGCCTGTCTTTGACAACCGTCGGCTGTTCGCAAATATGCTTCATTGCTATTTGCACGAGCTGGGTCCTCATAGTTACATCTCCCGTTCAGATTCGATTCTAGTTCAGGCGGGTCCGCAACCATCATCCATTGATCGGCTCCGAGAGGCTTGAAATCTAAAGCAACGCCCACGAAGAACAAGATGATCACGGCTTCGGACACTAAAGGCTTACAACAACCCAATGTATCCGACGGCCAACGATTCACATTATTTCCGGAGCTTCCGACTGAGCTGCGCCTTAAGATATGGCGGCTTTCACTCACACCCCGCGTCGTGGAGCTGCATTCGCGAAGGGCGCACTACGCCATGTCGGACAATGCAAAGTGGCACTCGAGCTGCGGCAACCCGGCTGCGCTGTCGGTCTGCTGGGAGTCGCGCGATGAGGCCTGGTCCTTCTACTCGGTCGCGCTGCCGATCGGTGACGATGATCGGCTGGAGCGGGTGCTGTATATAAACCCGGCCTGTGACACCGTCGTTGTCCTCGGGGACCTGGACTACCGCCGGTTGCTTGACTTATTCGTGACCATCGCGACGTTGGACCCGACGCGGGTGGGATTGCGTCGTCTTGGGCTCAGCATCGCCTGTTGGGCTCATGGGTTTGCCGGGGCGACCCTGCGTATATGGGCGCGATCGCTGTTCAGTGAGCTCAAGCAATTCTACATGGTGATGTACACAGAGCGAGTTCCACCGGCAAAATTCCGTTACGGCGAATGTTTCCTAGAGGAGTGTCAGGGGATGGATCCCTTCATGAGGGCATCGATCGGCCGCTCTGGCGATGGTGGAGGCGGGGACTCGTTAATGATTGTGGGAAGGACGGAAATGCGTGTCATGAATTTGTCGTTCATATCAGGTCCGGTGATGTAATTTTAAATGCATAATAAGGGGATGGAGTGGAGATGCTGATGCTTTGTCTTTGCGGAATGTCCTGCTGCCCACCCACAAGTGACACAGTGCTAGGCTACCTCTAATAGTCTATTGCCACTTCCTGTACCACAGATCGTGTGTCATCATCACTGGACTTTATTACTGGATCACAGTGCATCCATATCTGATGCTGTTCCAAGTCCCATCCTCGCAAGCTCCAGAGATACCTGCGTTCACTAGGTATAATCCCGTTCTCGTTTCGGCCGTCTTCTTCCATCACGACTAAAGCTCGCAGTGCCTTGATGAATCCCAGGTTGCCCCAGCCCCCTTGGCGGAAGATGAGGCGAATGGATGTATCGAGGGCGTACTGTCTTACATGCAGGTCTCTGCATTTGGCTATGGTGAAGCCGAGCCATGGAAAGAGATTAAAACCGACCGTTAACCTCATACGCCCAGAGTTTTCGCTGTGGGAGAAGATCTCCGCTATATCCACGATCTGTTGGAAGTCTTTTGTGTGCGTATCATAAGCCATTTCCGTCATGTCAAGACAGCAGCTCATGTATATCCTTGTAACCAGAATCTGCAACTTGGTAAACAAGAGTTCTCGCTGGACTTTAGCATCTCGGTTCTTCTTGGCATGCTTGTCTACCACTTCTTGCCATTCATCCATCTCGGATGCCCGGCTGTGCAGGTTCTCATTCAGCTCCCACAAGTTAGATTGCTGTACACGATGACCGCATGCAATCTTGACTATAAAAGGCCGAACCGACCCAAACGCGTGGCTCCATTGATGTAACACCGAAGTTGTTGGTACGGACTCCTGGGGAGGGCGAGCATGGTCCCACGTCGGTATTCCTGCGTGAGTCTTGATCTGTTCGGGAACTCCAGAAAAGCATCGAATGAGACCGGTGATCATGGAAAATCGTTTGAAGATGGTTTCGGTCATGGTCCATTCGGAGTCGGGATCAAAATCACCACCCCTCGACGCGTTTTCGATAAGTGAAAGTCCACTGTCAACGAGTTTGACAGCTGCTCCGACATTTCCTTGCATCATTTCCATCACGATGAAGACAATTGTGCAAATTAGCAATCGTCTCGAAACATAGCTTTTGGCAATAGAATCCTTGTTTTTCTCAGAGTTCTCCCGACACATAGAAATTGCGTTCAAGTAGTGAGACAGTGCGGCGCGATGGTCGTTGCTCTCAAGTCTGGGGAGCTTGGGATGTTCCAAAGACGAATTTAGGTCTTTCAGTGCTTCGTCTGATTGTGCTTTCGGAACCCATGACGCTCGTGTCAGGGCTGATAATCCCAGGATCGAATGTCGAATGCATTCGTCCTCCAGAGACTCGCGCATGACGAGACTATCCCAAAAGCCGGGTCCCGTCCACCCGTTGAAGTCCTCAACGACATGGTATCGAAAGGCATCAAAATAAGAAGCATCCTGACTATTGAGAAGAACAGGTGGAAGGGATATGTTGAGGGACATGTGAGCAGGGCAAATGCCGTTTACGGGGATGATTCTGCGCTGCAATGGCTTGGGCCGTAGGTCGGCAGGCTCGACGAATTGTCGGTCTGTTCCATCTGCAGGACGGGGCCTTGGCCTGTCAACAGGGTCCTTATACCCCTCGCACCGAAAGCCCCCTTTCTCGCAGCGAGAGCATACGGGCTTGCGCTCGTCACATTTAACGCGGCGCCCTAGGGTTGTTACATAACCGCCAAGAACGGATGTGAGAACAGAATCCTCGCTCACCTTTGCATGTTGTACAGCCAGTCTTGACCTTGGGACGTGAGACTCGTTGTAACTTATGCTGCGGTCCTCTATCGAGGAGCTTCCAACAGTCCCTCGCTGGTACCATTTGAGCTTTTCCCCTTCTGGCGACTAGTGTCGAACAATATCGATGGGCTCGTAGGCTTGCGCAGGCTGGGGACAAACCCTTGAAATGATAGGTGTTTGCAGTCCGATTTGCGCAGTGCGTCAGCTGAGACTGCTACGCCCAAAATCTGTCCATTTACTTCAAGACGAGTCTTCTGCTGGCCGCATCTGTTTTCTAAGCTTACGACTGGTGTGAGAAAGTGGAGGATTATCGGCAAAGCCCGGCGCCATCTTTAGCTGAGCTAGCTTACTCCTCGTAATTCCACAGCCAATCATGGGGCAGAAGGTTATGTCGGCCTTTCTGTCAGCCTTTCTGTCAGAAAACCATCTTCTTGGCCTGTTATAGATGGCAACCAAACAATAATAGCATTCCAGAGGTTTGTTAAATGCTAACGTGTAGATCAAGATGCAGGTCGTTCTTTATGGGCTACGGAGACCACAACCACCAACTGGGTTCACAAATTCTCAAAAGTTTGGCTACATCAAAGATACGGTAGGGAGGTTATTATGAATCTATATTATACCTTGATTATGGCGCAGCCTCTTCTGGTCTGTTGCGGTTACAAGGCGACCAACTTCTTTGCTTCCTGGAAACTCTGTCCTAGTTGAGCCAAATGGACCACATCCGCATCGTAAGTAATCACTGAAATGAGTTAATATGCCGTTCACCGGAGGGAGCTTTGTCACAATCTGTCTTACTTGAGTAACCCTTCTCCGCAACTTCCTTGATCTGCGGACCGAAACCAAAACCGGCACGCGGCTTGTTGTGCTTCTTTAGCGTCGATTCGAACTTCTGGACCGCAGCCTGCCACTCTGGCTCGGATCCGCCCATTCCACCATTCCCGGCCAAGTTCATGCTAATACGAGCATCTAACGAACCCAACCACACGGCATCGATATCGGGGCATTCTGTTAGCATGGCATCGAGATTGTTGATACCCTCTAGGCTTTCGATCTGAATCATAACGGCGGCCTGCTGGTTGAGTGACTTGTGGATGTCGTTGCCAATCATCGGCATATCGGTCAGGCCCGGGACCAGGCGGAAAGGCGGCGCCGATCGGGTACCATTCTGCTTGGTGCCGTATTTGGCTGCTGAAACTACGTGCTTGCACTGCTCGACAGTGTCGACTTGGGGCACCACGATACTGGCGCCGCAGTCCAAAGCGTAGCCAATAGCTGCGTGGTCGTGGCCAGGGACACTTTTTACGGAAAGTTAGCCACGGCGGCGACTGTGATGATGGAAGTGAGTTACATACCGCACCCATGGAATCGTCTTGCCACCGCTCATGAAAATAGTCTCGTGCACAATCTAGTTGGAGAATTAGACATTCATATTCTCATACAGGCACAGTCGACTGCGAGATTACTGTAGTCATGGTCTCCACATTGCATGATGTATGTTCCCAGTCGATCCACACGGCATCGAAACCGAACGGCGCTAACAACCTAGCTACGGGTATTGAGCTGATGCCATAGTAGACGCAAAGCATGGGAGGAATCCTTTTCTCATGTGCATCACGAATGGCCTGGCGAGCGTTGTGAGGCTGGAACCAGGAGGGAGCGGCGTAGGCAAGCATGCCTTGGTCACCGGTGTCATTGGTGGTGCCGTTCGTAGTGCCGTTCGTGGTGCTCATGGTGTCTTGCTCAAGTGTTGGGACGACTTCGTGTCCTTGGTTCAAATGTTGTCTAGAACGTAACACAATCGTGAGGACTGGGCCCAGTGGAAAACGATCGAGACATGGCGCTACTTATAGTCAAGTGGCCTTGACACTGGGACATGAATTGGGCAGTATTCCGTGGCATATCAGGTCATTGTGCGCAGGGAAATTCCCAAGTGGAAATCCGGGTCGATACCCCCTGTGCTAGTGGATACAGCAGCTGGGGGCCCCTATCCTGTTCAGGTTGCATTTAAGTCAAGTAAAGCTAGAACCAACATAGTGATGCTGCCTGTGTTGTGTAATGCCGTCGGCTTTAAGACAACTTGGCCTGATTGTCACTAATACCATAACTAATCCAGTCAGCTGTTCATCTACGGATGACCCCAGGACCACATCCCACATAGCCGCACCAGAAGGCTGATTTCAAGTTGGTAAGTCAGCATTTAGGGCTTCTTGTGGGTGGATCATACACGGAAGGATGTACGGAGTACATACTTGATGATTCAGATAGCGCCGGTGGTATCGCTCTCCACAACGGGCCGCATAAAACTCCACAGGAACTTCGGGTCAACGCCCTAAATCCATCGGCGAGATAATTATCACCCTGGCTCCGATCCATCCCAGACAGTCTAGCCGGGGGCCATTGGGCAACACATTTTTGGGTATGTACAGTGACAAGGGCACGAGCGGCCTAATCCTATGCCGATTGGAAATGCTGCTATTAGTAGCAACCACGGAGCAAGAGACCTTGCGACGCAAGGGTAATTCCCACTTCCCTGAGGCGGTCAACCTGGGTTGCCTGGTGATGTCTCGGGCCTTTACCCCTTTGAATAGTTTTGGCCCGAAGGAAAGTAGCAAACGGGCTGCCACTATAAGCCAAGATTGATCGACTTTGTCAGCGTAATATATTCTTGGCACTTCGATCACATCATGGGGTCGGCCGTGTTAGAGCTTCCGAGACGGCCGCTCAGATGCAAGGCTGCCTTAAATGACGGTCAGCGAGGTTAGCTCCGGCCGGGAGGTGCACTAAGTCCGTAATTTGCGATCTCAAGCCCCTGACAGTCCGACGAAATCTCAATTCGGATGCGGTGTTCTACGGAGCCCGGCGTATACTCCTTCCACACAGCGGGCGCAGCTAAGAATTGCTTGTCTCCGAAACCCGCCAGCGTCGCACGGCCGCTCACAGTCTGAGATGACTAATAGTGCGACAGACCAAGTGGCCAGAGGTAAACAAAACGGACGATATCCAGGGCTGGTCCGAGAACACGATTGTTCGAGGGAATTGAAACTTCCGACAATTCCCCTACTTTCACGCAACTTCTCATCCCGCAGGTGAGTTTTCAAAGAATACTTGAGTTTGAGACTTTGAGCTGGTGGGGTCACGTCAGGTATATCCGAGGCGTTCGCAACAATGCCGATCCTGTGTGCTGGTATATGGGGCTGAATACCGACAGTGTATGAACATCAATGATGCTGGCGCGGCGTTGATGTTTATACCCTAGTGAAATGTCAAGTTTCTCCCGGGTGCTCTTTCGTCAGCCTCATATACCAAGTAAACTCTCGGTTATCGAGATGGACATGCAGCAGGCAGGTGTAGACACGACCAATCGGACCCACAGAGCACTTCACCCCCACGCTCAACGGGATTGCGGCTCAGTAGGCCTGGAGGAGACCAGCTTTGGCCAATGGCACAGTACATTCATCGGAGGCTCTGCCCCACGACGACCTCAGGCACGGATGACATGTGGCAAGGCGTTTGGCTGGCTGCCAGGCGGCATATGTGCCTGTAGGCAAGCCGCCCTGTGCGACGTGTTCAGCCTGTCTGACGTTTGTCTCACCTTCGTCCCCAGATAGGTTCTCACGAGCTCTGAAGAAACGTTACAATGGCACTTTGATCTGTGAAAGGTGACCGGATTTCGACATGTCCTTCATACGAAAGTGGTACTCTCCCAACGCCAAGAATTGATTGGGCAGCCGGACGGCTCTCGTATTGGAGACAATAGAATTCCATGCCTGCAAGGCGGGTCGCTGTTGGAGAAAACATTGGGCGGTGAGGCAGGCCACATCAACCGCGACTGACGTATCGGGTCATCCGGTGGCCGGACCCAGGGCCTTGTGGACTTGGCTCTGGTCCGTACCACGAAGCTGTGCCATCTTGCATCTTGACTTTCCACTCGTGGTCCTGAAGACCGTTGCAAGCCATAAGCATCGCATCCCAGGCAACAGCCAGCATTGCTACCTCTCCAACCCAATGGCCGAACCAGTCAATACCCCAATGCCACCGGGGACTCCAATCTCGGCGACCCCACGCGCCGGGTCCCCCGCACCACCCCCCCCTCTGCCCTCCGTCTCGCCCCCAGTCGTCCCCTCCTCCACGGGCCCGAAGCCCATCGTGCTACACATAGGAGACCCGGTCAAGTACAACCCGGAGACATATGCCACCTTCTCGGCCGCCTTTAACGTGGTCCGGCCCAGCACGGCCGAGCGCCAGCGGCCCGCGTTCATGGCGGCGCTGCGCGAGGGGCGCTGGGGACCCATCGCGGCCATCTTCCGGCCATTCTGGGGCACGGGCGGCGAGATGGGCCGGTGGGACGCGGAACTGATCTCGCTGCTGCCGCCGAGCGTGCGCGTGTTCGCCAGCGCCGGTGCCGGCTTCGATTGGGCCGACACGCGGGTCCTGGCCGAGCGCGGCATCGTCTACTGCAACGGCGGATTGGCGGCCGCTGAGGCCGTCGCCGACTTCGCTGTCGCCATGGTCATCTCCACCTTCCGTGCCCTGCCGTACTGCGTGTCGGCGGGCGCGGCACGCGACCCGGCCCGCTTCCGGGAGTGCCACGAGCGTGCCACCGCTCGCAGTCGCAACCTTCGCGGGCACACCCTGGGGCTCATCGGCCTCGGCAACATCGGCCAGCAGATTGCGCGTAGGTGCGCGCTCGGATTCGGTATGGAGATATTGTATTACGATGTCGAGCGCAAGAGCGCGGCCGTGGAGGCACAGCTCGCGACGCGGTTCGCGCCAAGCCTGGAGGAGCTGTGCAGGAGGAGCGACTGCGTGGTGTTGTGCACGCCGGCCGGAGGCGGGACGCTGATCAACGCCGAGAGCCTGAAGTGGTTCCGTCTAGGTTCGCGGTTCGTAAACATCGCGCGCGGGTCGCTGGTCGACGAGGATGCCCTGGCCGATGCGCTCGAGTCCGGCAGGCTCAGCTCCGCGGCCCTGGATGTACATGCAGACGAGCCAAACGTCAGTGAAAGACTGGCGGCGCTGGCAGGTGACCGGGTCATGTTGACATGTCATAATGCTGGCGGCACGGTCGAGACGCATGTCGGCTTTGAGGAGCTGGCGATGCGTAATATCATTGCTGCACTAGGTGGCAAGGAACCCATCACGCCAGTCAATTTGCAGTGGCTGAAGAGAGCCTGAGCCTTTCGTAGGCGCTACAGAGAGGAAAGGAGTCTGCTCCCACGTTACTAGGAGAAGGTACGAGGCGTGTAGTATGGATGTAATGATAGACGATTCATGACATGTAGATATTCGGAACGACGCGCCAACTTCAGGATCAGCGGCAGAGGAGTTATGCCTGTCACGTATGGGTTCATGAGCATCAGTAACAGATGTGTTTAAATTCAAAGAGCTAATGTAATAATTTGGTATCATGACTTCTAATTCACTGATTAAAATAGCGACGCGTGGTGTTGTGAGCGAAATTCTATCGCTCCCTCGCCAACCCATTGTGCAGACGCGCCTGTCTATCGCATATAAGATTCCTACGCTTTATCGTAGTACCTCGTAGCTCGTATTCCACGTTATTTCGAAGGAGAAAGTGCTAGGGCCTATGAGGCGAAGACGCCATCTCAACAGGATTCCCTTGATGCCCTTCGGGAAGGCTGGTGGCCTCCAGCTCCATAGGCGCTTGCTGGTATGATGGTGGTGCCACAGAGCCGCCCGTTGACTGAGCATACTGGTAGCCAGGATAGCCAGGGCTGTGCGGCGGGCTGGTTCCCCCCATCGTGCTGGGTACTCCAGGGTACAGATTTTTGGGGTCATATCCACCATAAGCCTGCTTGGCGGGATCGTAGAGTTGCTGCGGAGCATTCGGGTCGTAGGGCTGGCTGTAGCTGCCGCTCGGGTCATGAACCGCACTGAGGGCGGGGAAGGGAGACTGAGGCGGGTATGTCGTTGCAGTGTTGCTAACTTGTGACATGCGAGGACCTGCGCCGGGCGGCGCGTTGTGTTCGGTAATTGGCACGGCGTTGTAGGCCTGCTTGTCCTTGTTCTTTTTCTTGTTGCGTAGGATCAAGAAGGCGATGAGGCCGGCTATCAGTGCTATTCCGGCCACACCACCGACCACGCCGCCGACGATAGCTCCAGTATTGGAGCTCGAATTCGACCCTCCGCTGTTGCTATTGTCCGAACCAGGGGCATTCGTTGCGATGTCGGATGTGGCCGTAACGGCACCGTCACCGCTGCTGCGGGTGCCTGTGGTTGATCGGGTTGCGTCGAGGACATATTGCGGTTCGTCGAGCATAGAAATAATGGTCGCAGAGTTGAAACAGCGAAACATGGACCGTACCGGCGAGCCGGTCCAGATATAGGTACCACATACTGGATACGAGGAATCTTGGCTGAACGGATTGTCAATATACGCGAAGCTTTTCTTTGGACATGACAAAGAAGTGGCCTACCAGCAGCCGGTTTGGGATCCAATACTTGCACATTGGCCACGCTCATAAGCTGAGTGATCGAAACAGACCGAGAAGAACGGCGAATACGTTCCGGATACGCATGCCACGATATTCTGGTTATTAGTCGCACATGTTTGAGAGCTTCCACATGTCCATGCAAATGCTTCACATCCAGCATCAGCGCACTGTGCCCAGGAAGAGGTTTAGGCTGTGACTTACAAGAGATTCCAGATGCCCATCCACACGTCTGGGAGTTGATCCATTCCGTCGAAGTCGCTCTCCGTAGTACGTTCAATATGTGCTCGCCCTCAGACTGTACACCCGGTGCTGGAGTTGGTTTCGGGGTGAATCCTATAGCCTGGTCCTCCTCTGCAATATAGCCAGTCTCTTGGGGTGTCCACACGGGTGCCCTATGTTCCGACCATCGTAACCAATTGGCATTGGCGACGCTGGCAGCAGCGACCAGGAATATTGTCGACCGCATGGGTGCTCTTGAGATGTGAAGCCCCCAGGATGTATTGAAGCGGGTTCGATGATCGTCACTGAAGGTTCCAAGAGGGGTCCAATCCTACAGTAGATGGCCCAGAATCGAACGCGACGGAATCCTTCAGCGATGGCCTTCCTCAGTAGCGTGAGGAGCAAATGGGGCGACTGGTATAAAGGATCCGATCGGACAATTCTCAGGTACCAACGGTTCCAGTTGGATGGGACAGAACACGATTGAGTGGTTTATGCTGATAAAAGCGGGATTGCAGAGTTTGTGAAAGCGAAGATTGAGGCTCCGTGGTTAATAATGAGGAGAATCATCAACAAGCAGCTTGCTTGATCGCCCTCAGCCATCTGATCGGGATCACCCCAGCGGACTCGCTAAAGAGCCCACATGGACTGCAATTGGGCCCAAATGAGGAAGACTCTCATGGTCGGCAGGCCACTAGCCGTCCTCGATTTATGACCATGGATGGATGGCTGCACAGCCTGGATCTAGGGCGGCGCAAACTAACGGGTATGAGAAAACGAGAAGGGCGCGCCTGCCAGCGATCTTTAGCTACCGCAAGCACTTGGCGTCAAGAGCTGTGTGCTTGTTCGACGGATGCCCAGGCCTTTTACATGTCGCTGTCGGTCACAGACTGTTTCGGGAGTGAACGCAAATGCTGCACATAGTTAAGTCTTTGATGGGCAATGGGCTTGGACGGCAAGCTTAATTGCTGGGAATATGCCCAATGGAATGGTCGAACCTCAACCAGGACGCCGGGACAGTCACAGGTACAGAATATCTGGTGTAATTTAGCTATCACCTCACGGGGAATGTTGACCATCAGCGTTCTCTCTGCCCCATAAACGATGGGGAAATCTAGCACACGCCTTTAAGGAGATGGGACCAGCGCCTCTGACGTTTGCGACAGGACTAACTTGGGGCGAGGTTATCACCGCCAGAGCGAATGTCCAAAAATAGGTATCACATTCCCCACGCTTCGACAAGTCATGGCCCAATGACACAGCGTGTGCTGGCCCCGAAAGGGTATTAGGCGCACGAGCTGGCGGAGATTTGTTGCGGACCCAGATAAGTAAGGCTGCACACTTCGGAGCCGAGAGCCTGCACTGTGAGAAGGAAACCTAGTTCCAAGTACTGAGAGATGGCTGGTGATGATGATTGCGCTCCCCGCAACCTAAGTGACGAGATATCCTACTCACCAGAGGGGCATCGCTATGCTTGCTGCTTGGACTCGAAGCTGTACGGGAGAACGAGATGAACAACTCAAGTGCTGATTCAGCGCTGCTATAGCGACCACCGGCGTAAGATCCCCGAGATCAGAGGTCGACGGCTGCGCTAGTGTCGAGCGAAGGATCACGCCGGCCCGAGCTAAGAGCGGAATTGTGCTTGACCGTACATAGTAGTCGCGTTTTCCCACGGGGGCCGACCAACAGGCGGCACATCAACTACGCAACAGCAATCCAAGGGGCAACGCCATCAAGTTACCCATACTGTTTATCTTGCTATCATCACGCCATGGTGGAGGGTCGTGATAACAGTTCTGTTTCCGAAATGGCTTGAAAGTCTATATCGATGCCTTCATTGAGCACCATGATGCAGGTGCCGCCGCTTTCTCATACCGCTAATTCGTTATGGTGCTCAGCCCCGCCCCTCAGTGATAGCTTGTAGCCCATTTATTGTGAGTATATATTCAAAGCTTTGTTTTGTTGTCCTGATTCCCGTACTTGTTTATGCAACCTGGTGGTTTCTACTGAACGCCTAGCTTCCCAAACTAACCCATGCCCCCAAATTTTTCAAATTGCTTTTGGCTTCTTTCGCACAAGACCTGCTCCCAAGGTGTTGACTTGTGGTGCGTCGCTCGTCGGCGGTGCTGATACAGGCGCCTCGGTAGTTACCTTGACTTTCTTCCTGACCAGACCACTCGGGAGAGTGTTGATAGCATCCCCTGAAGAAGCAGGTGCTGTTGAGGTGTCTAAAACGGTATCTGTGGCGGGACGTTTCTTCTTGATCATTCCCGATAGGTCATTGATCGTTCCCGTTCCACTTCTGGCAGTGTGCTGCACAGGTATCGCACGTATCCCGATGACCGTCGTGGCCCAGTCCTTGCCCACGTTGACTTCGTTAATCCAGCGAGTCGAGCTGGTGATGGCCTGCTCGAGAGTGCCGAACTCCAGATGCAGCAGAAGCTCGACTGCTCGCTTGTAGCCGGACTCGTCCAGGATCACTTGGCCTCTACCCTCCTCTGGCCAGGAATAATAAGCCGTCTCCGTCTCTTTGGGGAAATGTGCTCGCTGATGTGTCTTGATACGCGGTTGACGGGGGATGATGCGCCCACGGAGCACCTTTCTCTTTCGTGGCCTCTTCGGCTTCGGCTTGACGGGCGTAGCCTGAGACGCTGATGGAGTTGTCATTGCTTCCAACCCCTGGCTTCGTTCTGGCGTCAAAGGTCGGGCTGCGGGTGCAGATTCGGGAGCGGCGCTGAAGGAGGCGTTGGGTGTCTGGATGAATGCCGCTGCACTACGGGCCGTCGCATCTGTCGCAGCTGTCCGTCTGGACGACGAAGCAGGATCAAACACCAGCCATATGAAGCCGGTCAATCTTCCACTGGAACACTCCTGGCGAAATGCCATCATCTCCCAGAACTGGCCAAGAGTCTTGGGACTCTTCCACCCACCCACAAGTTTGGCCCTTTCCGATGTCGATTCCTCCAGCTCCTCGACGAATCGCGCCTTGGGGTCATCCGGGTAGGTGGGAATCAGGCATCGTACCGGAATGTTGCTGCCATAGGTGATAGGATCGGCTATATATGGCGAGATGCGCTCCAGAGGATGCCTTAGGGTCCAATTGCTCGATGCCGAAGGGACCCGAGGCAAGAATGCACGCGTCTCATAGTCATCTAGACCAGGGATCACAAGGTAACCATGGATGCTTCCCCAGGACCTCGCCCGCACGCCGTCTTCCAGGAGCGGGTTCAGGACCCGGCACCACCATTTCACCAAACCCGTGTCGTCTAGTATATGTTTCCCAGCATTTTTGACACTCCCCGGGAAGAGATACTGCGATTGTGCGCGTGCAAATAGATTCACTATGAACTGGACCCCCCTGCGCTTCCTGTGCGCAATGAGGTAGGAGACGAACGCCGTCGTCACCTCGCGAATAGGCGAAGGCGTCCCTTTCGGCAGGTCCAACAGACCCAGATAGCCCGTAGAATCAGCCTTTGCGACAAATATAATACTCGTGTGAGCAGTTGTGTATATGTATATCTCCAGTGCCAAAGCGAGAACGGCATCCTTCGTGTGCGGCACAGGTATGGAAAGGGCGAGGAACTGCTTCTCGCAGTAAGTCTTGAGCGGCTTCCTCGCCCGAACGTCGGCCAGGGTGTCTATGCGCCCATCGTGTGCGTTGGCCGGATATGCTGGGGGGTAGCACAGCGGTTCTGTTACGGTGGGCGGTGTCGAGATGTGGTGCGCGGTGAATGCGATGCCATCGGGTAGTACTCTGGCCAGTTCGCTGGCCAGGGTACCTTCGCCTGGGAAACGCCTTGGGTCTGCCATTGTGTAGTCAGGGCGATGCAGTTGAAGCCATGTTTACCAAGCCAATCCCAGCAAAGCTCGCATATATCTTCGGAGGGTGGGTTTAAGCCGGCAAAGCCAATCGGCGCGTCGACAATCACCAGCGTATGCAGGCCATTGTCAGCCTGCACCGTCAGATCAGATTGTCATGAAGTCGCGCCTTGGACGCCGTAGCCCACGGCCACGGCCACGGCCACGCGTCGTCGGCCAGCCGGGGCAGGGGTCTAAATTGGCGGCTGACAGACTCCAACTTGCGGCCCGCTGCCACGTGACGGGAACATGGGGGCCGCATGGGAGCTCCTGGACCGCCGGCTCCAAAAATTTCCCTGTCGCAAAAGTTCAGGATCGATTGCGGGAGAGCTCCAGAACGGAGACACGGCGACCACATAAGTCACCATCACGAGCTTCCGGGCCCCGTCTGCTGCAACAATGGCCCTCAACGCCCACCGGCCAGCCTCTCGGCTTGCCAGCCGCGCTCTACGGAGCTGCACCGCACAGTCCAGCACCGCCCACGCCCCGATATGCCGCCCCTTGATCACCGTCTCGACCTCCCCGTTCTCGACCTCGACGCCACGGGGGCACGCTGCCGCCGCCGAACAGGACGCCCACGTCCCCCGCTGGGCGCGCACCCCGGAGCGCATGAAGGCTACCTTCTCGCCGAGATCCACCAAGAACCCCGCCAACTCGGTCTGGCACGTCAACGCAGACCCGGCCAAGCTGGACGACGCCCTCAACAACCTGCTGGGCAAAGGCGGCGAGCGCCTGCTTCCCGACGAGCTCAAGTGGCTGGCCGTCACCCACAAGTCCTTCGACCAGGGCCGCCGCGGTTTCAACGACCGCCTGGCCTTCCTCGGCCGCCGCATCGCCGTAGTCGAGGCCATGCAGGCCATCCTCTCCGACCCGGCCATCGCCGTCGAGAGCAGTGAACAGATCGAGCCCGACGCGTTTGCGGGCAGGAGGACCCCTTTCGAGGACAAGGCGCTGGAGGCGGCCGACAGGTTGAGCGTGCTGCAACCAGACGCCGTTTTTGACCTGACGAAGATGCAGAAGCTTGCCATGGACACGGGCATCAGCGAGGTCGTGAGGTGGAAGCCGAGGAAGGTGAGTTTCCTTACGTCCCATCATGTGCTAGGGCTATGCTAATAATGTTACAGGTGGAGAGTCTTGCAGCCTCGGGGATTGCCCCTGTAATGGCAGGGGCTTTGTACGCTATCGTGGGAGCTGTCGCAATGCAACACGGAGGAAAAGTCGCCAGTAGAGTCGTCAGGGAGCGGATACTGCGAAAGATCAAGGCATAAGGGGGTCTCGGTTCTTCAGGAAAGGGGCCGGTCGGGAACTTTGTAAAATAATGTACAAACAAGGTGCACTGTACAATGAATGGCATAGAGAGCATCACCTGCAACGCGCAAGGCATAACCTGGAAGGAACACACATGTTCAATGGTTACTTATACTGCGTGAAGGTTCCTATACATGGATGACGTCGTGGGCCAGCACACATGGGAGGAGCAGGTTCAAGCCCAGACATTCGTCCTCGTCGGAATACCTCGGCCAAGAGCAACTTGGTTCAGTCCGAAGGCACTTCCGGGAATACCAAAGACCCTGCATGGCCGATCTAGACACGCTGAGATGGTCAGTCCCATATCCATCCCTGATAACCAGAAGATAGCGTAGTCACTCGGTGTGTCATACTCAATCGAGCAGGTATGGCTGTTAAATATGGGTTTGGGCTAGAGACATTGTGAGCCACAGTAGCTTCTCCAGCTTCGACTAATACAGTTTCACTGCCTGCACTGGTTTGAGCATGCATCTTTGCCCATTCTAATTCGCACGTGCGATTCATAAGGTTCGCTTGAAAGAATGTATTAATATATGGAAGCATAATGGCACGAAAACGAGGCATTGGCATTCACAAAGAGAGACTTAGTAGCATACAATCAGAAGAGGTTGCTTTTAGGTACTGGACCAAGTATCAAAGATGATTAAGCGACGCGAACATAGTTCCGGGGGGTTATGCACTAAAACCGCCTACTGTGTAACGTTACTACGCATGCATGTATTGGCCGCCATAACATAATGGAGCTGCGTTCTGTCAGACAGTCAGGTGGAAACAGGGTCACAGCGACCTCGAGGATACGTTCTTTCTGAGGAGTTGACCTGTTAATTGTCTCTGTTCTGTCTTGCCCTCTGTCCCGTCTCTATCTATCGGAAATCCCGCAATCTCCATACCAGACCAACTGATCACGTGACAACTAGCTAGCAGCATCCTCCTGATCAGCCACCTCGTTTGACACTCTTGGAGGATCAACTCAAGTCAATTCCCATGCTCTCACGCGCGTATTAGTGCGACAGCTTGCCCCAAACCGGAGAATAATTTACTTTTGACCTCATCACGCGCGTCCGTCATCTTTCCGTGTTGAAGGCTGAAGTCCATCCTGGCGTTGCTGCACACTCTCAAGATGGAGCGCACACATAGGCCTCTGGTTCTTCGTCTGCGCTTGCCATGGCTACTCATCGTTCCTGTAGCCCTCGCGGTCGTGGGGACGGTCTTGTTGTTCATGCACTCGGACTACAACATGCCCGCGCTGTACTCTCAATGCCGTGCGCATTCACGGCTGCATAACCTCTCCAGGATACCGGTCATCGGTCCCCCATCGTGTTTCCTCATCAGCTTCTTCCATTTCGCCAACGCCTCTGTCCGCTCGTTCGCCCGCATGAGCGTCATTCTGTCCTTTGTGGCAGCGCTTCTGGCCACCAACCTTGTCGAGTCTGCCAGGCTGTGCAACAAGCCCAGCCGCGTCATCTCCAAGCCAACCATCCCTTGGCTGCTCTTCAACTTGATCGGAGGCACCCTGGTCTGGGACCTGGTCATCGTGCCAAGTTTCTTGAGGAGGGCAAAGGACGTTCAGGCCGCCCGGGAGTCTGCGCAGGCCGACAGTCTGAGAGCGGACGACTCCGAGATCGATCGCGAGGTCCGCGGACTGTCCAGCCAAGTGGAGGTTTGGGCCATTCCGATTGCTGTTGTGGTGGGCTTCGTGGTACCGAGTCTCGTGATGCTGATCGTTAATAACCCCGTGAGCATTGTTGTCTGGCTATTCTTTCCGCTCTGGGTGGCCTTGGCACGCTACGCAGTCAAGGTGGTTGGGGTCAACGCCGTTACGGATCCTGAGCCCTACCATCTGGAGTCGCGTCGATTGTCGTTGGTCGGGCTCTATGTTGTGCCGGTAGTCTGTTCGATTTTGGCCCATGGATTGTTGATATGGAACCTCTTCAGCCCAGAAGACCGGAGGGAGATGACGAAGGCCACGATACACTTCATCGAAATCGATGTCTCGATCATCGGAGCAACCGTCTTATATTGGATTCTTGTCGAGGCAGGAGTGGTCGTCACTTTAGCATTCATTGGATTGTCCATCCTTCTTGGTCCTGGAGCTGGGCTGTGTGCTGCGTGGATTCTGAGAGAGAGAGCTATCGAGAGGTACTCTGATGGCCCGCAGCGCTCGGAGGACGGTGCAGAGCAAAGGCCTAGTAATGAGGAAACGCCTCTGCTTAGTTGAATTTAATACGTGAAAATATACACTATAAGCCTATTGAAAGCAGACTGATTTCTACGACTGCATGAAATCTCTGAAATGATGGCACAACTTTGAACCTTGCAGCCAACTTTAATCAACATGTTTGAACTTGCACAGTACTACTTTTAATCTGAGAGAATGGCTTTAATTCACCACGAATTTAATTGCCTGAATATTGTGTCTGTCGGTATTTAAGAAGATAGAGGCGCGAGGCGGGAAACACTAATGAAAATTGTACGGCACAAGGTAACCCTGCTTAAACGAGATGTGCTTAAGGATCGGCCAAGGTCTTGAAGATAAATTACATGATTTCATCCTTGTCCAACCCTACCTGGCGCCTCTAATCATAGTAGTTCTGGACCTTGAGTCCCTTGAACTCGAATGAAGTGCCCTCGCGCTTATCCAGTACCGTTTTATGGTGAACGTCCTTGACCCGGGCACGGACATACTCTACGCCAGAAGGCACTGGTATATTCGGGTCTTTATCTTTCTCGGATAGCAAACCAAGGCGATCAAGTACGGGTGATGGTACGGGCCTCATTGGTGTATTATCACCAGGCCGACTGAAATATAGCAGTCCCAGGCGCGGAATATTGATTTGGTCTTTGGGCGGCGTAACAACGCGGTGGATTGTAGACTTGATAAATCCTGCAATCTAAATCAGGAAAGTTCGATGTGACAGATGGATCAGCGACAAACCCTTGGTCAGGAACGACAAAGTGTCGGCGGCATTGCAAGTGATGCCTCCATCAATGGGTCTGACGTATTTCCAGTCTCCTTCTGGAGTGCGAATCTGCAGTCCAGCAACATGTTGAGAAAACAATAACGTCAGACTGCCAAAGTCTGTATGGCCACCCTTGGAATAAGCCTGAGCCTTGTCCCACTCTTCCTGCGTCCTGACGTTGTATATCATGTAGCGCAAGTGATCATCAGACAGGTCGTTATACGCATGGGCATCCACCAAATAGTTCTCTGGCAACTCAAGGATAATAGCAATCAAGACATAAAGCTTGCGAATTACGTTCTCCCATAAGTCACGATGAAACTGTGCGATCTCTCGGTAGTTCTCCTTCACTACCTCATGCTTGCCCACATCTTCATAGGCTGGAATAGCCTTGGGCACATTGAGCTAACTATCATTAGCAGATAATCAGGTGAGAGGTAATTGTAAGTCTACTTACCATTTCGATGTTTTCTTTCACACCTGTGTCTCCGATCCAACGCGAGTTCTCACGGTAGCCAAAGTACTCGCCCTCGGCAAAGTTGCAAGGATACCTGCGCTTCTCCTCGAGAGGCTCCTTGAAGAATGTGTTCCCGATGCTAAACTGGCGAAGAACGCGCTCATCATCTATACCGGTATTGACTACGGACCAAAACCCGACTCTGGTAACGGCATCATAGAGATCGTTGGCCATGGCTTGCTTCCCTCCAGGCTCGTCAAAGCGCGACAGGTCAATCTTGGGCAGGTCGGCCCAGTCGAGCTTCTCAGATGTGACCTTTGGCCGAGACCATGGCTTAGTGAGAATCCTATTGGTGCTTGCAGCAGCTGGTTCGTCAAGTGCGATAGGAGCCATAGTGACGTTCAGAGCGAGACTGAAGCAGGGGTAGGTAATAATTAAAATTTGTCTCGTACTGGTGAGAATTGAGAATTAAGGTGGTGGTGCGTTGTGTATATACCAAATGAGGTACTTAACGTTTGATGATGTATCATTGTGCGGGGACGTGGGAGTAGTTTGCCGCCTTGCTGGATAGTCGGGAACTCAACCCCAAAGGGAAATGTGAGGTGCCACTTGATTGGGTGCTGTACTATCTGACGTGCTTCCTGCACCAAATACGTGCTCCGAACTCCAACTGCACAACCGGGCCCGGTTCGATGACCATGCCGTGGACGAATAGCTTGTAGTTATTCCCGATTTCCGGAGCTTGAAGTGACTTGATTGTGGACTTGCTACCCCCACACGATTAAGTCTTTCCCTCCCGGCAGCGCAAAGTCCCTGCAACCGACTGCATTGCGGCTTCTCCTTGGCAGGGTGTCCTGCGACTTAGGCTTGTCTGAAGGTGACGGGTTCGGCAGCGCTTAGACAGAGCCCATCTAACGCCATCTCATCGACTATGTCGTGATGGAGTGTGGAGCGTGATGAATGGGAACTGAGTCAGATCAAAATGTCCCAACTTGAAGGCTTGAATTGATTTTTTCTTGAAATATTTCTCCCGGTCTGAGCTATCAAAGCTCATCCCAGCTGTGCTGTTGTCATTCTTTCTATTTAGTGTCCGACCGCCAATTCTTAGGTTATGCAAGATAAACATCAGCCCGAGCCCTTGGCTCACGATGTTCCTGCCTCGAAGGGTATTGATGATGTGGAAGGGGGTTCAGACGTTGAGATAGCGGATGATAACAATGACATCGAGGCACGAGTGATGCGGAAGGCGGATGTTTGGCTTGTTGGATTCTACTCGCTCGTTTACATCTTCCGCGTTATCGACTCTGCCAATTATTCGAACGCGGCAATTATTAACCTCGAAAATGGTACTGGCATCAAGAAACAACTAGGTCTTGACCCGACCCAGTGGGCATGGACATTATCGATATTTTCTTACAGCTATTTGATATTTGAGCCACCAAACACCCTTTTGCTCAAGACCTTCAAGCCCTCACGCTGGATGTTTGTTCTGATACTGGGGTGGGGCATATCCGCTTGCTCATCTGCTGCTGTAAAGGACTTCAAAGGCATGATGTGTGCGCGTTTTGCGATTGGACTAGCAGAGGCAGGGTTCTTCCCTTCAGTGTTGTATCATGTGGTACGTCAACACGACGATTTCCGTGAATTTTACTGACAAAATGCAAGAGTTTCTACCTATAATCACGCGTCCTCAGGACAAATGGCGATATTGACCCTTAGTAGATGGCTTTTTGGTACAAACCCGAAGAACTACCTCAACGTATTGCAATATTTTACTCTGTGGGGCAGTTGTCAAGCGCTCTAAGCGGCCTGCTTGCCTATGCCATAGGTTTCATGGTGAGTTGGGAAACCCGGTTATCGGCGTTGGCGCCCGCTCTACTGTTGTTTAGGTTACGCACACTGACCACGAATATCACGCAGGACGGGCTTCAAGGTCTTTCTGGCTGGAGATGGTTGTTTCTGATCGAGGGTTTGCCAGCTATTGCCCTGGCATTTGTCGCATTATTCTGGTTGCCAGACTATCCTGAGACGACGAAGTTTTTGACTCAAACCGAACGCTCATTCTTGAAAGACAGGCTAGCCAAGACAGCACCGACGGGACGCAAAGGTCACTGGGACTTTGCCTCCTTGAGGGTTCTTTTCAAAGACCGGTCATTCTATACATTTTCAGTATTTTGGATTTGTCACGGCATTGGTGGATTTGGAGTGGGTTACGCACTCCCCACCGTTGTTTATGAGCTGGGATTTACAACTACCTCTAAGTCTCAATTAATGAATGTCGTAAGTTATGTTCAGCCAGCTTATTATCCCAAAATGACTCATGGTGGCAGCCTCCATATGTGTCGGCCTTCTTGTTTCTTAATACTGTAGGTTTTTTCCTCCATAAGAAGATTATCAGGCCGTGGACAACGGCCGGAGCCAGTAAGTTATTTTTTCCCTCAGTCAATTCGCGAAAGGGTCCAACTCACATGCCATAGTTGAATCAACTATCGTCGTGTGCTACATAATTCTTGTGACGGTCTCCAATGCAGTCGTCAAATACGTCTGCCTGGTGATAGCAGTTTCTTGTGCTGGTTCCGCTTATCCGGTGATTTGGCCGGAGCGTATCCGAGCAATCGAGGGTACGGTGGCTGCAGGCATTGGAATAGGCTGGACCAACGCGATGGCACAGTTTGGCGGGATTGTTGGGCCACATGTGTATAACACAGTATTTGGGCCGACTTACAGGGTGTCGTATACAATCTGTCTCAGTTTCCTTATAGTGGCAATCACCGCCATCTTGCTCTCATGGTATCTGGTCAAGAGAAAAGATGCACGAAATGGTCGGGTAACAGATACCTAATGCGCAGGCTAGAGATCAACCTCAGATCAATTCACAACGAAAGTGCCATGGCTGAGATGCCAGTGAATATATGGACACCTGCTGATTACCAAACATAAATTAACTTTATAGCAGTTACATGACGGCACTAATCAAGCCGCACATCCTGTTCTATGCTATCGTATCGAAAAGTTGAAGCTCGCTAACAACCACATGCATACACGCTGTTCTAGGTGAGGGAGGGCAACATACCCACACTGTGTCAGCTTAACGCTACTAAAGTCACTTTTGATTCGCCTCGACAGTGGACAAGAATTTTCATTCAGGAAAAGTTGGTGAACCGTAATTTGAAAGTTTTTGAAAAGGCAGTATAGTTGCCCAGAAAAAAAAAAAAAAAAAAAAAAAAAAAAGACTCATGGATGAGATTTCTGCTTGTCGGACCAAGTACTCCGATCACTGATTTCGCTTACTATCTAAGTGAGTCTGATTTTGTAAGGCCGGAAATGGAGACGCGCGTCGATAACCTGGCAACCGAAGTTCGCTCGGTTCCTAATTGACTGCCAAGACTGTCAGCTTCTTGCAGGGATTCATACAAAGCCCTAAGTCTAGTGCAGAGGCTTAGAGCGGATAGCGACTGAACAACCGAGCAGTCAACCTCATTGTGACAGATAGGTGCGTGTTTAATATTACTACTGTATGTAAAACGGTCCTAATTGCTGGGATTACATGCAGCAACGCGTACTCTAGCTAGACTGTGACGTATTAACTGTTGCAAAGCGTGGTGACTGTGAGTCGCCAACCACACACTTCGCTTTTGAATAATCTATGATTGCCATGACCACCACGATACTAACAAATACCACTAGTCATGGGCCAGCGTTAATACCTGCCGCAGAACTCAACTGGTAAGTCAGCTTGAGTCGATGTGGCAGGTATGGGGACTCTTGAACCGGTGAGCATGCTTATTATCATGGTAGTAAGTACAGGAGCAAAAGTTATCTGAAGCTTGGAAAATACTCCTCCAATATGGCAGCAGGCAGGCCTATAAGTCGGAGCACCCACATATGGGCCCCCCCTGCATTTGGGCCCCCTGTTCACCAACCACCCGATTTTCCTACCATACAACAATTTACCTCACTGTTCAACCAAACCTTCTTCAAATCTCTTCAA